TTTTTTTTTTTGTTAGCAAAATCTTTTTCGAGTTTCCAAATTTATAGTTTATTATTATATAGTTATTTTATTTCTTCTATTTTATCTTCAATTTGTTTCGCAGGCATCAACACGTTCCACTATACAGCCGATTTAGGTGACATGAGTACAAATCCTGCGGAAAAGTGTTTCTGTCCTACGCGAAAGACTTGTTTAACGAAAAATCTTTTTGATGTGTCCAAGTGCGTAGATATTCCAATTATTGTTTCTTTGCCGCATTTTCTTGGATCAGATGAAAAATACTTGAAAATGGTTGACGGACTTCATCCAAATGATGTAAGTAACTTTGCTATCTTGAATAACGATCCTTAATAATCTCTCATTGATATAACACAAATAATTCTCGCTTCTTGCTTCAAATATTATGTCTCTTATTTCTAATTCTTATTGTTCTTCATTTCTATTTTGATTCTATCTCTTTAGTGATGTTTATAGAAATATTATAATACATATTAAAATACATAAAAATCCGCAATCTAATAATAATATACAATGTATAAACATAAGTATATATATTATATAATATATAACAAAAAATAATATTACATAATATAACATAATATATATAGCATATGCTAATATAATATATAATATTAGCATTATATTATTATATAACATAGCATATATAATATTACATAATATATAACGAAAAATAACAATATATAATATGTAATATACAGAAGTATAAGTAATAGTAAAAGAAGAAAGAGATGCATGTATGTATAAATTTTGCTTGCAGGAAGACCATGGAATTCATATGGACTTCGAACCAACGACATGCTTACCTTTAGCCTTGCACAGCAGGACACAATTCAATATGTTTCTTCAAAAGGTGACAAAATTCCAGTTAATGAAAAATTTCCCAAAATGTTTGTTCCCGTTTTTATGGTTTGACCAGGGTCTGACGATCCCCGATAAGTTTATGGTAATAATAATAATCGTGTTCAAGCTAATAAGCATAATCAGGTATGTGCCATTTCGTTCATTTTTCGTGAAATTTAACCATCCATAGTTGATCCAGATCGTTCACATTTTAAGCCAAATTTCATTTGTAAATATGTTCCAAGCAAATTTTTAACTTTCAAAGATTGTACGATGCAGTAAAGACTTCATTAAGTTCATTCAGCACCTTTCTCATGTTTTTTTGACATGAACTGCTCAACTTTCCTATAGACATTATGCTCGTTTATGGAAACTTAATAATAAGAATTGATAATTCGTAAAAAGACATATGTTGTCTATCATCAGTTGGTGACGTTGTCATTAATTTGTTGATCATTATAGTTGAACTTCATTAGCACTAAAATACATTAAAGGTAACACAAGACACGTTATATTGAAAATGACCGAAAGGATATAGTATCGTTAGAATACATAGAAATTATTTGAAATTTAACTACGATTTAAAAATTGATTTGTCAAACAGGTTTATGAAGTGGTTTATAATAATAAGCGGCACTTGCATGAGCGGAGCAGCAGCCAGAATGTTCTTCAAAGGCAAAGAAAAACGTCCTTTGAATGTAACGGAGGTAATACCGCACTCGGAAAATGAAAAGGATGAACAGATAAAATGGGCTAATCCGACGAATAAGATTAGTACGATACCGCCTATTTTCGACGAATTAAATTAATTAAAGACGTCCTTATCGACTTTCTATTTTGTCTAACATGTATTTGTGTATTTTGAATGATTGCAAATGAGAGAATGTTGTTGAAAGTCGTATGAAATCATAAATTAATTAATAAGTCTAAATGATTGATTAACTTATTGATTGAATCACATTTAAAATATTAATAATGATCCACTTTTAATAAAATTATTTATAATTTATTATTTTTACTATAATAAAATTGTTTATAATTTTATAATGTAATAAATAGATCAGTACTTGTAAAATGTTAAAAATCCTTGTAATTCTTCAAATGTTTAGAACTTGATAGACCTGATAATATTTATCTTTGCGATTTATCTTTTTGTAAAAATTTATAATTTAAATTAATTGAACTAACAAGCGATTTCTCTTTCCCATTAATTTTTCTATAGTATTTTCTGTACTGAATAAACTTTTAATTTGTTAATTTTTAACATTTCTTATAGATAGTAACAAGAGAATTTTAATTCATTGCGATTTTAAAGATAAGATATACACTGTTGGATACGTTACTGTTAATAAACTTTGTTGTACATTTTCTTATCATTTAATGACTTCAATAGAAAAATGATACAAATGCATTTTCTTCAAATAAAAAACAAAATCTAAACTTTATATTTCAAGATTTAGTTCTCTGTTATAATTTTCTCTTATTAAAAATTTCATCACTTGTACCATATTTTTTCTGGATTTTTCATTTAATCTTGAATGTCATGACATACATCAAACTATAATTGAAACCTAAATTGAACTTCAGAAATAAATAAATAATATATTTTCTAACGAAGCATATTTAAATACCTTTCATTTATTAAATTCCTATTTTAGAAGACTCCATTTATAGCTTCAAAATCAGTTTTGTTGGTAACATGAATACACTTTTCTTACTGAAATAGAAAAATTAATTTTCATGGTAACAATCTTCTCACCTCAGTACAGTGAATAAGTACCATCAAATTTATGCTAATTTTATATATTTTAAATATATACATCGTACATGTAGTGACTTACTATTCAAGCCGTTTTGCAATATCAAATTTCGCCATTATTTAGTTCATCACTTCTTGTACAAAAAAATTGTATACGCTAAATGAACCAAAAAAAAAACAATTAATTCAATAACACTATTATAAACAGAAATATAACTCAATAATTTATGTAAGTATTAATTCTCGAACTCAATTGTATACTTCTTCCTTTATAAATTTTCTTTTTTATTCAATATTTTAAGTTCTTGAGTTAGTTCTAGTGTATCAAATGTACAAATAAATCTTTCTCATTTCGTGTAAGCATTTGTAAACCACTGTAACTTCAAACTTAAGTACTAACCTTCCTTCATCCTGGTGACTTTCTATTCATTCCATTCTTCACCCCAGAATCATTTCTACAAAGCAACACGTTCTTGTACGCACTGCGATATTCAGAGCTCATCACCACGTAAACCACCGGATTTATACACGTAGTCAAATAAATCAGTATGTAGCTCGCGACATTCAGACCTCTCCAATCGATAACGTTCTTGAAAGTCTTCGTAATGGTGATCGGCAGGTAGCAAACAAGAAACGACGAGAATATCACCAAGATCATTTTCAACAGCTTCTTGTCCTTGTTGCTCATTCTTGGCGGGCCATCCATATTCGCTAATTTCCTGATATTTATAAATCTTGATTCTCTGCGAAGCATCGTCGGTTTTTTCTTGTTATTGATCGATCGATCCGGTGTGTTCGATCTCGAGCTGTCGAATCGATCGCTGCCCGTTGACACTTTCGAGTTCAGCCTTTGCACCCACAATGCCGACTCGATGATGAACGATGCTCTGCTTGCCATTCTCTCCAATTTATTTCGAGCATTCGCGGAAGCTTTCTCGCTAGGTTCTTTGATCTTAATTTGATTATTTGTGAGAGCAGTCTCGGCTGCGTCCATATCATCCACGTACGGTATGTCGTCTATTTTTATCTCTAGATTAGGTATCGCTTTGTCACAAGTCTCGGCGATTTTCTTAATTGGCAGATCCCCCGCATCGGTTTCGTCTCTGTGATTCTTCTTACATTTTTGTTCTTGATTTCTCTTTCGGTGGATCTTTTCTTCGTCGTCCTGTTCTTCGTCGTTTTCTTCTTCAGACTTGGCTGAATTCTGCTCCCATGACAGTTGCTCTGACAAGGACTCTTCCATCGCCGACCTTGAAGGTGTACTCGAGCAATTAAGTCGATTTGGAGATGATATGATGCATTTGGAGGAGAAATTCCCGCAAAGGACACTCGATGCACAGTTCGAACCCATCGCTGACAGCTCTTCTTCTTGGATCCTAAATGATGTGGATCGTCGTCTCTGTAATTAAAGGAAATGAAGAAACTTAGTAACCAAAGTAAATAGCAATAATAATAATAATAAACATTAAGATCATTTCTTTACATATTTGTTTATGCTAGTCTTATGATAAAGATTATTATTTCTCTATACATTCGTTTAACAATAGTTCTATTGAATTAACTGCCTTATAATATATTATGTATATCGGTTATTCTAGTTAAAGAAAACATTGAGCTAGCTTGATTTGGGGGGGGAGAAATGTAAATATTAAAACTAGCTTGATTTTTTTTGGAAAATGAACTTAGGCTACTTTCAAAATAAACGGCTCATACATGAATACACGTAAATTGTTTTCTTCACTGTAGTTGTCAAAATTGAAGGAAAATAAGGGAAAATAATTCGAATAATAATGCGAAAGAACTTCACCGCCTTAGATCTACACTTACCTCGTTATTAATTTCGTTATTAATAGCGCCCTTACTAGCTGTTATATTTCGATTTCTACTTTTAGAAGCAGTTTTCCGGACAATGTAAAAAATCCTCGCGTAGCAAACAACGATTGCGATGCAAGGTGTCAAAAAGGCAAAGACGAAGAGGAATTCCTTTGGGCTACGACCATTTACATCTGGCAGGATTGAACAGGAACCAATGGCGACGTCCAATCCAAAACGACCCCAGTTCTCAAACCATGTAATGATGAGGACACCGAAGCCAAATATCCATGTACTCAAAACCATTGGTGCTATGTATTTTGATTTGTACAGCCTGAAAAGAAAAGAAAAATATTGCTACAATTTTAAACGAAAAAAAAAAAAAATTTAATATTAAATCTTAAATGAAAAGGATGTTCAAAAAATTGCAAACTAATCGATATATCATAGTTATTATTCATACATGACATTATATCGTAGTATTATTCATATAGTATACTATAATCTAATTTATACATATTTTATATATTTAATGTGAATACTGTAATATAATATAATGTATAAGATATCATAATATAATTTATAATAAATTTATCAGTTAATTAAAACTTTACTGTAATTATTATTCAATTATAATCAATTTTAATTTTTCTCTGACATACAGAAGAAAATTTCATTCTGCAGAAACATTTCTTTTATCAAATACTTAATTTACTTACCTAGGATAAAGTCGAGGATGTCCAATCATAACATAACGATTAAATGTAATCGCTAGTATGGTGAAAAGGCTTACTGCTACCAAGCCATATCGTAACAGAGGAAACAGCCGACATAAGTGTGGTCCGTGTTTCCAAGAACTATGCCAAAAAGTTGACGTAGCAAGCGGAAGATTGAAACAGCAGAACATTAAATCCGAAAGTGAGAGATTCATTATGAAGATCGCCGTGGCATTTCTCAACTGCAAATTAATAAATAATTAATTAATATTATATATCAAATATAGTAGAACTTGATTTATTTGAACTCGTTGTGGGATAAATATATTTACATAATCTACCAACTTTTCCCATATTAATCAAAATTTCATTCCAATAAATAAGGTTTTACAGTAATACAATTTTACTTCAGTGATTCATTGTAATATTTAATAAATCATTATATTATATACATTATATTATATTATTATATTATATTATATACATTATATTATATTATTATATTATATTATATACATTATATTATATTATTTTATTTATTTATTATTAATTATATCGTATTATGATAATTATAAATATTATATCAATACCAAATAAAATTATTAATTTTCTTAATAGTTTGAATTTTCTCCAGAAATATCCAAGTTTAAATTTTCGTCCACCCTAAATTAAGTAACAATCTTAATCTAAATGAAGCAGGTACGCTGCTGTCAGTCAGTTGAAACATTGAAGACACAAAGCGAAGAAGATTTACTATGTGACAAAGGAAACTAAACTGCAGACAGAATTTAGAACGTAAGATACAAGACAGGAGAGTCTCCTTGGAAACTCCAGCTAAATTCGCATTGGTAAGCAAATTTTGCTATTAAGCAATGCAACACTATAGGATATTATATTTCATGCTGGTTTAATTCTAGTTCATTGATTGCGTCAACTGTCGAAATTGGCACGAACAGGTTCATGAGACCATCGTTTCACGAAAACATTATTATGTAATAATATAAAAAAGTACGTTACTACTTATTTACAAGTCGATCTGTGTATGTGATCGTTTCCAAACTTAACAGAGATCGATGCGAAATTGGAAATGGCGTTTCATAACAAACTGTGCCAAAACTATGCCAATGTCCTTTCGATCATTGCCTCGTTTCTTTACTCATGCTCGATTAATTAATCGGGTATTGCACAATGCAAATAATATACAAAAATATAAAATGTACAAAATACATATAAAATAATATATAAAAGAGTATATTATATAGTACATAATTATAGAGTATATAATTTCTTTTTAAATTTTACTTTACTGGTATTAAAAATTTTTAAATACGTATCCTATTATAATTAATCATTTGTTACAAAAGAATTAAACGAATTACAAATAATTAAATTAATAATAAAGACTGAATAAATAAGTAGAATTAATAATAGCAACCAAACAAGTTAATTTATATTAAATTTCGTATAAGTTCGATATAATTATTAGATAAGCAAATAAAATCAATAATAAAGTATAAAATATATAATATAGTTTATAATAAAATATAAAATAAAATAGTTTATAATAAAATATAAAATATAGTTAATAAAATTAATAAATATAAAATCGTTGAACAATTCGACTAACGATCGAACCACGTTTTAACAAATTTTACATTGATCTACATTAAATTTCACCTAATTATCAAATTAATTGATAAAAGTTACTGACAAGACTCGAAATTACCAGAGTTGGCAATAAGAATCAAACAACTTAACAAATTCGCGTTGAATATTATCATATTAATTTCCAATATAAAATTAAAACCTCGAAATAAATCGTTTGCTGTTGCAAAACTAAAAAAAAAAAAAAAAACGTGGGCTTTGGATTCGCAACTTTTACAGCGTGGATCCAGATAACCGGAAGAAAGTGCAACGTTTATTCCACGCGCGGTGCGAAGTTATCACGGCTTGGAAACATCTTATCTGGTGATCGAGCCAGCTTGGTAAATATACATTCTCAACAGATAAATGCCGGTGTGTTTCTAAACTGCATGTCCGTGCAGGGAACGTGCCGTAAATTCGATAAATTCTGCTGCTGCCAGAAATGTTCGTGCTCCATAAACGTTTGTAAATTTCGAGCGAAACCTATCGGGTTTTTTACAATTGGCAAACCTCCCGTAAATCTTGTAAATCTTATTTGTATCACGGCACAAAGGTGCAGTTTATATGTGCACATTTCCGTGTATAATATCGTGTTGTTCAACTGTTTTATAAATTATACCGTGACGTCGTTGAGAAGGAAATAATTTTCGATACAAACGCGCGATATTTTTTTTTTATACTCTACGTTTGTCTATTGCATTTTTATTATAATATCATGATATTGAACAGAAGTAAATATGTATATATATATGTAACGAAGATATATATATAAAGTATTATAATATTAATTATTTAATATAATAAATTAATAAATTATATATATATTGTAATTATTTAACATGGTCAATGAGAGACAGTTCTTACAATTCCATTCCCAATAACGAAAATTTTTTCAATTCTCTTTTCTTTTTTTTTTGCTTAATTGTACTGCAATTATTTAATAATGATTGATATTTACTAGCATAAACGAATCGTTATTTAATGCTGAAATTATCAATTTAATGAGAAATAATTGAATCTCTAGAAAAATATTCAAAAAGATAACTCTAAAAAAATAAATATGATAATAATAATAAATTCTAAATTTTGATGATTTTTTATTTATATAATAGAAGTTTAGTATCAAATGTGGATTTAACTGGCAAAAATTCATTCATCTTATGTTATAAAGCGAGAAATCTCATCCAGCGAAAGAATTAATCAAGTGCTGACTTCGTTCAAATAAATAGAGTTCTACTACACATATAATTTACTTACAACAATTTTTAATTGCTATTTTATGTCATTTCTATTTCGCTATTGTCTTAAAATGAGATTCGAGGTGAACCACTTATTAGCTTATCCTAGTTCTAAGAGTGAATTCGCAATGTAACTACTTACTGGAAATTCAAGTAACCGCAACGTTAATTATACTTTGTTCCACGTAAGAAATTCGTCATTTGAAATTTTTAGTTTCGTCAATTCTACGTTCATACTATTTTAACGTAAGCAATATTCACTTTGGGATGAAAGATTATTGAAATATAACTATTTTTAACTATTTATCTTTAATTTTTTATTTTGTTTCAAAATATAATAATTTTAAAATAATATATTTATTATTATTATTTATTATTTATAATTATTATTTTAAAATGTAATAATTTTAAAGGTTATTTTAAATATTCTTCTATCAATGTCAATTGTTCGTCAATCATGTTTTTATTAGGTTGTAACATAGAAAATGCTGGATTTTTAACAATTTATATTTCACTGAATACTAAATATGAAGATTTACAATTTTGAAATGACGAAAATAAAAATGTTTATTATATTTAGAAAATTTATACAGTGGAAGTTGTTTAACTGAATATGAAACATATTATAATTGAATAATTAAATATATGCAAAAATATATAGAAAATTGCTGATTTTGATAAAAATTGGTAATTCCAAAATATATAAATTAAAATTTGTATCTTTTCAACAGACAAAGACAAATTCAAATTAATCAAATCTCTAATAACATAATAAAATAATTTTCAAAATTAGTAAATTTATATTTAATTAAATTATTATAATAATAAATTACATATATAATTATAGTAAATTTATAATTATTATATTATTTAGTTAATTTTTAATAAACTTACAAAATTTATATAAGAGAAATGAAAGTGCGGGAAATAAAAACAAAACTTGGAACGCAACTTCCAATCCTCTATTTCGCTCTTTCTAAATCTTGATCAAAGAACCATTCAAATTAACTTGTTACTTACGCAAATTGAAAGCGTAATGTTAATATCAATTCTTTCACTTTATTGAAAACACTTTATTAAAAAAAAAACACAAGCTTCCGTTTATATGTATATCTATTCTACAAAAACAAATCATTGAAATCTTCAAAAATACACCATCAAGAAGAAGATATTAACGAAACTCTAGTTAAAACTAAAATTTCTATAGAAAACCGCGAATCGCTAACTTTGATGAAACTTTGGTAATTCCAATGTGAATTAAGAAAGAGATAGATTCAAATTAATCAAGTAACTCAAAACATACCGAAGCAAATTCTGGTAATTTCATTATAAATTAATACAGAGAGATATGGAGAAGTATTATTCGAGCGCTGACCTTTCTGCTGCGAAAGAGGGCGATGATGGTGAATAAATTTCCCGGTATACCGATCAGCATGAAGAGTATGCAGCATCCGGCGGCAAAGTGCAAAAGCCATCGGGGATATCCAACGAACAGCATCGCCGATCCTGGATTTCTGAGGACCTCCTGGATTGTCTCCTCCGTGCCATTGTGACCGGTCTCGTTGCTCGCCATCCAGTACTCCATCTGCGGACAGCATGGTAGACAGGTGTCGTTTTGCACAGGAGCGTAAAAACTGGTCGCTTGATCGCGACGACTAACAAGAACGAATTCTTCCTTTTTTTTCTCTCTTTTTTTTTTCTTGGGAATTAGAGAAGTGATAGATACCAGCGATAGGATGTAATAATACTTGTATAATGGAGAAATTGAGTTATTATTGAGAATAATAATTATTATAATTAATTATGAGAATATAATTTGAAAATATTATTAGAAGCACAATATAGTTTGAATAGGATATAATAATACTTGTGAGATTGTGAAATTGATTATCGAGAATGATAATTGTTATAATTGGTAGACTTTTTGAGAATATAATTTGATAATATTATTAGAAGTTATAATATTATTAGATAATATAATTTGATAATATTATTAGAAGACACTATAATTTGGACATCTTTTGTATATTCTATTATTTCTAAATTTCCTGTGACACTGAATTATGATTGAGAATGATAATTATTGTAATTAGCAGGCTGTAGATTTTTTATAATTTGATTGTTTTAGATGTCATAAATATATGTGTAATAAATATGTAATAAATATAATTTGATTGTTTTAGATGTCAAATATTATTAAAATCACTATAATTTGAATATATTTTCTATATTCTATTCTATTTTGTATACTTTTTTCTTGTTATTGTATAATTTTCTTCATATTAGATACATTTATATTATATTTATATCTTTATATTTTCTTCATATTCATAATTTATATTATATTTCTATTTTCTTTATATCATATATTTTCAAATCTCCTATAAATGCATAAAAATTGGCAAACTAATAATTAAACTTATAATTAGGATATTTATGCATATTACTTATTATGGATATTGAGTATTTTCCAGGAAATAATTAACGAATTAGAATTTAGATGTATACATAGTTACAAGATATTCATCGCAAACGTTCCTATATTTGCTAAAAAAAAAAATTGATATACAGTACGAATAGCTATCTCAAATGTAAAAAGTGTTGAAAACGATTCAACTGAATATTGATAATATAATGATTTATGACTCTCCAAATACTCTCCTGATCTCTGCAAAATATATTGTATACTATTTTTAATTAACTTTGCTTCTAGATTTTTTTTCAAATTTCACTAAATAATTATGATAGTCAAGTCTCATTATAGTGTAATTTCAGTTGATACAAAAGTTTTATCTTTCAGTCATCGACAATTCTAATGTTAAATAGCTCACTCTGTATGTATGATACGTATCTGTCTGAGAGCAAATGATTGATAAGCGATAGCAATTAGTAAAAGAGCCACTCCCACAACGCGACGATAACGAGATCGAGTGTATACATATATGTACACATGGTAGAATCTAATAGAGTATGTTATTTGTTCATGACACACCCACTTAATTCGTGTATCCAATAAATTGATACACGTCTACATTAATCAGCGGTATACAGATTGATCTTATTTAGAAACAAATTGAACTTTCTTATTGCTTTTAAATATTTTTTAAATACAGTTATTCTTTTTCTTCTTCTTCTTATTATTATAATACAGAATAATAATCGAATTTTATATATCTGGAAGTTCTATAATGTTAGTAATTTACTATATACAATTTTTCTCCTCCTGAGTTTCGTCATTTTCTTATTTTATTCAATGATTTTATATTTTCGTTTAATGGTCTCAAAATATTCTGAAATATCTCATATCTACGAATATTTAAATTTTTATTCAAACAGCAAAATGTAACACGTTTTCTTCGATATAACAAGTATATACTCGTGAAGCACAATTAATCGGTTAAAGATTCCAAATATTATAGTCACGATTTCCAGCAGTTGTTTCTGCAAATCGAAAACTCTTGCCTTCTTAAATGAAATTAACAACGTACTTCGTGTAAATAAACTTGTTCCATTTCAAGTCTCCCTTGCTTCCATCCGCGTGTAATTATTTATTTCTTCCTCCCGCTCGTCGACTGTTTTATCCCTTTTTATTTCGTTGAAATATTGAAAAAATGTAACGAAGGTTCCTTTTTTTTCTTTCGTGCAGTACGTCGAAGAGAGAGAAATCTATTTTCGCCACTCGAAACGATAAACTCTTTCAACCGAGAGTAAACTTTGCTTCTACATATCTTCCATCGAATTCGCGTTCATGAGGGATCACAAAATCTGAGCGAATCTTTTTAATTTAATTGAGAAATTAACATCTTTTTTAGCAATTGGACATCAGTGATATTGATCTTATGAATATCTTTAATTTAATAATTATCAAATTGATTGTTACATACTTAATGATTTAAATCCAAATCAATTTCGTTTACTAGAACCTGATAGCCGATAACATTATTCTATTGAAAATTTTCTGACGATTAATTGTTTCTTCATTAGATGTAACTTATTCAATGAACATTCAATCTATGGAAATTAAAGTTGATACTATTTCAGATCGAATTAATCAATTTAAACTTATTTTCCATTCAATCTGATTTATATTTTTGTCAATGTTCTGAAATTTCTGGTATTAATTGTAGATTTATACCAAAATATTAGGTAGAACAAACTATATTAATTTTTTAAATTCAATTGAGAACTTAGTTAATTTATGTAACATTAAAATGTCATTTTAAAATAAATTGTAGAAATAAAAATCCGCAGTGTAAATGTTATATTATATAATGTATAACGTGTGATCTTACTGTTCAGTACATTAAAGAAAAAAAAAAAGCAAAAGTGAATGAATGAATTAATTCACGTTTTATCAGTAGTTTCAACACTGTTCTGTAATGTTATCATCAGCACAATCCTTCTATTCAAGCAGATCCTTACTTAGAATCAACAGAAAGAACGCTTACCTTCGTAGGAAGTAGACGCTGCCGGTTTTGAATTCATTGATGCGAATCATTTATGGAACACCAGACGAATAGAAGCACGTATAGAGAAAATCTTATTTCGATTCATTCGAATCACATTTTTTTCAATAAATCACACTTTTATTCTATTAATTTTCTTCTTGCTATTCTCATCTCATCTTGGAAAATGATTCATTTGGATGAACGTTCATACACAGTACACTAGAAATTATAAATACATTGTTGTTCATGAAGTTTCACTTCAAACACAATATCAGATATTGTAATAAATTTCACACTTTTGTTGATGGAGTTGTTTCATTGTTTTTCACGTTCATAGATCTTTTTCTTGTAAATTACATGTCGTTTTGTAAATCATGTCTTCAATTTTTCACAGGTACATCTACAAAATATTTATATAGCATTATATTTAATAATATTAAATTAGTGTTGAAGTATTATTAAATTATACTAATGCAATATTTATAATTTAATTTAATATATTATTATTATTATCATTATATTATAATTTAATTTATTACGTTATTAAATATTTATGTTATGATACATTAAATATTTTATTGTTGTTCAACTGCAAGAATTTTTAATATTTTTAAGAAAATCTTTATAAATGAATAAAATTAGAACGTGAAATTACAATACTGATACGATTTTTTCATTTTATTTTTGGACTCTGAAAAGTTCCAAGAATTTTAATACTAGAATTAAAACCGATGTGTAGCAATATAAAATATATATATTGCATCAGAGAGATAAAAGTGCAAGCAATAAGAAAATTAAATAAAATATAGTATAAAATTTCATTCATAGATTTTATGAAAAGTTATTTCAAAATTCAAATTTATAAAACTCGAATTAGAGAAATGAATGTGCGAGAAGTAAAAGGAAGTTTATAATACAATAAATTACGAGAAATCATTCGAATTTTTAAATATTTATAAAACTTGCATCAAAATTATAATTCTATAATCTAAAATAATTACAAATTTACCAAACTTGTATCAAAGAAATTAAAATGCAAAGAACAAGAAGAAAGATTTGGAATTCAGGCTATTATTTATATTCAGCTATTATATTTTATTATTTTCAGGAAAAACTATAAATTGATTAGAGTAATCACTCTGGTAGTTCTAGTGTTAATAAAGAAAAATTTACAAATTTTCTTTTCTTTTATTCATATGTTTGAGAAAAAAGAAATTGGCGCAATTTCTATATTACTCTAATATCAAAATTTAACAAATTCTTAATTGAACTGAAGAATCTGATGTTCTAATTTTCACAGTAAAATTTTCATTACAATGAAAAATAAGAAACATATTGTAAAAATGTAAACTGTCGCAGTTGGACAAGATGAACGTCAAAAGAAAGCTTAGATCACCGATTTACACGATTTACATACAGTTAGTTTTCACGAGAGATCAAGGGAATGGAGGTATTACGAAAATAGAAATCCTGATTGAAACCCGTCTCGCGGAATTCGCGAAGCGACTAACCGATCAGTTAACTGGACCACCGAATTTACTGGTACAGATGTGTTTTCTGTATCCTAATAGAGCGCAGGCGTGGGGTTGCTCTCCTTCTCTCTAGAATAAGAGAATATTTCATCTTTTAAACGAAAATCTATTTTATTAAGTTCCCAAAGGATTTGAACAGTATATGTCTAGTATATACTATCGTTTATTAGTAGCAATTTAATTGATTTTTAATGATTAAATTTTAGATAATTTTTAGACAACATGAATAGATAAAAATTTATTTACAATATGTACATATATTAATATATGTAAAGTATAAAACCACTTTGTTAATATTTCTTTAGTTAATATCAATAGTTATTTAATATTAAAATTTTAATACATTTAGAAATGTAACATTCGTGTAAATATACACATATCTACTGCACTATCAAAATCTTTAAATATTCCAACATCCATAAGACTGGATATTTTTTAAGAACATATTAATATATATAGTTCTACATATTAATAATAATATTGTTATACGCATTTTATATATATGTATTGTATTTGTATATGTATTATTAGACTATTATTTATATAAATTTATGTCTTTAAGAACACTATATTGAAATAGAAAAATTTCTATTTATATAGTTATTCTTGAAAAGAATATAATGAACTTACTTAATGAATAAATAGTAGCTATTAATACATTATAGGATTTCTTTGTGAATTACAGAGATCTCTTTCAATCTTGAGTTGTTAACAAATCTCCGAGGGCGGTAAGACATCAACAGTGAAATCAGTGAACTCATTGAACAAACGACATTTAACGTGTCACGCTACTGTGGAGGCGTCGATGCTTAATAGGATACATCAGAAGTCTCAACAACTGCAATTATGTTACTACAAAATATCCGTAGACTCAAGCAAAAATCTCTTTCACTTTCTTACTTTATAAATATTATTTGATACGAAGCATTTATTTTTTAAAAAAATAGAATTGATTTGTAAGAACGTGTTTTGTGTATGTATGTATGACAAAAGAAATATTAATTGAATATAAAAATATAATTTATCATTTCTCTCTTTTTTAATTATTTTTCTTTATCGTCTTTAATTTATCATGATGTATGATATTTATTACAAATTTAATAAGAAATATTTATTACAAATTTAATTTTATTAGAAATTGAATGAAAGATGTAGAACTTTAGTAATTTTGATATTTACATGATCAAAAAGATCAATCAAAGAGAATCTAAGATTTCGAGAAATTATTTCAATAAATCATGAAATTAAAAAATTATATTATTTCATAGCTTGCTGTAATTGTTAAATAACAAACTTTCCATAAAACGAAATTAAGAAAGATATTGCGTAATCTTTAAAATTCCACGTAAGTCTCAGTTTCAAAGAGACTTCCGGTTTAACGCGACATTACAAATCACGCAGTCTCTATCTGGAGAAACGTTTCTTAATATAAGTAGGTGTATACTGTGCACTGACATAGAATTACGTGCTCAGAATGACTTATAGAAAACGTGACATATCTCACTGTCGTTAGTAATGGGATCTAAGATATTTCGAATCGCTTCAATTTTTGAAAATTTTGGAAATTATGAAAATTTTGAGAGCTGCAATTATAAAATATATTAGAAAAAATCCAAAAAATTCGAGTTACCGAATACTCATCACACTGTCAAACCTTGCAATTCTTAAGAATTCTTCAAAATATCCAAAATGATCTAGATATCCATTTGAAAAAGGTAGAACTGCATTTTCCAGATGAATCAATGCATAAAATTATTTTCAAATTATATATTATAGTATGTCATTTAACTTCGATTTATAATGTGGATAACTACGGATTTTTATGCATTTATACAAAAATGCATATAATGCACATGACATGCAGAAATAATACATATAAAACATCTGAGATAGAGTATTTATTACGATGTATAGTAGATAAAACAAATTTCTATTTAGATTGAATTTAAAAATGCACAAAAATCTGCAATCTATTGATAACTAACCGTTTCAAAGATATGGTTTATTCCAGTTGCGTGAAAATAAATCCTGATATGATATACAAGTTTGAAGCGATTCGAAGTGTCTCAGCTCCCATATCAGGCTAGTCGTCGTCGATGCTTACTTTTAAAGCACCTACGCTTTGATTTGAACCACGCGTTCCGTCCGCTTGAAAACACGGTCCCTACATCCTTTTTAAAAATAATTACATTTGGTTACCAACAGAGCCTATGGTGCACCGTGCCAAAGGGGGAGAAAGCAGCTGGGTACGAGCGTGCACAACGGAAGAGTATCCACCGCGCCCCTAATAAATCGGAAGTGGCACCGTTCTCCTCTTTTTTTTTCCTTTCGTCTGCCTCCTCCTTCGCAGAGAAGGAAACGCCATTTACGCCGGTCACTCGATCATCTACTGGTAAATATAATTAATTAAAACGGAAGCCTGACCGTAGCGAGACAAGTGATTTCAGGAGGGGGTTGATTTAAATCGTCCAAACTGATGCTTTGTGTTTAGCTTAGCTAGTTACGTTCTATTGTGTCGGGGTAATTCTTCAAAATCTTTTCAATGGCTAGATGTATGTAAATAATTGGTATTATATGCGATATACTTCTGGTTAATATTGTTTTGCTTATTGTTAAAAGTATTCAATAATTGTATTCAAATAAATTCTCTTTTATAATGAACATGTATCGTGAACTTTATATCATACAGAGCAATTATATTATTTGTTCATCTTTTTCAAGTAATACTTACTAAACATTCATAGTCGGATAGAAGCTCTGCTAATTAATTTCAAAGATTAAAATACAGGAGAGGAAAAACAAAATATTAAAATACAGGAGAGGATTAAATAAAATTAAAATAAGTTATTTGTCTTTTGAGAATTGGATAGATTTGAGTATTAATTATAAGCATGTATTATGTATCATAAAAAACGATTTCTGATTTTAAACCTGCCTGACTCACAGGATAAGTCAGTGGTCATTTCAGACTACATTGACCCATATATGTATAAATTAGAGGACTATGAACGTGTTAAATTGATTTCAAACATACTATAATATCAACATACTATAATAATCATTATTAGTAAAGAAAGCGTGTAGCATTCAAAGATATGATTGAAAGAATGATTGATACTTAAACATAACACATGATCTTACGAAATTGTTTGTAAGTAGATTTAATAGAGAAAATATCTAAACAATAGGTAATATATTCGACCTACATACCTGAAAAGAAACATATTACAGAATAGACACATTATAAAGTAACTTATTAATTTAGTAATTAGTTAAAAAAATTAAATCATAATGGTCGATTAACAAATTGCTATAAATTACTTGTTATAATAATAATAACAAATTGCCACAAATTACTTGTTATAATAATAATAACAATAGTCTTAGTGCCTATATTTAAGTTATTTATTTGGTATTTATTATTGTTAATAAATAATATATTTAGATTATTTATTTGGTATTTATTATTGAAAATAATATCTTAATTTCTGTAATTAAAACTATTTACGATTAAACGTCAAAGGATATGTATGAACTATTGATCAACTCCATAGATTAAAAAGAAAAAAGGAATAATGATGTTGTAGGTACACTAATAGTAAATTCATAAATCATGACTTAGTATTTCTAGCAAAACCTACAATATGACCTAAATCTCATTAGAAAGATTGAACTAAATTAAATGTGAAATTTAAAGAACATTTATGAAAGGAATCTATTTCGAAAATTTTATTAGCACATTTTCTTTGAGACAGGAAAATTTATGTATAGAAAATGTATATTTCCTATATATTGGTATATATATTTTATATTGCGTATTGAAAATATTATAAGAACAGAATATGCATATTATATATTGTAAGAGCAGAATATTTACAATTAATTATACATTATTATTTAATTATACTTTTTATTAATATTATATATAATATAATATATTACATATTATTAATTATATGTTTAAGAATATTTGTGCCCTATATGTATTTTATACATTTTTCTATTTCCATTCCCCGTAAATGTATAAAAATTCACATTTCATTCATAGATTCGTCTATTATATATCAATTCTCATATTTTGTTACAGTTTAACATCCACGATACATGGAGTAAAGTTAAACTGATTTAGGTCGATGTTTTTATAGAAAGGGGACTGAACGAGCGGTCCCTTGACAATAAATCGTCAAACGTTTGCTTTTTATTAGAGATGGGGGTGTAACTCTAGGCTTAATCTGGGGCAATATGAACGCTTCCAGTGAGTGGAAACTGACAACAATTTAACGATGATAGTGCTTCAAATCGATTTGAATCACAATTTTCTGCGAACGTCATATTCGAAGAAATCCATCATTTCACGAGAAAGCAACACTTTCTAATCCGTGGCAGGATTGTAAATTTGTTATTCGTTTGTACATATATTGTGATTCACGAAAATATTTAGATATTAGTTATATTCGTGAAAATATGAATATAAATTATTTTATACTTGTCTAATCACGAGTTGTAATTTCTCCTTTTTGTGACTTTACTAATTTTTGGAAAATTTTGAATATCTATTAGTTTTTGGTAATCTTGGAGTACATACGGATTTTGATAGTATAATAATAGTAATTGCAACGTACATGATTAATATCCAATTTTTAAAAAATTAATTAATTAATTTAAATTCATAAATTAATCTGTTAAAAGAAATGACGTAAATAATTGTGAATTTCTAGGGAAATTTTTAAAAATAACTCTTATAATTTTAGTCTGCATTTATGAAAAATTCAAATATAGAAGCACATAAAATATTTAAAGTACAGTTTCTACGATATTATTAATTAATTTAATAAACAATTTAGTAATAATAGTAATTAATTTATTAAGTAAAACAAACCTCAATATTGTTTTCACTTTTCTAGTTGTGTTTACTAACCTAGTTACCACCATCCTCAAAGTTTTCAGTTTTGAAATTAATTAATGTGACTTCTGACGTGACAGCGAAGATTTTAATTAACGCTAATAGAAATTCGTAAATATGATTAATCTTACGTTTTTCCATATCCAACAAATTAATGATTAATATCCCTGGCTTGTGGTGCCCGGATGAGAGTTTTGTGGAAACTCGTTCATTCGTCACAACGCACTAAAAAGAATATTGTCAATCTATAAACGTTCGACGCACCTATAGCAATATCCGAAAAATGGCGGGAAAGATAACTAATCCAAACCTAACCCCTACTTTTTAAGAATAGTCGTGCTCCTTTATAATTTGAATAAATATTTATGTATTTATATAATACGTAAAATATAATTTATATAATACGTAAAATGTAATTTATATAATACGTAATATATATTTATAAAATATTACTACAAGCGTCTAAATACTTGTACGAGTCACTCTATATTTTCCTGAGAATAAGGAATAAAAAATAAAATAAAAAATAAAAAAGATTACCACAAAACATCATAAACGTTTCTTAAAAGCGCCAACTTCTCAGGTTCGTTCGTAATCACACACATGTCAACACACAGTTTGCATTTACACTCGTCGTCACTCGCCTAAGTCCATCCTCCCCCCTCCCCCTCCCTTCCGTTTGCTTTGGGCCCATATCTAGCACGGTAAGCAGTCTAACCGTGGTGACGGTGACGAACGGGTTGTTTCTATATCGCTCCGTGTCACACTTTTTTCCTGTTATTTGTCGTGACAATCGATTTCCGTTCGTGAATCTTGATCGACAGACGGTGTCATACATTCCTGAAAATCCTTAATTTTCATTGAATTAATTCCACACACGCGAACTACATTATCGACATAATTATATCGTGAAGAAACATTCGAAAACAAACGAGTAAAATGTGTCTAATTTAACCTCTTTCACATGACTCAGATTATTACCAAATTAGCATATACATGTTAAACGTACAATATTACTACTTGATGAATTTCGTGATTAATTTCATAGAAAGAATCACGTGAACGAGCATCCCATATGTACATCTGTACGAACGTCTTCGTGTGTGAGTCAAGAAAGAATCAAGGATCTTCCTCGTTTGCGGATGTCCTGTCGGCTGCTATGGACGGATGACTCGTGAAAGGAATTAATGCGGTGAGTCAGTATCGAAACCCGCGTACACGATTCCCACAAGTTTTATTGCGTCGCCGTGTAGTTTTATTTGAAAAGGATACGAATGAAAGTCGAGTGCGATTTTCGAGTGGCGTTCAAGTGTTCAGTTGACGCGTGAAACGATAGTTGGCGATGTTCTTATTCGTGCAAACGGTAATTGGCTCGGGGGGACATCTGCGTCATTTTGAGGACCAATGCCAAGATCCAGGCAAAAAAACGCGCGTATGGCTTTTGTACAACGTTTCTCTGTGGTTTTCTCTTTTCTCTGCTGCCGTCTTCTTTCTCACTGTCTCCCCTGTGAGATTTGTCTTCAGCTGCGGACGTGCAGAGCACGTGGTGCGCTATGGGCGGGTTTCGAATGTGTCACGGCTCCATCGGTTTTGAATTCCGTTTATAAACGCGCGTTTGTAACTCAAACGACCGCTCACGCTACTGCTCATGCGCGGCTATTTAAATTTTTTAAACTGTTGCTCACTTGCAACAGCGTATTACTAAGCTAAGAAGATAAAACTAACCTTTTTTAGTTATGAAATTACGAATAAATGAAGGTACAAATATTTCATTCTTTATTATATATATTATAAATAGGCACAATAAAATACTGTGACAATATAATATGAAATAATAAAATTCGCATGTATTTATACGTATTTATACTTATTGTATTTGTACTTATATTGCGAAGTCCTGTTGATTTTTCTTGTTACTTGACAAGCTTTTTATTTGCAGATTCTTTCATTTGGAAATTAAGAAATTAAGATATTCTAAATAGAATATTAAATAATCTAAACTGATAAAAAATTATCACTACAGAAAATAATATTTGAGTAATGAATGTATATAATAATGGTAAGATATATTATTGCTATGTGTGTTTTTAAAAAATAATAGTAAATATTACATCTAGTTATTAATTCATCATTAATTTATATATTAACAAAAATTAAAGTATTGTACGTGAATTTGTACGTATTCCAATACTTTGATAGTGTACGAATGTTGTCAAAATATTCACATATATAATATGTAATATAATAAAATTTTATATTATATATTATTACATATTATACTTAATATAATTCGTAATATATAATAATGTATATAATAATATATAATCTGTAAATTAACGATAAATTACATATACAAATTAATAACTGGAAACAATACTTGTTATTATTTTATAAAATCTGAAATATTTAGAAAACTAACAATAATATATGTACAATAATATATATATAACTATACAATATACAACATGTCGAAGGACAATAATTACTGACTTGAAATAATATCTGCAATCTTCGAAAAAAATTTGTGAATCATCTTTATTAGATTTCTTCCGATTACTCAGAAAATTAAACTAGCTGAAAATAAAAAGCTTTCGAAAGAACAAGATAAGTTCATAAGACAATTCTAAAAATCGATTATCGTGCCACATAATATTGTGAAAATGTGAAGAACAAAGTAATTCATTTACTTTTAGTCTACTTCATTACTTATAATAATACTTTTAGTATTACTTGTTTACCTAATCTCTCAGGTGACATTGTGAAAACATACACTGTTTTTTTAAATTCACGTAACATTTTTTATACGAATATTGCGGTAAATAATTTTTGTTTAAGTGACTTTTTTTGCAGACAATATACATTTATTTTAGCAATCTAACAGATAATTGCTTTTACTTGGTTTTAATTGGTTTTGTGCGAATTCTTGTTAACATAAAAGTAAAAGTATCTAGTACACATTTGTACTATTTCTAGTACATTAAATTAATTACTATATAATAAATACTATAATACAGATATAATATTCAGTAATTTTGTATTAGACAATTTATTTATGATAAAGCATCATAATTGGCATAACATTGAATTATAACTAATTGTAGAGATTCATAGTCTACTTACCTATAATTGATGCACGCATTTCATTCTATAATACATACAGTTGTTACTTAATACCTATACTATCTTCGATTTATCCTCGACTTTTTCGAATTTGTTTCTCCATCCATTCATTTGCATAAGTCTGTTTCGCTCGTTGAAATCTACTAAATATTTATTAACACGCCGGGCGAATGCATTTGCATCGTTCATTTAGAAAACATATTCTGTTTGTAATAATTATTATCGACGTTGACGCGAATACTTTTAGTCAACATTCTGCTTAACAGCGATAGCGGTTAATTAAAGGCAATCTAGAATTCTCGGAAACTAGCGTGAATGCTCAATTGCAACGAACGTCTGTTCCATTTCCGAACCCGTGTCTTGTTCTCTCGATACATTAACCCCTTGCACTTCTGCGTCATCGCCATCAGGTTTTGTAGCCTGACTCCGTGCAAAAACCAAATGTAAGCACAAAAAGGAGGAAGTTACTCCATCAATTAAGCTTCCAACGTTATGGTTAAACTCAATTTTGTGAGTACTATTGTTTTACATTTGAATAATAAGAAGATTAACTCTCTGACCAAGCCAAAACTCACGATAATTACTATACTAATTGCATGAATTCACAGAAGTTTTATCTAAAAACTTCTGTGAATTCTATAGTTTTATCTAAAAATCACTAGATGATATTATAGTATAGACATTATAGTATCTGTAATATGAGTTAAAAGTGAACCGAATTGACAAATTTTTGGTCGACAATTCAAAGAAAATTGACAGTGGAATATTCAATGTCTGAATTAATAGAAAGACAAAAATTTTAATCAATTTATGATATAACAACTGTTGAAGTTTTAATCGATTTAATAATAGAACAATTACTTTTTTTGATATTATATTGTATTTAAATGGAGGTTTAAAAAATTATTTATTTATCAATATTAAGAATACTACATATGACAAAATTATTTATCAATATTTAAAAATGCTATATGTTTTTAGCTATTTTTATACATTGTCTTATAGAATTACACTTTTTTTGTACTTCGAATTAGAAAATTATTAAAGTCCTTCCTATGGAGTAAGGAACACATCCATTTTCATTCACTATGCAAAAAAAATTAAAACATCTTTCACCCATAAGCGAAGCTTCTTAATATTACTTTATTATATTATAATAAATAATTACTGCTTGATCCTTAATGGTTTGATTAAACGTTTTCAAAAAATAACATATTTGAAAATATTGAGAAATAAGATAAAGATAAAATTATTTATCCTAACTTCCATTATAAAAGTTTATAAATCTATCTAGTGGGAAATCCGAAATAATTGATAATATGTTTAACACCTGAGCAATTCATCATGTGCTCAAACTTCCAAGTAGAGAATCTTAATTACGATAAAACTTGATTATTAATTATTACAGGTAATATCCAGTGAAAGTTGGATATTAAAAGACAATAAAATTGGTTTCTACGTGAAACAAGACGTAGGCATAATTACTGATAAAAAAATTCCATAGTTCGTGCGTGAGATTTACTTCTTGAGCGAATTATATGTTTAGGAATAAAAAGGAATTTCAATTAAAGCACGGAAACTGATATCTCGTCGTTGCAAGGAATGCAAGAGAAATCGTGTTACTATATGCAGTAATACGTGAAATATGTAGATGTGAATATAGAAGAAATTTTCAAAATAATTTACAATCATAATTAAAAGTTCTTAATTTATTAAAATTCGTTTCACTTCGTTCAAATTCAGTAAGTTCATTACAGTGATACTTAATTAAAAAATAAGAGAAACAAGAATAAAAAGAATTTCAGCGATATTTTTGGTAATTAAGTCCCAGCAATGGTCATAATTAAAAAAACCACATCGAGACTATTTACGATTAAGCGCAATTTAATCTTAACATTGATGTTAGGAACGTTTACCCAGTTTTATTCGCGTGGGTGAGCTTTCCCTGAACTCGATACACGTGTGCAGAACGTACACATGTGTTGCACTCGAAATACGAGCAACCCGTAAATTTCAATCCGCATTCTGTATACTAGTGCTTTAACAGCATTAACACCAAGAATACGTTCAGTGTCACAATAACCCGCCATTGTTTTGCTCTCTGGTTTCTCTTACCACAATTGTACTTGATCGTTTCTTGACTTTGAACCTATTTCTAAAAACACGTTCAATCCACGTCGTCTTCTTCTAATTTTTTGAAACGTCTTCTTTTAACTTTTTTCAATGTGAATTTCCTTGAATTTTATTTCTGTCTATAGTGTATGTATGTATAAGGAAATTCTATATTCTATATTTTGTATTCTATATGCAAGATTGTATTCTGTATTTTATTTTCTATGTTTTATATTCTATATTATATTTTATATTCTATTCTGTATTTTATATTTTATGTACAAGATTATACTCCAATAATAACTAAATTTATAATAACTTTATAATTCTCTGATACAATTTTTTGTATAAGAATGAACAGCTATTATAATGAAGAATCTTAGGATTTTGATTATTCAGTAAAGTCCATCTTTAGAAGATTGTGCCAATAGTAACTCTAGTATTATTCAGACGAGACTTCCATTTATAGTTGATGGAAAAAATCTTTTGGATATTTGCAAATTATTAGGATTCTACACATTACAAAACAATGCAAATATAGTGTTGTAGATCTAAGTAAACTACCGATACAATCATAATAATTTTATGATTATTAAATTAATCATTGTAATCATTGTTGATTATTTTTCTCATTCATTAATTAGTAATGTGATTCCACATTAATCGTAATCGTTAATCATTAATCAGATTACGTTTTCCTTATATCAGATTCACATCAAACGCATTGCTTGTTTCAAATTCAACATCTCTGTACTGTACATCTCATCAATGAAAGCAACGTTCGTCCTAAGAAAGTAAAAAAATGATACATCGTCAATAAACAAGGTAATCGGACGATTTGCATGAGCGCAGCACGCGTATGTAATACCGATCGTCCGCGACTCGTCGCCGGCCTCTTGGACACTTTCACCGTGACTCAACTTGACTCATTCATTGCCATTCGCCGCGTGATTAACTCGGAAATCATTCGATGACGTCAGGCAGTTCACCAGCGGATTCTATGAAAGACGACGTGTGACGTCTTCTACGACGGTTTGTCACTTGGTGTACCACTTTGAAACACGAGAAACATACCATCGACTATCTGGCCATAGCTTAGAAACGTAGCACAGCGAAGGAGTTTCCACGTGCAGAATAAAAGTAAGCAGATGAAGCTTGAAAGAAGCGCTAGCAATTGTACTGTTGCACTGAGTGTTGGATATAAAAAGTTGCAGAAAGTCGAGATGCTGAGACCTGAGTCGAGTGCTCGGTAAAATGGTACTTGAAATTTCCCACGGAGTGTTCCATTGGTTCATATGAAATAATTATTTACTGTCATATTGATTGAAATATTTATTATAATTTTACAATTCACTGTGCATCTCAATTATATCTTCTTTTTTCTTTAGACTAAATTTGAAATGTAGTTATTTGAAGTATATTATTTATTTCATTGTACTTGCAGTGGAGTATTTTATGGAATTTTTACTTGAAAGATCAAGATATGTCTTGACAAGTATAATTAATCAAAATATTTATTTGATATTACACGTTTCACAAGATTTTACAAGACCCACTTGATATGAATTTCAATTTGTATATATTTTTCAGAATAAGTTTGAAATAATTATTTTTCTCATTACACGTGGAATTTTCACGATATTTAAAAAAGATCAAGGTATGCCTTTGAAAATACGATTGCTCGAAATATTATTTGAAATATTTATCTGATTTTGCATTTTTCATAAGATTCATTATATATATATTTTTTTTCAGAATGAGTTTGAAATAATTATTTCTCTCATAATACGAAATATTTGATGGAATTTTTTTAAACACTCAGACGTGTTTAACAATCCTCAACGAATACGATAATGTGCAGTAGAATAGCAAAACTGTTTGGTATGTTTTAGATATCTGGTTTTAGATGGTTATTTGGTTTTAGATATCTCATGAATTCTCAAGCTCGAGTCTCTCCAAAAAAGGAAGCTTCTTTATTCTTTATTTTTTTCACGTAGAATCATCTCCATTCTTTTACCACTATATTATTTTTACTTGCAAATCTGTTTCTTAATTCTTCTCGATTATAATATAAAGTCGCATATGTGGTGCAAATTATCCATTCGATAAATAGAATTAAAATTTTACTTAATTGCAGTAATATATACTATAACATTCTCTTCTCAATATTTTACTCTTTTTTTTTCATCTCTTATTCTCTTGCACGTACTTTATGTACGTAATAGACATATAAATTTATTCATAAACTATCATAAAGATACACACTATTGTATTGAAATGAAAGTATTGAAATTACTTCTAAAAAAAGGGATAATCTTCTGTGGTTCTTATGGATCGTCGTCACATGTAATAATCGACTGAAAGAGATAACTTTAGACACAAGCTTTAAGCGCGAAAAGAGAAGATAGGGCAACGAGGGCGAAGTCACCCGTTCCCATGCCTTCCATCAGTTTTGACGAGTTTTTTGTTATAGGGGACCGCCTAGTACCGGGTGTCCGTTAATTTCTCTTAATTAAACTCAATCGAGGTTAATGCACCGCAGCTTGACCTTAGTTTACCAAATCCAGCGTAGCCTGAACGCAGCTTATAGTTTCTTTATCGATATCTCTGCTATATGTTACTTTAAACACCGTGTCAATTACATTCGTTATAGGTGTTATATGTATTTGTACGTGACACATAGTACGTCGGTTATGCGAATTACTAGTGTATTAGATTTGATAGATAGTGTTTCATTATTGAAGGCACAAGAAATGTCCAGAATAACCAAACGTGTAGAATACAATTTTTTTCACAAAAGAAAAGCTTCGCTCTTGGAGAAAACATGGTGAATTTGAAACTTTGATCGAGTACACGTTCACTAGTTAATTTTTAATTAAACATGTTCGAACTCTCGTTTTCTTGAGAACGAGACTTTAAACAAAAGAATTTTATTTTACAATTTTCATTTATTTTCACAGACAAGTTAAAAATTTCGAAATTGAGCAATGTAAAACCTAAATTTTTATGACTTTCAGTGTCCAATAATACCAGTTAGGGATTAATAATCACTTGGAAAGGACGGAAAAAATTAATTAGGATTAGCGTCTTACATCGTTCTTCGTAAATCTTCCAGATGACCTACTTCCGTCGGATAAAAACACTCTTCCACTCACCCTATAAAGAATAATGTATTCCTCCGTGTCACCTTTTGTGATTAATGTTCCTTTAATTTGCATATACAGCTTCCTAAACGATCGTAGATTATCAATAATGATTAGCGTTAGCCAACCTGAACCTAGCCAGAGTTTCTTCATCCTGGCATTATAGTAGTAGGTACATATATAATACTTACAATAGCAAAATTGCTACCACACCCTGTGGTGTGTATAACGTGATTGCAAAACTACTTCAGAATCTCAATTTATTTGTCATAACTATTCTAAACTTAGAATAATACATCACATTATAATTACATCATTGTGGCATCATTCATTGATAAGAAATATCAGCGTGATAAGAAATATCAGTGATATTAATTCAATATTATTTTATATATATTAATTTAATTATTGTACGTACGTGTCTTATACATATTGTATATAATCTTCAGTTTTTAGATATTTATGCAAATATATATTTTCATAGAGATAAGAAGAGAAGTATGAATTATTTTGCAAATTCATATTTATGTGAAAATAATTAAAAATGACCCCAGATAGGAGTTTGTTTCATTTATTAAATATAACAGAGTATGATAATAATTTATTATTTGTATATTTAAATTCCCATAAAAATTCGCATTCTAATTTACTATTAATTTAATATTAATTATTCAAAAACTTAATTTATTATTAATAAATATAATTGATATGATGGTAGAAAATAATTTAAATTTTTTTATATAAATATAACATATGTAATGTAATGTAATATACATATCTAATGAAGTATTATAATATATACATAACATATGTAAAATAATAGTAAAAAAAAATTTACTTTAATATAATTTAATTTAGTTTGATTCGTTTCATGTAATTCTTATTTTTACAAAGAATATTTATACATACAAGAAATAAATTTTATCGTTGCCTCACGATTCTGTAAATTAACGCGTTATAAAGGGGAACGAGAATTCCCACGAGGAGGAAACCGCGACCTAAACTTCCAGAGTGATCCACTATGCGTGACGCAAAACGGAAGTTGCGTTGTTGCTTTGAAACAATTCGGAATCTATCCAATGAAACAGTTTTCGTTTCATTTCACAACTGTATGGCGTTAGAAATTATTCGATCAACGTTCCAAGGCGAAATTCTGATGAATCACCAATCAATTTTAAACCGTCGAAATCAATCTGCTTTTGCTTTATACGCAACACTTGGGAAAATAATATTACTCTAAAAATATTACTAAAACTGAGCTGTTTATTCTCTTCAAATTAATTAACTTCTCAAAAGATAGAAAAATTGATAAAGTAATAAATATTTTTTATTATTAAAAATATTGTGTTAACATCTACAGTCATTATCTTTACAATATTAGAAAATTTAAAGAAATTGAGGCATAATATATTAAATTAAATATTATATATATAATACATTAAATTAAATCATTACTTGATCCTTATGGATTAAAATTTTTTTTAAAACTTACACTTGTATTAGTAGTACGTATTATCACAGACATAATTTTAACAATGTGCAAGATACTTAAAATTATATATCTCTGGAATTATCACATTGGTCTCTGAAATAAATTATTTATTATTTCACGGTCAAAAAAATTTTTATCATTTAATAATGTTATATCTAATTATTAAGAAAATTTATTTTACATATAAGAAATTAAATATCAATGAAGAAATGCTCTGGTAAAAGCAAAATTTAAGAAAATTCAAAAAATGGAATTACTTTGATCTGTAAATGACTCAAATATGAATTGAACGTATATAACTTCAAATTCATATTCAAAATAAATATTTTCATTTCTATGACAATTTTATTGTCTATAATAAATACTAAATATTCAAAAAATAAAAAGTCTTAAAATTTAAAAAATTTCCTGAAAGATACCTTAGGATTTAAAAATTTTATGACTCACGATGAATACTGAATATTAGAATTAATAAAATGTATCCTGAAACTTTTGAATGGAAGTGTGCGTACACTTACTTTAAATTAAATTTTTCTTTAAATGAACATATCTCATTTTCTTTACTCTTGTTTCTTTCAGGCCTCGGAGGTGGTCAAAACTGAATGAATCACTGGAAACAAATCGGAATTCATCAATTTTAAAATGGATAAATTGGCCACATGGCACATATTACGTGCTTCAGGGAATAATACAGAAAATGCATTAATCGATGGCGAAGTGTCGAGGTAATTGTGACTTTTATCAGTGAAACTTAAAAGACGGAAAATGTAAAAAATTTCTGCAATATAACTCTATAATATTTTTTCATATTAATTTAAGAAAAATTAATTATCGTGTATGTATAGGTTTATGTACAGGATACCATCAATCAATATATAAAATATAAATCGATCTAATTTATCGATATAGTAAACCATAGTGATCTGATTTAAGATAAAAAGCTTGAAAAATGTGTTATGATTATGAATTGAATTGTTGTTAATAATGTGTGAAATAACTTGCAGATATGAATTAATAAAAACACTTTTTTATAAATTTTAATCTAATTATTTGATTTTTCTGTACAGATTTCCTAAACCGCTGCAAACGTTCGCAGCTGTGGTTGCAATACTAATTATGATCACTGGTCTTGCTGGTAATTTATTGACCATTATTGCACTGTGTAAATACCCCAAAGTTCGCAATGTTGCAGCAGCCTTCATTATAAGGTATACAAAAATGTAGAATTAATTTTTCATTAATAACGAATATTTATATAGTGACGAATAATTATATTAGTAATGTATGATTACATAATATATTGATGAAAAGTTCTTCTAAATGTTCGAATATTTTCCTAAACAATTACATATACCAAAGTTATAATTATACAGAAATTATTAAAATACATACAATATTTTTAAATGCTTCATTTTAATATACAATACTTGTTTAATATACAATAATGTTAATATATATTACGTATTTATAAAAATATTTCATATGTTAATATATTATATATTTATTTCCTATGCTTATAATATACATTTATATTATATATATATTTATTTTAATATTTATTTACATTATTTTGTCTTCTATATTTTATTTTATTTCACTTTTCATGAATGAAATATTATATATAGTATATAATATGAAATATTATATATAGTATAAAAATTTGAAAAGAAGATAATCTGAAATTTTATTAATTATTCCAGTCTCTGCGTGGCAGACTTTGTATTCTGTTTGCTTGTACTACCATTTGATTCCATCAGATTCATCGATGCAAGTTGGGCGAATGTACGATTTTTATGCATTCTTGTGCCTTTTCTGAGATACGGAAACGTTGGCGTGAGTCTTCTCTCCGTTGCAGCTATTACTATCAATAGGTATAATCTATATAAATATAATCTGATATAATCTTTATATAATTGACATATATTATCTAATATAACATATATAAATTATAGTACAACATTAATTATATTAATTGATATATATTATTAATAATATTGATATATTATATATACAATGTATATATAATAATGTATGTCATACATTAATTATAGAATTTCCTCGAGTCACTTAAATTATTTTAAGCATACAATAAAAGTGAGATTTTGTAATTTTCTTCGACATATGTGTTATTCTCGTTCTTCTTCACTGAACATTGTAATTCTACTCCCTTACTTTATAATTACATTCTATAATTAATTATTTTGTAAATAAATTTCGCATTTTATGAAATTAAATATTGACATTTCATAAATTTTTTTATTTTAGATACATTATGATAGCTCACCACGGCTTGTACAGCAAAGTCTACAAAAAATATTGGATTGCATTTATGATCTTATTCTGTTGGTTGTTCTCTTATGGGATGCAAGTACCCACCCTCTTAGGAGTTTGGGGTAAGACATAATATATTACAGTTTAAACAAAGTTGAAAGTAAGTAAAGTTAAAGTAAGTAAGAATATTATTGTTATTTGATGTTTATCTTTTAGGTAAGATCGATTACGATCCGAATTTAGAAACTTGCTCGATCGTGAAAGATAGCAGAGGTCACACTTCGAAAACTTTTCTCTTCGTAGTGGCTTTCGTGATACCCTGCTTGATAATCATTGGTTGTTATACTAAAATATTCTGGGTCGTACACAGGTAATGCGCAGCTATGATTTACACAAATAAAATAAAAATTTAATGAATAATAAAATTAGTTAGAAATAAAGTAATAATAAAATTAAAAAAACTATATGTGAAAATGTTTTGAATACTTTAATGTTATACTGTAAATGTTATAAATATATATATTTTAGAATATGGAACAATAATTGAATAGTAAAATAAAATCTAGTTATATTGCTTCGGTTTTTAAGAAAAAAATTTTAAACAATTTAGATGTATTTTTAGATTTGAAAACGAATAGAATCGAAATATAAAAGAAGTAAAAATTAGAAAAATACGCGCATTTTTTCATAAGTTTTATTATTATAAAAATAATAATGTAATTAATTTATATATATATATATATATATATATATATATATATATATATATATACACACACACATATTGCTTTTAGTAATAATAAACTAATTATAAAAAATAGAAAGAAAAAGATTATTTTGTAACAATATAAATTATATAATACAATATAAATTTATAATACAACAGTTAATTTTATAATTTAGCTGCTACAAACATTTTAATAACTTGCATCGATTATTGAATGTTTTTTAATAGAAATGATGGAATTAAATCTTTCATCGTATATTATCATATTTATTTCTCCTAATTTACAGATCTGAAACAAGAATGCGGAAACATACAGCTCCAACGATAAAATCGCCACATACACCTGGTAGAGATACTAGGGAAATCAAACAGAGACGTAGCGAATGGCGAATCACAAAAATGGTCCTAGCTATTTTCCTTAGTTTCGTCGCTTGTTATCTTCCAATTACTATTGTTAAAGTTGCCGATGTTGAAGTTAGATATCCAGGTAATATATATAATAAATAAAATGAAAGTTATAAACACAATTATAGTTGCAAATTAGAGCTTTATTGACACAATTGCACATAATTTTTAGATTTGCAACGACAGTTTAAATTCTGGATTACAAAATTATTTGTAAATTAATATTTTATAACGTTAATGACATTTCTTAATTATATTGATACTTGTATTATTTATTATTTATATTAATTGTTTGTATTATATTAAATTAATATAATAATGAAATTATACTATATTACATAGAGTAATGTTCTATCCAATATTATAATATTAAATACTATTATCTGCAATTATAATATTATAACATCAACATAACACATCTGATATTATTACACTAGTATTTATAATATAATATAATTATAATATATTATATTAATATTGTATTACAGTATTTCAAATTTTGAGCTATTTGTTTGTCTATTTTGCCTAATATTATAATACTAAATACCATGTGTTAATACTGACACTGTTTTGCTACAGCATTCCACGTTTTGGGCTACCTGCTTCTCTACTTTGCCTCTTGCGTGAACCCGATTATTTACGTGATCATGAACAAGCAATACAGGCAAGCGTACGCTGGTGTGATCGGATGTTCTCGGATAAGAGCGAGTCTATCACCGTATGGCAGTAGTGCACCCGGTCATCAACAGCAGGACTACGGCCAAGGTAACTTCGAGCACCGTCGCGTGGTAACCAAGCTCTGACCGAACGCGAGCTAAGCGACCACACTTCGCTCATTTCGTAAGTCAAGGGCACAAATTCGCTGCTTCCTAAGATTGCATTTGGTTACGCGGGCATGTCCACGTCTCTCATTTTTGTTGTGACATTCGTATTTGCTTACTTAAATTTCAAATTCAATTAAATAATAGGAGAAAAAGGAGCATTATGTTATGTTATATATATGTGATACACAAATTATTATATATTATTTGTTGTAGTGTATCAATTGTTGAATTTTAAATTTCTTTGTTGTCATATTATAGTTTGATGTTAATTGTTATTGTATGAAAGATAGTTTCGATTTATATGAAATATTATTATTATAAATGTTTAATTGAACGTTTAAGAAATTATTTTCTACAAATATTTAATAAATAATGAATATAAATATGATTTTATTTATCTTTGTTATTACAACACAATTCAATCTTAATTTCTCATCTATAAAAGATAACTTCGATTTTAATATTTATAATATATAATAACGTTTAATTAAAATTGAAGTTATATTTTACGCAAGAGGTATTAATATTAAATTATGATATAGAAGCAGAAATAAATAAAATTACATTTATATTATTATTAAATAATATAATTTAAAAATTATAAGATACAACTTACAATTAAAAATTGTAATTTTTATTAGAATTTCTAATACATAGTATTATAGAACTTTTGTTTTTTAAATAGAAGTAAAAAACATATCAGCTAAATTAAATTTATACAAATTCTTAAATTGTAAGAATATCCTTTATCTTTTTATTCATTTTCTTAACTTAACTTAATTTTAACTTTAACTTTAATTTAACATAACTTTCTATGTTAACTAAACGTATTTGTTAACATTTTTATCTTGTTAACTCGTTAACATTTCTATTAAATCTTGTTTATATTTCTATTAAAATCTTAGAATAACAGTAAAACAGAAGTACTAAGCTAACCACATTCATAAATCAGTCTTTCTCTGTTTGATTTTCTCCATTAACAGCTTTCTGCTTGCTGCTGTACAACACATGGATTGTTGAAGCACGCGTTCGAAGGAGAACTAGTATTACGAATTGATTTGTATTTGTACTACTTTTCTTTCAGATTATTCAAAGGACTTTAGTAAGACGATGGTATCAACAGTTTCCATCGCCATGAATCCAGTAAGAAACTCGCGTTTCGAGGAACAACTTTAATTTTAGGACTAAATTGCTCCCCAAAGAAGAAAAGTGTATAAAGGATGTTATTAATTAACTTTTAAAGACAGAAGACAGTATTCAAAGTATTTCATAATATCTATATATTAGTTACTCCAAGTGTGATATACATGATATAAGAATAATGAAGGAAGTAAATAGAAAAATATACATGGTAGAACTTTGATTATCTAAAGTAGAGAATTGTACTAAAATTTTGTTTTTATATGAGATATTTATTCTTTATATGAGATACTTATTTTGTTCTTTATATTAATTATGATTTTCTATTGGAATATTAATATTAAAGAGAAATGATGACACAATTGATCAGTAAGTGTTCTTCAACTAATTTTAATTTTCTGAAGTTTTCAACAGAACGATTTTTCTCAATGTTTTCTACAAGGATTATTAATCCTTGTATAATATTCCCATATAATTTATCATATATTTATTCTGATAATCAAAGTTTTAACTATTTATTATTGTAATCGTGATTAAAATGACTTTCACACTTCAAACTAATGTTATGAAACACTTATATCTTATAGTTAAAAATATAAGAATATACCATGAAAAAGAAAATGATCATTGAGAGAGAAAAGTATGTAAATAGAAAAGAGATCTGAAAACAGTATAATTATCTGGAGTTTATTAAGAAAATCAAAGAATAAGCAAAGACACTACAGTGCTGTTATTGATTTATCTATAATAGATTAGCTCATAGTGAAACATAGGTAGTATTGTATAATAAAATTATAAGTTATTTGTCTAGTGACAAATTGGACATTATGAAAGTTAAGAAAGATGACCAGGAAGAAAGAAAAGAATACCAGGTGTATTTAATTTTACAGACAATTAAACGTCGAGTTTGTACCAAAGGTAACACGTAAATATGCTTGTACATAAAAGTTACGTGTTAATTTCGTTAAATCTTTACCAAAATGTAAAAATATGTTAAGGATACAATTATGAATTTTGAAGTCGATGAATTTTATGCAATTTAATGCCGTGAATTTTCTTTATATTTATTTAATATTTTCGATTAAGTGACGAACAGAAATAATGTTGAAAAGTTATCAAAGTACAAATTAAATAAATTGAATTTTATCATTTTAAACAATTATTTGCATTTCCCCCCCTGTGAGTGTTTAATCTTGCTTCATTAAAAATGTATAAATACAATTGTTTATTTTATCAGATGAAATAAAAATTCTGTAAATCATCATAAAACTTCATCATGCATATATTTTAAAATAAATACACTATATTTATATATAAATTTATCATATTCCTAAGATTTAATATCTGATATATTTAAGAATATTCTAATTGTGCATATTTGTGACGTAATATTTACGATTAACATAGACGTACAAATTACATATTAAAACATATGCATCGCGGATAAATTAATATCAAATATAAAAACCAAGTTTTTCGGATGTGCGTTATCAGAATGAATGACATGGATATTTGATATTTTCAAACTACAATTACGATTTGCAACACCCACTCTTTTCACAAATCATTGGCTTGTCTCGTAATCGGACAGAATCACGGATTCCTCCATCCAGTTTACTTTTGAGCACGTTGTCCACGAGATAACGCATCGCCACATCTGTAAGAGAGATTAATAAATAATAAATAATATAATACGATTATAGAAAATAAATAAACACCATTGTATCTATTGTAGTTTAAGAAATATTTGTTTTATAATTGGAATTTAATAATGTAATTATTGTATGTGACGCAAATTTTTATTTTTATTTATTTATTATTAATTTTATAATTAATGTATTTAACAATTTCATTATTATTAATTATAATGATATAACGAATAATCAATTATAATTGAGAGATTATAATGAGAAAATACTATGAAATAATATGAAATTTAATATGCTTGAACTTAATTAAATAAATATAAAATACTTTATGTCAAATCATTGTAATTTATATTAGATTATATGTAATTAAATAATATGTATATATAACTATATTATTATATTTATTTAAGTTCAAGCATATTAAATTTCGTATTATTTCATAGTATTATTTTCTTGTGACAATAAGATCTGATACCATGAATGTAAAATATGCTTTGAACTATGTTAGAGAAAAATTAATGATAAAAAATATTATGAAATAATATTTTAATAATAAAAATATTGTTTTATATTATTTATATTATTATAATAAATATTCTACAATATTTTTGTTATCAGCTTTGAAACTCTAACATGTTCCAAAGTACACTTCATACTCATAGTATTAAATTTTTATAGTCATGCGAAAGTATTACTAAATAATACGAAATTTAAACGTGTTTAAATGTAATTAAATAGCTATAATCACTAATTTATATATATATATACTTACCAACATTTGTATTTTCTTTCGCAGATGTTATATACCAAGCGCCAATGTCATTCTCTTTACAAAACTTGGCGATTTGTTCAATGGGCACTACCGGGAAAGGAATATCACATTTGTTCGCCAAGAGAACCACAGGTATGTTTGAACCATCTGGAAGCGTAACTTTCTCCCTTAAATCGCACAACCATTTTTTAATCGATTGAAACGTCGCTATTCGCGAGATGTCGAAAACCAAAGCTGCAGCCACTCTGAAAATAAATAAAATTGAACTAAAACTGAACTGTGTATATAATCTAAAAACTGGAAAATATAAGAATTAATCCTAATGTAAATTTCGGAAATAACAATATATATAGCAATATATGTAGTATTCAAATACTTAAAAATAAATGAATAAAGTTTTACTTAATTTTATCTCTATCTTGGAGATAAAATTAGATAAAAACACGTTGCATACATGTACGAAGAAAATTGTTAATTACAATAACACTTACGCATATTTATAATAAACTCTGGTCATGTAGCCAAACCTTTCATGGCCAGCGACGTCCCTGAAAAATTGAAGTGAATGATAATAAAAATTAATTTACATTTACCTACGTGGACGTACCCCCACATATTCTTCAGAGTGTTTATTTTGAAATTAAACAATATCAAATAGAAATTAGAATTTGGAATTAAACAAATCTTCTCCAGAAACAATGAATAATACTGCAGATTGCAGTATTATTTCTCGAGAGTTCTCACTTTATAGCACATTTTGTTTGTGATAATTATTAAATACAATTTAGTTAAATAAAATTTAATTTTGAAATATATCTAAATATAATTGAAATATAATATCTAAATTCTTAATATTTGAAATATAATATCTAAATTCTTAATATTTGAAATATAATATCTAAATATAATTCTTAATATTTGAATAAAATATCTTCACAAGATAACGTTGAGCATTTGTTCACTAGTTTCCAATTTCTCTACTAGCACATTAAAATATTGAAGCTCAATTTTCTTAACAAAGAAAATTTGTGACACTCTTTGTTTCTTCTCTTCTTAATTGTCATTTTTTAACGAAATATCAAGTACTTTGAAACCTGTATAGTTGATCGTATTGAACGTGACATGCAAAGACAGAGTCGTGAATTAGTACCATAATTGCAAATTAATTTTAGTAAGCGGATCCCAGTCGAATGTTTTTATTGCGAAATCGGCTCCTATGGTAATCTTGTAATTCGATGTGAACTTTCCTGAAAAAGAAAGACAGAAAGAAAAAAGAAAACGATTGATCAATCAATCGTGCAAGAATACTAACTTATAAATATACTACACATATATTGAGAAGGAAGATATTCTTCGAGCAACTCTTCACTTAATTATTAATAAATTATTACTAATCGTTTATAACGAAGATTGTGTGTAATTCACAATACTATCGGCTAAAGAGAGAAAGACTTTTCTTTCTTATTTGAAGCAATAAATACCTCAAAGACAGTCTGTACAATTATTTATTGAGATACAAAAGAATAATGAGCAGATATAGAATATCATTAACCTTCACGCATGTGGAGCATATTATATTCATATTTTTTCATATTTCTCTTTTACATCGTATCTCTTTCACATTATCTTCATTATTTCTTCAGTTCTTTCATATTTCTCTCTTGTATTAGTCGAAAAGAAAAATAAACTAAATTGAATTAGTTAATTAATAATTAGTAATTATTTAATTTAATAGTTAAACTAGGTCAAAAGAAAAATAAAAAAATACAATCAATTATACCCAAACTGATGATTTATACAGAATTCTCCTAATAAGAAATATAAGCATACAACCGAAAAAATAAGACAATACTTATAATATTTTATGAATGAAAGAAAATTTTGTTTCTTTAATTTGTATAAACACGTGCTGTCTGTTTATGACGCTCATCCATCACAGATATATCACAGGCGTTAATCTTATCATAAACAGCCTGTTTCGTTATATATGACAGTAGATAAGTATAAAAATTTAGATAAACTATTGGAGATCGTTTGATTTAATAAGAAAATTTCAAAGTACCCTTTATATTCTTTAATGAGATTTTACAAGAGAATACTATAGCAATTAATAGTAACATTGAAACTGGTTGATACTTGTTTCTGAGTTAGGTTTATCTACCTTCTGTGTATCTCCTAACCAATGCTGTTTTCCCTGAAAAATATAAAAAAATTATTTATAGACAGAAATAAAAATACAATTATATATATATGTATGTATATTTATGAGCTTCTTTAATTTAACAATGCACTGAAAGTAAAAATTATTTATTTATAAAGACAATGTTGATATTAATCAATTTTGAAATCCATTAATTAAATGATAATGAAATTTAATTAATTGGACCTAATTAATTAGTATATAACTGCAATCAAACAATACCATGTCATTCAAAAATCATAGTTATTTGAAATAACCACTGATTAATCTATTTGAACATGAAAATGATTTTTCTCTGGACTATTTCATTATTTGTCTATCAAGTAGTCTAATTTATTAATCTTTTTATCTCATTTTATATTTCACATTTGTTTTTACAAATAATTTTTCAGGTAATTTCCAATTCTATTGTATAAACTTCACCTTCTGTTGAGATTATTTGTCATTTTTGTTTCAGTGAATTAACTCGGATAATTTGCTACTCAAATTTGCACGAAACGAATTCAAAGGCAATGTTCATGAGCCAAAACAACGAGACAGTAAACGAAATGTAATTACGAATTTGTTTAAACGAAACAACTGAATAATTTTTCATTCAAATTTAAACGAAATATCTGAAGCAACTCTACGATCGGACCAATAATATTTTCTCCCACGTTCGAAAAAAATTTCGACTCAACAACCTGTTGTACGTACAAAACTAAAATTCGACCATCAAATTTCGTACACTGTCACAGTATTTTTTGCTAAATCCATAATAATAGACATTCATATCTAGAATCATATCATACACAATGAAATACAATACAAATTGAAAGAATAGAAAAATACAGAGAACGAAAGAACACATGAAGATCACACACCGTTACAGTATGTCTTTCTTTTTTTTTTTTTTTTTTTAGTGATACTAATGGGTCGAAAGTGACGACGAATTATTCAAAAAAAGGAATTTTAAAACGTCCTGAACGCACCGACGCCATAGTCACCGATCACCAGGAACTTGAACAGCAGCTCCTTGTGCCCGAACTTGGACAGCAGGGCATCCGAGTCTCTCCTCGACTGCCTAGCGCTCATCTCCTCTTCACCTCTCGTTTTGTATTTCCCGTGAAACGACGGAAAGTAGTTGCACACTCGCTGATGATTGGATCAGGTTTGGCTGGCAAACTGACAAACGGAGGAAAAGCGAGTGGAACTCGACCTCAGAGGTCGTCGCACGGCGTCTCTTGCCCCGCGATCTAACAAATCTATCATGCTCGTGCTCGCTATCGGCTCTTCCTGTCCTCGTAAACACTTTCCTCTTCGGACTCTCGACGATCTTCCTCAACGCTCGATTCACACTTCTATTAATTTCAAGACTGGTATTTTTAGCAGATTCGTGGAAACTTCAATTTGGAATGTTTATTAACTATTCGAACGTTCTACCGTTACTTACTGATTCAGTAGTATCACCACTTTGTTAATGTATAATACTTTAAATCAGGAACATTGTCGAAACGATGCAAAAGAGGACCGACGCCGTGTCATTAATTATGACGCCGGATAAGTCGACGCATTTATATTTAAGCTACAGTTTAAGCTACAGATTAATATCGTTCTCGATGTCGATCATCGTACTGTCTCTAATCTATTTCTGATACGCAAATGTGATACGTATTAAGTGATAACAATTATTGCCTGGTATAGATAGCAATGTGACAGTAGGCAGATATTTAACTTTCCATGATTGAACCAGGTCTCCAATATAAACATGGGAAGTCTTAGCAATTAGGAAATTGTTGTAATACAAAGAAGAGTGGGGATGGTAACAAACCTTCTAGATATTAATTGCTATTTATAGTACATATAGATACGTGTTAGTAACGAGACAATTTCGAGATTGTTTGAAGGCAGCTATTCCATGGTAGCTTTCCATGGTTAAAATAAACTTGGATTTGCCAGCAAATTTGGGTAAATATTTAGGAAAATATTGTAATACAAAGAAGATCTGCCCACGCAGTGTTTGTGTTATGTTGAGATTTCTAGAAGATAGTATGTAGAAAATTGCTTATTATTTTTGATAACGTAATTTTTTATAATAAGTAGTAAATAATATATTAATGTATATTATGTTATATATATATTAATATGTATTAAATATATATATTAATATAATATATTATTTATAATTCTATTATACTATATTAATTTGTTACATTATATAATTGTGTATTAATAATATATTAATGTCTAACATTAATCTTAATATTAATATATTAATACTTAAATAATTTTTCTGAATTTAAAATAACAGAACTTGCTGGTATGGGAGTTTTATAAACTTGGAATAGAAAATTTAATAAAAAGCGAGGAAAAAATTATAGAAAAAGAAGAAAAACAAGTATATATTTTATTTGAAATAAAATAGAAAATTTGAAATAATGAATCATTATGAATTGTAGCATTATGAAATAAAGCAAGTAGACTTTTGTAAAGTATAATTTTAGGAATAATTTAATCGTGATGATTGTAGCAAAAAATTGTATCAAATCCTCTTTATTTTCAAATTAATATTAGAACTTAAAACTTAGTATATAATCTATTGGTGCATATTTATAATTTTTAAATTGTATTTATTTAAAAAAAGAAGACTGATAAATTTATTATAAATTCAGTATAAACGTTTACAGCATAAAATTTACTTGATATATAGTTGTTGATCAGTGTGTAAATCTTCCTCTGACAATACCTTTATAAAAATATTTTCTATTAGGAAGTTAAGACGTCAACCAAGTCCTTGGGTTATGAATAAGTAGGGTGTCGATTTCTTCAGAAGTGAAATCCTTTAGTCTCATCTTCGGCACAACGTTGTTCAAAATGTGAGAAAATCCATGTCCACCGAATTTTATCTGTATTTAAAAAAGAAGGTATACCTTATGAAAAGAAGATTTAATAATTAGAACAGAAGTTCATTGATAACAAGATTAATGGAAATATTGCTGTAACCAGCATTTGACAATAATGTTTATTGAAAATATATTGAATAAAATTTTTAAAACTAAACCTCTGTAGTTCCAATGATTAAAAAAAAAAAAGAGCTTCAGATAAAAGAATTGAATGTTGAATTCATCCAATAATGAAAAAAAAATCAACAAACATAGTGAAATGTCCTAATTGATTAGGATTAGTTAAGATTCGAGAAATCTTTATAATGTTCAGCTATTAATTTTAATATCGGGAGAAATTTTCAAATCTTGTGAAATGTGAATTAGTTAAGTAAATACATACCAATCTGTGCTTGGTGTGAATATCGTGACTTAACAGAACGCGATTTAATCTCTGCTCGTCTCGAAGATGTTTCACACGATCGATTCGTTGTGCGTCAGAGATCATGTCTACAGATGGGCTCAACTGATAAAAGGAACATTCGGATCCGAAAAGATCGAACTGGCAATAACATTTCGCGTCATCGGCGAACTCCGAAAGATCCTCTGGGCTGAGTATAGTCCCTGTCGAGTAACTCTCGATTAATCAACGTCGAATCACTTTGATCCGATGCAGTACAATATTTGTATTATAAAAAAAATATTCGTATTATAATTACTTATATTATATTATTATTATACCATATATTGTTATTATCATTATTATTATATATTATATTATTTTATATCATAATATTTACATTATGATATTACAATTATATTTATGTGATTTACATTTACGTGAATAGGAGAATTCACATATGTAGAGAAGCGTGGAGCCACTGTCATTGACTACGTTATGACCAACAACACAGGGCTGGACATGATAGAAAAGTTCTATGTAGGAGACAGGATAGACTCCGATCACCAACCTTTGTGACAATAAATATAATTTCCGCCTGCGGCGGAAACAGCTTAGAAGCAGAGGAGGATCAAGAAAAGAAGGTAAGATGCTGGAAGCCAGGATGTATAGAGAAGTACAAGGAAGTAACGAAAGATAAGAGGAAGAAGAGGAGGTAGGCAAGGACTGGGAAAATCTAAAAACGGCGGTAGAGGAAGCGATGGAGATAAAGAAAATAGTACTGCGGAAACGGAAGCCTGGACAGAAATATTAGTGGAATAGAGAATGCACCAGAGAAAAAAGGAAAGTGATGCTACAAGAATTGGAAACAGGGTAAAGTAAAGAAAGAAGACTACGCAAAGAAGGAAGCGGAGTTCAGAAGTCTGTGCGAGTGCAAGGAGAAACGAAAAAAGCAAGAAGAGGAGGAAGAAATCAGGAGGGCAAGAAACGAGAGAAAAATCTGGGAGTACATAAATAAAGAAAGGAAAAAGAAGACAAGCAGCAACAATAAAATTAAAATAGAGACATGGAGGGAACATTTCAAAAACTTGCTAGGAGGAGCAGATGAAAAGAAATGTATGTAAAATTTCAAAATAGCAATATAGTTTTTTAATACAGCGTGCGCAAAACAATATTGGAATGAATGAGAGAAACGAGTGAGTGAGAAAAGAGGAAAATATATACACCAAGTCCACATTTCATGGCTCTTAGGCTGAAATAAAGTTTATTACTACTACACTATATTTACGTGAATATAATAAAACATAAATATGTCTGTTTTTGAAATATGAAATGAATGAGAGCCTCAAACTTTTGAACGATATAATATAATAGTATAATAATATCTGATTAAACGTACGATCGAGGTGAGAAAGGATTGCCTTTTTTGCATCGCCGCCAGCTTCTTGGTAAATTCTCATTATCTCGGAGGGTGCAGCAGGATTCCTTCCAGGATGAAAACTGACCGGGCACTTCAATTGCTGTTGAACCTCCGCGGTTGCTTGAATAGCTCGTTTCTCGAACGCTGTTTGAAAAATTAAAATGTGAGTCATACTACAAAACAAGAATAATCAATCGTATAATAATCGCACTATCAGACTTTAATGTATAATTATATAAGATCAAAAATATGTTTTACAACAAAATATTAATTAGAGAGATAATTCTTAAAATGACTAAAATAATTAATATTAAATTATATGAAATATGTATAAATTATATAAGTATAAAAAATATATATATATATATATATATATATATATATATATATATATATATATATATAATAAATGAATGAAATATATAATAGATATATAAGATAAATTATTTTTAAAAATTCAGCATATAGAATTCCTCTAAAAGCAAAAAAAAATATATGGAATATGTTTTATATAAATTAAGAAATTAATTTCACACATATGAAGTAATAAATAGTCTTATATTATGTTATATCGTCATAATAAATTAATTCAATTAATCCAATGGAAGAGGAAACGATATCACAATAGTAATGTCTTGAGATATTCAGATTGTTATAAAAAATTTTATTTCGATAGAAATTGCTACTTTTCTTAAATTTTAACTTACTAATATGAAAGTAGTGTATCTGGAATGATCGATTTTCTTACTTCATTTTCTATAAAATCTTAAAATTATATCTGAAGATTGGCTTGAAAGAGAAGCCAGTTTTACAAAAATTGTTCTTGTCGTAAACAGTTTTATTCAGAAGTACTTCAAAAAAATATAGAAAATATTATCAAGAAATAATATTCAATGTAAAATTACATACGTGTAATTGGCCAAGCGCTTCCAACTTCTCCTATGAATCCTGTCTTCACGTCGGGATAGTCCTCGCAGCCAATGGTCATTTCTTTCAACATTACATCATACATCTTTTCCTTTGATAGATCCTGGTTAGTCTGAGTCGCGTCGACGTAATAACCTTTATTATTTATCCAGTAAAAAACAAATAAATTAGAAGGTGAAATAAGTGGAACTGTCTGCCTAAAAAGCTTTTATTTATAATTTATTCAAAAGTGAAAAGTCTTAGAACAGATATTTCAAAACTAAAATAGACGATAGCAAATGCAATATGAATGTGTAAGTCAATGTATACAAATAATACGACAAGTAATAATTAATTGTTTGAATAACAATTTAAGTAATAACAAACAAATAATAATAATTTAAGCAATAGGTATTCTGTAAGGAAACAAAAAAAGATCTCTTCACAAGATGTACGTAAAAAATCTTTATAAAGAAAGAATTCTTTATAAGAAAACAAAGAATTTATTATCTACCATAAATATATACCGAATATCAAAAATGAAAAGTATCCTAAGATTTTTTTGAACAAAAGTGTCTGTCCGTACAATCAATCACAAGTCACAAAATGACATGAAAATTTGTCAAATTCCAAATATTTATAACAGGAGAGGAAGTATTTTAGATCATTTTTTCGAGCGTTTTTACAGTTCCCTACAGTGAAACATAATTAATGAATTGTGAGAATATTTTACCAGTCCCAGCAATGATATTAATTCCAGTTGCTTCACTGACTTCCCTCATGAATGGAATGTTGCGTTGCAAGCCGTGATTGCTATTTTCTACAATAGTACCACCGCCAAATTCTTTGTACAATTTCACATCCTCCAAAACAGCATCCTTCGTGCATTGATCGTTATATATTAAATTATAAAGATCGCTATAACTGCAAGGGAAAGGAATCGTTGCAATCGTTATTATAGAATCGTTTGCTGAATTTCAATGGTCTTTGGTAAAAATATATGCCGCGTATATTGCGTGTAGGCAAAGATAATAAGAACAATCACGATAAAGAATAAAATAATACATGTAAAATTAATATAAAATAAAATAACATTATAAAATTCATATAAAATAGAATAAAATAATATATATAAAATAAAATATTATATATAGAATTAATAAAAACTGAAATAATACATTAATATAAAATAAAATATAAAATACATTAATATAAAATTAATATAAAATAAAATAATATATATGAAATTAAAATAAAATAAATAATAAATATAAAATTCATATAAAATAAAATAAAATAATATATATGAAATTAAAATAAAATAAATAATAAATATAAAATTCATATAAAATAAAATAAAATAATATATATGAAATTAAAATAAAATAAATAATAAATATAAAATTCATATAAAATAAAATAAAATAATATATAAAAAAAAAATATATGTTATACAGACTAACACAAGTGATAAATACATATATAAGGGATTAAACATCGCGTCTAATTTATCATACTTACGGATATTGTTTCAGCATTCCGACATTCTGAAGCTCGATTTTGCCATTGAAGAATCGTTTTAAGTGGGATGGGGGTTGCACGTAAAACGTAGTGAATGTCATCGATAAATGCTCGTGCGTGAGGGTTCTTCCAAGCTGGTTTGCATCTCTCTTTCCAAGAACTAGAAAGAGGAACACTCGAAAATGTTGTATTTTGCGCGATTATTTATTTAACTATAGATAAGATTATTTACGGGATGTATCGATAACAAATAATTAAATAATTAATAAATTTAATAAATAATTTAAATAAAATAAAATGACGATAATTTAAATAAATAAAATAATTTAAATAAATAAAATAATTTAAATAAAATAAAATGACGATAATTTAAATAAATAAAATAATTTAAATAAAATAAAATGACGATAATTTAAATAAATAAAATAATTTAAATAAAATAAAATGACGATAATTTAAATAAATAAAATAATTTAAATAAAATAAAATGACGATAATTTAAATAAATAAAATAATTTAAATAAAATAAAATGACGATAATTTAAATAAATAAAATAATTTAAATAAAATAAAATGACGATAATTTAAATAAATAAAATAAAGTGACGATAATTTAAATAAATAAAATAATTTAAATGAAATAAAATTTTGTACAGTATCAAAAAGCGACATTACTTATGGATACCTCTATTATATATATAATATAAATATGTAATACTCACCAGTTTCAACGTAACCAAACGCACTCATGCTTCACTCATGTACGCACGAATTTTTCTAACGATAAGTTACAAGCAGACAACTTTCACCGATGTAGAACGTACAAAAAAATAATTCCTATTTATATACAAGATAACGCAGCCAACGTTGATAAAAGCGTTGTTGAACAATAGATAATTTCTCGTTTACAATGTAAGATCTTAAGACTTTCATTCGCAGAGAAACGCTAAAGAAAAACGAGCTCGCTTCTCTCGCTCTGCCACGCACTGACGTTTCGAGCTGATCGCAAGTTACGTAATGAAAATACGCTCGTTAATCACTGATACAACGACAAATGCCTCGACGTGTATTTTAATGAGATACAAACGAGATTTTCATATACACTGGAGCATACCAAAATAATCAGTTCATGAAAAATTGAAGAGGAAATCATACGACAAGAAATCTACTCTCATTTTAAAACCTGAAGCCTCTAGTTTCAACAATCCTGAGTTCATCTTTTTTAAAGATATGTTTTTACATCGAGTATGAATTTTTATTCACGAGAATCGTGAAAATTCGAACGTCTTAAAGTTGGAAAAAAGAAATGTTCTTTCATCGTCATTTTGAAAATTAGAACATTTGGATGAACGTTAGGATTTCTTGAAGTTTACCTCCAATATCGAGCATTAAACACAAACTATCAAACGTCAAACAAAACGGGAGAAACGTACAGGATGTCCATAAAGTCTCTCTGCAATTTCAAAAATTTATCACAAAGGCAATTGATGAGATATCTTCATCAGATTTGTTCTATGTACTCAGTGGTTATCAAGGTTTTTATCACATTGCATTTCAATACAACCGTACTTTGTTGATGAATAAAATACTGTTAAATGAACCTCTTATAAAATGGCTATTCCTCAGGAGAAGGCACAGTGTGTATGATGGTTTATTGAACCTAAATCGAATCTGCAGATTCGGCGAAACTTCAGAACTAAGTATGGAAGAGATCCACCGTCACGTTCATCAATTCGTGAGTGGCACAAGAAATTTAAACATAATACAGTTGTGAAGTCAAACGAATGTCGAATAATATTTCAACATTGGTCAATGAGAAGCTAAGTGATTATTTCGAATCGACTAATGTACAATGAAAGAAATAATTGATTTCAGGTTTCGTTTTCGACAAAAATTTCCGCGGCAAATGAAAAAAAAATCTTCACGTGAAATTAAATAAACGTTTCAATCAATATGAAAAATAAATGATTATTCCGTAACACATCTGTGAAAAATAATCTTTCGAATGAAAAGAGATATTCATTTCAAATAATTATTCATCATTATATTCTTCATTCTGAAAAACATGTAATAAATACATATGTACTTGTAAAATCAAATACGATACTTCGATCAGTATGAAAATCCTGCTTATGTTCGTCACAAACGTTGTTTAAAGTGGCCTGTCATATATCATAAAAGTTCCTGGTAAATATATGCATAATTTTTCGAATTTTTTCATATTGAAAAATATATGACTGGCTATGACACGGTAGTAGTTATGTACGATTGATAAGATCAAATAAATATTTCGGTCGGATATGAAAAATAAACAATTGTCAATTATTAAAATAAACGACGATTAACCGAAGGTAACATTCTGCGAAGGAATAATCTCTGTAAGTGCTATTGTTACTACGTTTACTCCATTTAACGACATATCGGTGATTAAAGGACAGGTAACAACTTTGTACAAAGTGCAGGCCTTTATTTTTGCACGTACATCTGTTCGTAAAACGGAGTAACACGACGAAATTCCTAGAAAAAGAAAATTGCAACAACCGTCGAGTCACTGTTCATAAGAGTCAGGTAGACTGAAGCATGAACATTAAGAGGGAAGAAATGAAACATTTCGCTCATACAATGTCGCACAATGTTAATCCTTTCTTTTTTCTTCTCTCTCTCTCTCTCTCTCTCTCTCTCTCCTTTTATCTGTACCCTTACAATTGAAAAAGCGCATCGACGTGTTGCAGACAGAGTCACAGTTAGGGATAAATCAAGGAGGAGCTCCAATCGCTCGCTACCGGGAAAGTCGTGTTACTTTCGAGTGCAAAAGAAAAGAAGGACGATCGAAATCGAATAAATAAATTAAAATTAAAGAAGAGGAAGAATCACCACGACGAATTCGAAGTCCGTAAAATTACCGATCGATTACCCTCTCTTAGCAGCCTAAGACGAATTCTCTTTGGTTCGCTTGCATGCGGTATGTAATTTTGCTAACGAGAAAAAAACATAAACAATGTAATTGTTCTTCATCTTCTCCGCGTTAACGGACGAGAGAGAGGAAGATACATAATTAAAAACTAAAAAAAATAAAATAAACAACTAATAAACCGCTTTTTTTCTCCGGTGCCTTCGAGTTGCTATACTCGACTTTGTACAAAAATTATAAATCTAAAAAGAAAGAAATGAAACAGTCGTTTTGCAGTCTACTTGATGCTGATAAATCATCATTTGACAAGCATAGAAATTCGAAAAACGATTTCAAAAAAAAAAAAAAAAAAAAAAAACAAAAAATTGGGATACGCTACAATTGAAAAAATAAGAGGGACGAGATGCCGTATCACATATACATATGCTTATATATTATATATATACAGATTTCAGTCGGCAATTCGTCTATTCTTTTTCATTATCTCTCTTACTCTCCCTCTCTCTCTCCTCACTCTCATTCTCTTTCTCTCTTACGTACACACATACACAAGTACACACTGTTTCTCTCTCTCGCTCTCTCTCTCTCTCCATCACTATCTGTTTCCTTCGAATGTATACAATATAAAATGCTACGACCTCTTCGTGCAATTTTTTTCATGCAGCGTACGTAAATGCATACCTTTATGTAGAATCTGGTAACACAGTAACGCATCGTTAACGCACCTAATACACATATATGTATATATATGTGTATATGTATATATATGTGTGTGTATATATATATACATATATATACATATATTTATATGTATATATTTTCTTATGAACATGAACACGAGATACCGTCGTGGAGCATATCATGCCGCGATAAGGAGAGTCTTCTCGCACGCAATTTAAATAAATAAAGTCGAATGAACGCCACTGGAACGTCTATACCACGAATTTACGTTAGATCATATTACCAACTTATTCCGAATAAAGTGATCGTCAGTAGCATCGTCAGTATTTTGTAAAACACTTATCAAAGTATAAGAAGAATCGACGTAATGGTCAATCGAGATGATAAAATAAAATCGCACGACACGGAGGAAGAAATAAGTTGAATATGTTTAAGGCACGCCAGAATTAAAAGTGATTGTTAATTATTGTACGGCAAAATAATGTTCGTGATCGTAGAGTGTACTTTATTCAGAACATAAATAGTCTTTTCATCAGTAAATATATGACATAGACTTCCAGGATAAACAGTTGCGAGCATGGATGAAAAGAGTTTGACTCGTCAAAATCATCTATATCTACTGTTCATCGCGCGCAAAACAACCTATCCACTGATGAAATCACTTGCAACACGAATCCAACGATGACTACCTCACAACGAGAATTGCACGATCGTCCAATGGCCACTAACATGGCCAAAAATATTTTTGTTGTTGTTTGTTTCTTTCTTTCTTTTATGATCACTAAATCAGCAACGGTAATTATATGAATAATAGTACTGATAGCACTAGTGGTGATAATAATATTGATAATATAGTAATAATAATTTACATTTACACTTTTTCATACTTATTTACTCAGTTAATTAATTATATTTCCTATCTACTTACAGCATGCTTACGTTAACACTCGCTCATACTTTAACGCAAAAAGTAAGACAAAGCAATCGTAAAAAATATACAGTGAAACGCGTAATGTACAAAATCGACGAAATAGATATTGCTGAATCTCCCTTTTCATGTACTCTTTCTATCATGCTTCTCTTTCTCCCATGATCGCGCGCGCGCACATTCAAACTTCTCTTCTTTCTCACTATTTCTCTCAAAGAATATCAATCATTCAGAAGTACCTCCTTTTCTTTCCAATAGATGTAATAAAAAGCAAACCAGAGATAGTTTTCAGCCGGTTTAAATTCTCAAAAGGACGCAGCGCTACCAAGAAACTACGAAAACAATTATAAATATTAAAAGTCTAATAATAAAGCACTGCTCAGACGAAATTGACGAGTGCACGCAAAAAGTATGAATTCACAATGAGCTAAATTAGTTGAAAGACTGATCGAGTCGATCAATAGAAAAGGTAAACAATGACGCGCAATAATGCTTCATTTTACAGCAATCTTGCACACAGTAGGACATCTTCATAAACTATCGTCGCTATCGTCGGCATGAGCTTCAACTGAGACATTTGCGGCGAGTCCCGCGGCACTTGCTTCTCTGTTAGTTTCAACTTCTTGTTCCATCGAATTACTCTGCATCTGCTGTTCGTCTATACGTGTATTTATATATACACATATAAAGAAAATGACATAACAATATCAATAAGTTTTACGTAATAAAATTTCATTTGTGTAAAATTTACACTATAAATAATTGTGCTAATCACCTGACTGAGTTGCTGGAGATTCTTCGTCTCCCTGACCTGGGCCTAATATAGCTTCCTTCATTTGGCTATTAACACCCTTTGGATCTAAGTCCGTCGCCCAACTAAAGTACATTAGTGCAAGATCGGTATTACCCAACTTTTTATGTACCTAACAAAGAAACAACTTCAGAGAAAAGAATGCAAAATGTGAAAATAAAATGACCGTAACAAGGCTTACCTTTCCTATCGAATAATAGACTAGAGATTCTTTGGGTACAATATTTTTCAATTCTTCGAATTCCCTAAGTGCTTCCGCATGCCGGCCAATCGAGAAGTTGATACTTGCACGATGAAATTTGCACAACATATTATCAGGATCATTCGTGATCGCGGTGTTCAGAGTCTTCAAAGCTTCATCAGTTTTCTTTAGTGCATGTTGCACAACACCGATGTGGCACATTATTGCCGAATTCTGTGGGCTAATTTGTAAAGCGCGTTGAAAATGCAATTCTGCTAAACTATATTGCTCCTGTTTAGAAAATATGGTCCCTAATCCAAACCTACAAAATAAGAAAAATTATATACGTACAATATAAAGCAATACAATCTTAGTTTATTACAAAAATAATATCTTGTGACAAAGCTTAATATTAAGCACGCTTATTTATGTGTAAGATTCCAACAAAATTTATATATGTAATTTAACGAGACTTACCAAGCATTATAATGTCTAGGATCAAGTCTGATGGCGTTACGAAATGCAGTAATTGCCTTATCTAACTCTTCTGTCAGAACGTATTCATGACCAAGGAGTGTGTAGGCATATGGAAAATTGGGATCTACCTATTATACATTTGAAAAATAAAACTTTCATTTCAAGTTATAATCGGTATAAATTTACCGCAATATTCAAACATACAAATAAGCGATATTGCAATATGTAAATGGATAACGTACTTGAATAGCTCTTTGAAAGAATTTAATTGCTGTTTCGTGTTCCGTTTGTGCAGAAAACAGATTCCCAGTAGCACACCAGGCCGCTGGAGAATTACGATCTTCGGAAACAAGTTCTTGTGCAAGAGTAGAGAGTTGTACTTCAGCGTGCAAATGCCATAAAACTGTACTATAAATTTCCATGAGTTCAGTCCTTTGAGGTTCTAATTGCCTCACTTCAGCGAAATAACTACCAACAAAATACTGAGTTAAAACTTCTTATCAACTATTTCAACCTTTTTAATTTCATAGTATATCAAATACCAACCTGGCAGCTTTCTTATAATCTACCATTTCAAAATGTGCACGAGCTAACATAGATAATACCCATCCTGTATTATAGTGTTGTGCCGGAAGAACACTTAATATTTCAACAGCTTGGCTACAATTAAATTGACTTAAATGTTGATATGCCATTCCTAATTCCTGTAGCAGTGACATTAAACCCTCTGAAAATATTTACATGTACGCAATATATATAAATACTCAAGAAATAATTTTTTCAAAATGAAATTATAAATAACATACCAGCACACTGTTTCTGGAGTGTTACTGCACAGACATTAGTATTACCCTGATTGTTTAATGCATTTACACTGGCTACAGCTTTTTCTGATGTGATAGTTTCAGTTTTTTCTTTTTCACTTCGATTTCTCTCATTTAATTCATTAAAATTAGCTTTGTTTAAGTTAGTTTTTGAAAGTCTAGCTTTCGTTTTGCGTGACGGAGATTTCGGAGTAGCAAATTTATTTCTATTCGGAGATTTATTATTTTCCTAATAAAAAAAAAAAAAAATACTTTAAATGCACTTATAATATTGAGTGTATTTATAATGCAATACAATACTATACAATTAAAATTTTAATAAAACAAAGAAATTTACCTTGACTGAATAGCTGTGACTGAAGAGCCTTGATGAACGTCTAACATTGGTACCTTGTAGCGTTGGTGGTGCTGGCGTTGGAGTAGTAGGAGTAACTGTTACAATATTGGCGCTATTACTTGTATTTCCCGATTGTGAAAATACTGGTTTCCCTTGTTGCAGAGGAGTTTCTTTTCTTGACATTAATTGCTGCGAGTTAAAATATTTTCTATATAATTTAGTACATCATACAATACACGTTTAAAAATTGAATAATGCCTGTTCAAAACTTACTCCTACATGAGCCCTTAAACTGCTAACGCGTTTTGCTAAACTCTTCTGATCATTAGCTTCAGTAAGGGTAGTATGTGAAGGTAAAACTGTTGGTTCAGGTGTATTGCTTTCCAATGGTAAAATACCAAAGCTCGGAGTAAGAGGGCTCATTGTATTATTATTAAACATACTACGGTACCGTGGAAGTTTAGCTCTTGGTGATATTGAAGGACAATTGTTATAATGCGTAGGTAAACTTTGTGGACTTTCATCTGCAGAATATAATCGTACGCCAGAGCCAACGCCATTAATTATAGTTGATGCTGTTGTCATTTGTGCAGGGGTACTGTAAGACACGTGTGACATGACAATATGAAGATACAAAAATGCTTCCACAATTGCACACTTACATAGTAGTGCCATTCGTAGCTGGTGTACCATTCAAATTATTTGTTGGTACAATAAAATCCGAGTCAGTTGCATAAGTGGGAGCAGATGTAGTACCATGGCACATTGCAAAATTATCTAATTTATCCAATTGGAAAATTTTTATAGGATCCACCACTTCGCCAACATTACACAGTTCCTCGAACGAATGCCAAAGAAATGGATTTAGTTTTAAAGCTAATTTATGCGCATCGTTTCCTTTTGCTGTACGCATCATCTTGTAATAGATCTTTGCTATAATCTGAAGTGAAAAGCACGCATGTTCTCCAAACTGCGTTGCAATTTCTTCCAAGTTTTTCAACTGTTTATAATATCCCCCAATTATTGCCGCTTCTGCTTCTGCATATCTACAAATTGAAATATTGAATTAGGCAGAATGCATAAAAATAAGGGAATGAAACGATTTTGCACTTACTTTTCTAAATCGTAACAACACTTGGCTAAAAGGAATCTACATTGTGCAGAATTTGAAGCTTTCTTGGAAAGTAACGCATAAGCTTGCCTAATTCGTCCGGATCTGTAGTAACATGTTGCCAAGAGAAATAAAGTTTCTTCTGTATCAACTAAAATGACAGTATTACACGTAATAAAAGGTGATAAAAGGATGGATCAAAGACACAAAATTGGACGTTATAAAAATTATAATTAAGAAACTTGCCTTCTGCACATAACCTTTCTGCTAAAAATATTGCATCTGGATAAGCATAATGATTTAAACAATGCCATATGGCCGCCTGCAATTAAGCACGTTACTATATATTGACAGAATGCGCTTAACAATAAAAATGTTCAACCACATTTTTTACATGTGTCCTTTACAAAAGTGTGTACATCGTTTTTGATGTTAACTGCTAATGCATAAAGTAACACGCTGATATTCATAAAAGCTCATTGGCCCGAGTGTAAAATACAAAAAATTCATAAACGTCATAAACGCCTATACTTATTTATAGTCGTATCCCCTCCCATTTACGACCATTTCATAAAAGCAAACAACCCCAAGCAAATTCACCCTCGCACGAGAATATATTCTATATGAAATCAACTAGAAACTTGATAACCTTGATTAATGATAGAACGTCGTGGAATTAACGGGAGCGTCATGAAATATCGCGCAGAATTGACGATCAACTTTTGGTCAAATAACAAACACGTCTGCAAACGGTTTTTAATTTCTCACGTCAGTATCAGTAAGTGCGCGATGCGTCCGGATGGAAAATTGTACGTCACTGCTAGGTTTCTCCTTCAGCTTTATTAACATTACCTGCACTGGTTCCTGTACAATCATCGTTCACACGGCAGACTCGGTCATATAAGAATAATCCCGAACGTTTCAAGAAAATTTAACGAAGAAAATCGAAAGTCGAACGACTGGTGTGTATAAAAATTTCTTAGGAGTCCATCTTTGCTCCGATTCTTTTGAAGTGCGCAGCTAACTTCAGAGCGAAGGCTTGCCAACTTTAGACGAACGTCAATTCCATGAGGGATTAACAGTGTGCTCATATAAAAAAAATTACTGCTACCTTCAAGGATCAAGAGCGTTTTAATAGAAATTACTTTTCTTTTCTGCGAATTTAAATTTTAATTTGACATTTCTTTTATTTCATATTCTATTGAAGTTTCACAGACGTAGAAGGAAACTATCATCGCGATAATTTATAATATACAGTATTTACGTGTCAGATATTCACAATAAAGTAATTGTTGTTAATATTGTTATTAACTATTATATCGACACGAAATGTTGCTTAGATTTGTTACGAATATATTTATTTCGTTTTTATATACTTTTATTCTTTTATTATTCAACGCAACATCAAACGTCAATAATGTAACGCAAATTTTGAAAATTTAAATACTTTGCTACATTTGGTTGGTAACGTATCAAAGTTGTCTGTCGATAAGTGCTCCACTATGAGCGACAAAATGAACAGAGTTCCAGCTTTAAAATATTGAATTATAATATTGTACATTGTATCTAAAAACTTGTATGTCAATATCTGAATGAATGTACTCAAAACAACATAATTTGTTTACAAGTTGTTAATTTAAAATTTATAATATATATTAGAAATATTTCTTTGGAAGATAAACTTAATAGAGACATTACTGTACTTGTTTATCAATCTCAATAAATTTATTATGTTAAAGTATATTTCAATGATATTCTTACATTTTATATACAGGATAATCGTGTAAGTATTTACTTATGTTCTATTAGCATAAATATGTATGTATATTCATGTAAATATATATATTTTTATAGGTAATAAAACAGAAATTATGTAAGACTATATTTTGTAAGGATGTATTGCTTGTTACGTCCTTGTTTTCAAACAGGCCTTCGTTTGACATCGAAGATCAGGTTGACCTACGTTTGCATTTTCATTGGCCTTATTGCATTGCTTGATTTTTTTGGGGCGTTCACTCATTTATTTGAGATTACGTACGATTCAAATTTTGTTTATCCGTACGAAGGTGATGTACATGATTTTGTGAACGCGTTACGACACAATGAAGAACCTGCTGTCGAACCCATAAATGAATATAAGTATACATTTCTGCTTAATAATCAACAGAAATGCGTAGACACCGCATACAGTACGTTTCGTCTTATCTACGTAGTAAAATCTTCAATAGAGAATTTTGAACGACGATCGGCAATTAGAAATTCTTGGGGTTTTGAGAAACGATTTTTTGATGTACCTTTAAGAACAATTTTTATGTTAGGTGTACATCCATATGACGATGAACTTCAAGCAAAAGTGAAAATTGAGGCTGCAAAATATAGAGATATCATACAAGCAGATTTTATAGATTCGTATTATAATAATACCATTAAAACTATAATGGGTTTTAAATGGTTAGTAAAGTATTGTCCAAACTCAAAGTTTTACATGTTTGTTGATGATGATATATACGTTTCTGTAAAAAATGTTTTAAGATTTATAAGAAATCCAGTTAACTATCCTGATTATTTGAAAGAACCTAAAAAAATTGGTGCTCATAAAAGAGAAATTAAAGATAGTGATAAAATGGATAATGATACTACTACGCAAATAAGTACTTTCGACAAAAAAAGTTTATTTGTTTATGAAAAATTAGGAAAAAAAGAATATCTCGTGGACCAAATTATTCATAAATTAAAGCAAAATTCTTATAATAGAACTTTACATACAATTCCTCCAATTAATTATAGTAAACAAAATAGTGTAAACTTAAAATTTCCTCAGAAAGAAAATATAGATAGTACATTTACGATGAATAGAACGAAAAGGCAAATTTTTGATTTTGAACTTCCGGACGATGTTAGATTGTTCGCAGGATTTGTATTTGTATCTTCACCTCATCGTCACAAATCTTCCAAATGGTACATTTCTCTTAGCGAATATCCATATCACTTGTGGCCACCTTATATTACAGCTGGTGCATACATATTATCCAAAGAAGCTCTTTTAGATATGTATTATACTAGTCTTTATACTAAGCACTTTAAATTTGATGATATTTTTTTAGGCATAGTTGCAAAAAAGGCAGACATAGAACCTTTTCATTGTGAGGAATTTCATTTTCATAAAAAAGATTACACAAGATTTAATTATAAATATGTAATAACTTCTCATGGATATGGAAATCCAAATGAGTTACTGTATGTATGGAACGAACAAAAAGCTTTTGGCAATGCTTAAATTTCTGACTACAATCAAAATATTTTTAATACGATTTTTATTTGAATGTGAATAGAGTATAAACATTAAAAAATAAAATCAAATATCGTATAGTTCCATATCATTTATATTATTGAATAAAACATCAGAACTGTTTTTCTTGTACATTATTTATTATAATTATTATATAATGTATTTTTATTAGTAATTCAAAGTGTATGTTACTTAAAAACAATTATTTAAAGTCAAATCATAATACTGTATTTATAAAAAATAAGTATTAAGTGCTCTTATTATTTAAAAGATTTTTGAAACTACAATAAATGGAATGGCAGTTTTATCACTATATAAACTAGTGAGAAGTTAAAAAATTAATTAATCTATAAGTTTTTATGAATTAATTTATCTATAAGATTTATGTTCTTTCATAAAATTAATTTATTATAAAATGTATTTAAGAATAGTTTTATAAAAAACAGTTATATATATAATAAAATCAGTTTTTATATACATAGTAAGTTATTACGATAAATATAATTAGTTATAGTACTTTTGTGTAAATACTATGTATTAATTATTTACTATGTACAATTTATAATTAATATTCGAACAACTGGTTACAATTAATGTTAACGTAATGTGCATTACATAAAAATTATTACCTCACATGAATTTTGTCAATAAAATAAAATTATTTGATAAGACTAGCCTTACATAAAAGACAAAAATATAAATGCAAAAATAAGGTTATACATTATGAAATATACCGTCATATAAATATAAGAATATTAAAAGACAAATTGTAACTCTGTAAATTAAACATTTACAATTTTATACTTGTTAAAATGATATTGATAGATTTGTCTCTATAGTTACAAGTTCAATAAATATATTTTATAAATTTATAAATGCCGCTGTTCCCCATTTTGTTTAATTTTTATTTTACATTTCATTGACACTGTTTTTTATCCATGTTAGCTTTAATCAATGTTTGGTCTAGATTTGTAGCTTCTCTCTTGATCATGTTTAACAACAGCTGAGAACTTTCCAAAATCTGTAATTGCAGATGTAATAGGAAACTGTTTACACTTATATACATACATTACATCTTATATTGTGCTTTGTATTTGTACAAATTCTTCATAAATTTACTTTTATGTATGCTGTTTCCGTATCAGCAATAGTCCTATCATATTCATTTCTGACCGTTATTTTCTTAGTCAAACTATCATTCAAACGTGTTAATTTGTAAGATAGCTTTTCTATTTCTCTTTGCAAGTGATTTTTTTCTTCTTCCTGAGATTCGATTTCCGCCTGTAACTCTGTGCGCCTCAATTTCATTTCTTCTAAACCTAAAAAAATCTGAAGTTAATATGTAAATATTTATATATACCAGTTTTATAACCTATATATACCATCATGTCATTCTATACAATTCATTTCTATTTTATGTTCATATTTTAATATAAAATGATTAACAATATGCTGGACTTTCTTTATCGATTACATTAATTATACATAAATAAATGTAAATTTACACTTTACAAGTTCTTGATTATATGCTTGCAAAGCAGCACCGTGTTGAGACATTTCAAAATCTCCATATACAAATACGAATACAGAAACGATATTTCTACAACAATTAATGAAAAAATTATTTCTCCATCAAAAAGTTCACTAGTGATTTATATTTAGACAACTAACATATGCCAAGTCCAAACGAGTTTCAGTTTTTGGCGCGGAATTTATAAGACATCATTTTCAACGCATGCGCAATTATTATTACGTACACATATTAATATACAATTTATTGTAATTTAAAAATCATAATTGAGTTCACGTATGATAAATACGAATTGTCGTCAAAAAATTTATCAAATATTTATGTAAAAAAAAACACCTAATATATTCTGGTATGTTACATATATATTTATTATACATGTATAAACATCTTTTCTAGATAAATATCAGATTTTATGAATGTGATTTTTAAAAATAATACTTTATACATTCGTATAAAAAATTTTACAAATATGCAAACATAATAAATTATATTAAACTTCATTACAAACTTCTCCATAGAATACGAGAACGTTTTGATAAAAATTTGTACAATAAATTGAATATGCCATCGAATTTTCGAAGTTATGTCAAAAATATACATATTGATATGTATATATATGTGTATGATTATCTAATAAACTGACGAATCGCAATATTATCATTAACAATTAATTCTTGCTGGAGAAACTCAATTTCGAAAGTTGACGATATCGTTCGACAATCGAAATGTGAGGTATCTTTTGCAATCAGTTTCCATAGAATTGCACTTGGGGGGAAAAAACAATGTAGCCTTACCTTTTAAAGGCGTCGCGAAGTGTTTTCATCTACCAAGGTGCAATAAATACACCTTTCGCTCGGGATCTTCACACTAACGCGAAAGCCTTAGAAACGTGCAGTTACGTTGCATCTGTATCCATCTAAATAAATTGGTGAATAAATCAGTGTTCTTCGAGGGAATTCTCGGTATATTTTGACATTTAAATGTTTTGTCACGGTGTGTCGTTAGAAAAAGTGCACAATGTACCAGACAGTACCGTTAATATCAATATTTCTAAAGTCGGGCATCCGTAATGTACCAATATTATTTTCTATCTGACCGACGTTCGCTGACGAGGGAAAAGCATTTCTACATAAACGAGAAGTAATAATTGTACGCGCGATAAATTAACAAACTAGATCAAAATCTCAAATTTGCACTTAAAATTTGCTTTTGACAAATCTCCAATATGAGTATCATCAGGTACGATAAATATCAATCTTGCTACACCTAGTCGAAATACATAACTATGCGATAATTTACATGCTTTTTCGTACACGTTTTCCAGTCAGATACGAAATTTTTGTCTTCGTAACGAATTAAATAGATCAATGAAAATAAATGCATATTAAAGGGCAATATGTGTTTAGTTCTAAGTTGACACGATTTATGGCGCTTGCGCAGGTAAATCTTTTAGCATTATCCTTCGAAGTTTTCTTAATGTACAAAAACACGTCTGTCTCGCACGATGGAACAAAATGAAAAATTTTAGACAGCAATCAAAATATTAACACCATTTAACGTAATAAAAACGATATGATAAGTTATATATATTTGTCTAATTTTGATTTTAATTTTGAATTTTGTCGATTTAATTAATTTAGTCTTATAAACTTTTATTATGAGTAAATCATACATATACAAATCAATGAAAATTCCAGATTAATGAATAAAAAATATTCAAATTAAAGGTAGAAGTTTTTAATGATTACATTTACTGATCAAGGATGCATATATGACCTTGTCAAATGACATCATACTACTAAATTAGGAGTTTGCGACCGCGACAAAATGTTGTCATACATACTATGCAATTTGAAAGATTCTATGATAATTGTGTATTTTGCAATTCATTTACAAAGACACCACTCCTATTTTGTTGCCCCCGCATTATTTAAAAAAATGCAACACACATATTCCTTATATCTAATAATGATTTACTTACATTTGATATATCTGATCCATAACAAATGCTAATAAATAATAAATTCATTTATCGATTGTTAATTATATGTTACTATATAATAATATTGTCAGAGGAATTTTAATTGTAACATTTATCACATAATAATTTTTACAGGCAATGTTAAATTAATTAAGTATAAAATTAAAATTTTCTTTTGAAATTTGTGATATACAAAAATATCATTCATCATTTATGAAGTAAGTCTTACTCAAATAAAGAGCATATAAATTTTCTTTATTATAATATTATTTAACCATTGTGTAATTATTTCTTTATATTAATAATGAGATATTAGAATAAACTTTTTGTCAAGTTTCTTATGCATTTTAGATAAATTACAAAATTCAAGTATCATAATGACAAATAACACGAGATATTTGGGATATTATAATAACATAAATAAAGAATATTTAACAGATGGAAATGATAGTCATCATGCACCATCAGATCATACAGTATCTGAATATATTGTATCTACTGACCATGCTACAATGGTAATTTACAACTTATATTTATAATTGTAAACATGTATACTTTTATCAATTTGTTAATTATTATTATTGTAAATTATAAAAATTTATATTCTACATATATTTCAATAATATGATGTATGTATAATACAAATTGTTCTTTTTTAATAATATTTACTATTACAATACAACGTTCAAAATCTATTATATGTATATTCAAATTATAGATGAAATCAACAAAGAAAGACCATTCAGACAAATATGAAAAGGAAGAAGGGAGACAATTGCGAAATATACACAATAATCGTGGTTCAATATTATCTGGATCTTCAAAACATAGTCTTCATCCTCTTAGTAAAAGTACTTCACATGGTAGCATATGTGACAATGGTTCAGATATATATGTTACAAGTGCTGCATATAGAACAACTTCAGATATAAGGTTGTAATTAGAATAAAATATATTTTACATATATGTAATTGTATCATAAATCTTATTATTATTTAATCAATAGCCACGTGTCACATCATAGTCTAACACCAAGTTCAAGATTAGGACATCGCGCACCTAGTCATTGTAGTTATGGTTCTGCAAAATCAGTAAAATCTCATACATCAAGAAAAGATGGTATTATTATAGAAACCATGTCGACACCTAATCCTTTTTGTCCAAATACCAAAGGAGTTTGCTGTCTTATGTTACTCCTTAATCTCGGTTTAATTCTTATTGCATTAGGTTTTGTTATAGTAATTCAGTTTTTTCAACCACTAATAGTCTGGTAAGAATTAATTTCTCTTCATTTCTATACAAAACAATATTATAAATAAATATATTACACACAAATAAATTTGTTTTTTCAAATTAAGATTTTGGGATTTTTTTAGGATTCTGGGAATAGTTTTTCTTATCTTTGGATTCTTAACATTGATAGGAAGCCTTATATATTGCGTACATGTATTTCGAAATGCAAAACATCCACATGATATCAACCCAGAGGATCTTTATTGGACTCGATATTGGCAAGGACATGTAGGTTCAGCACCTGAAGTGTACTATAAGGCAGAAGATAAATATCATGACGATGGATATAGCGATCGTTTGAGCAAGTATTCACATAAATATTATGATCGACAAAGATATTAAAGAAGAAAATATATACTTGATGTAAATGTGAACATATTCAACATATGTATAATAATGTAGCATAATTTATGTATGAATTAATCTCAAAACAAAAGAAATGTATATTAAAATATATACATTAACCATACTAACATACTGAAAATTTTAGTTCAATTATCTATATTTCCAATCTTTATTTTGTATAAAATTATTATTATTTATTTCATACACATATTTTATTTTATATAAGTATATTTTATCTTTATAATTTATCTTTATAAGCATATTCTAGCAATATTTCCAACTTTCACTTTTTTCTAACAAAAATAAAGATATATTAAATAATTATATTACATTTTTAATTTATTTGTAATAATTTATTTATAATATACATAATTTATAAAGTATCTCTACCAAGTTTTTGCCCTTCCAACTGTATAATCAAATAATTGTTCATTGAAAAATTTTCCATGACCATCAACAAGATAAAAAAACTTCTTGCCTTGAATTTTTAATGGCAAATAATTTTTTATTTGATCTCTTGCCATTGTAGTCTTTACCTTAAAAATAAAGCATATGTAATTAACTATTCATTATTTTAAATTAAATAATTTTAATCATTATATTATCATATTTTTAGTTCGTAATTGCATAAAAAATGATATTAATTTTAATTTAGCTAAATGAAACTATAAAATATAACTAAATTACAAAGCTATATACTGCAAAATAAAATAAAAATGATGTTTTATAGCTATTAACAATCAATTTCAATAAAAGTACATACCTTCTCAAGAGGAAGTGTTATAGTATCAACGTTTTTAAATAAATGATTAGTAACTATTGATACATCTTTACCACCTTTGTGTAAAATTATGTATTTTATAATTCTGTGATTAAATATATATAATGCTACACAGCCAAGAGGTCCTAAACATTAAAATACATATCTATATAAAAATAAATTTTTAACACAATGTGTATATTTCAATAAACACAAAAAAAACTCATTTTGTATATCAACCATCAATACAAGTATAATTTAATCATTTTACATTGTAAAAATTATACAAAATTTCATAAATATGTGGAAATTAATTAAATATATTGTATGTTACCTGCTAATACAGAATATATAAAATACATCAATGCTATTCCATTTCTTTTAAGGTATTCTGTCCAAGTTAAATCTTCAAACCACGTTGATACATATTTTGGGTTAAACGTCATAAGCGCTATTATGATATTACAGAAACCCCATCCAAAAAAAACTAGTTTTATAAATACGGTACTACTGGTATTTTTGTATAACATTACATTGTTTTGTACATTTGTATTTACATTTATTACATCGACAAATTGTTTGCTACATTCTCTACGATCATATAAATGAAATATTATATATTTGATACTTTATAGTCTACAAAAGGCAGCATTTTTCTTATTACAAACATAAATATTTTGGATAAATCTTGAAAAGAATTATACCTTGCATTTTTTGTTTCAAATGCGGGTTTGGATGAAGAATTGAGAGATCTACAAACCACCGAATTTCTGTATTTAGCAGTTTTTATCAACGATTGATAAACGATTTGTAATTTACAAATAGAGTTCGTTGTACTTCTATAAGATAAAATATTTAACATCGTGCTATATAATTGACTATATTTTTATAAATATATCTATCTTGAACTGTTTACAATCTTTATATCACTTTCATTTCATTTCACAAAATGAAATTAAATACATGAAACGGAATATGCTCGTATATAATATTTATATATGTTTTTGTTACGTTTTTAGGTTATGTTATTATATTTCACACGCAGCAGAGAAAACAGTCTGTACAGACTGCTTATAATTTTTGTATAAATGTAAAATTTCATTTTGTCAATTTGCGTTTTGAAATATGAAACAATATAATCATTTCCACAGTAAATCATAGTATACAATAAAAAAAAAAGATACAATACCGAATTTAAATATATAAAATGAAGATTTTATCGGAATGATAAAAAAAGACAGGAAGATAAAGTGCTCCATAATTATAAAAGTTTCTTGGTTATTTGTCTTGAAATATCGAATATTACGATAAGGGCGAATATCATATTTTTTATTTCGAAAATTGTACATTATCTGTATAGTAAATAATGTGTCACATTCAATAAAATACATTATTTTACGTATTTTGAGCTACAGTTATTTCTTATCCTATATCATATTTTTTTAAATTCGTGAAACACACATCGCCGATATAGTCTGTTCGAAAATTTTCGGAAAACATTTACCGTTGTTGACAACAATCTTTCCACAATGTTTTGATCAACTCGTATTGAAATTAATCAAATGACAGTTTCCCTCACTCTTTTCGCGCCAATAAGATTGTTGACGTCGGTAAAACGATGTCAATGAATTATCAACTGTCCATATTAAAATAAACACGAAATGGGTGACTTCTTGGCATCTAATAACATTTGTGGGCAAAATTTGTTACGATTAGTATCTCGTGGAAATGCTATTATAGCAGAATTAATGAGATTAAAGGATTACGTGCCACCTGTGTTTAGGTTATTTATACCCCATAAAATATTATAAATGCTTTGTTGATAACGTAAACAGCACTTATGACAGAATTATTAGATTCCAATGAATCTAAATTATTACTCATGATATATTGTATAAATTATATTGTAAATGTGTTACATTAGTTTTCTTTCATGTTACAGCTTGGATTCAAAACAAATTGTACAAAAGTATGGATCTATCATAATTGATTTTGTATATTTTAAATCAGTTAGTACTTACGAACAGAAAATAGAAAATGATCCAGTGAGTACATAGAAAATAATAAGTAAATAACTTTTAACGTTCGTTTGAAATTTGCATTAAAACTTTATGCAATTGTATGTCATATCATTGTATTTTTTGTCTACTATGTAATGAGATTATCTAAGTTTGCATTAATTGCTTTAGGTGTTATGTCTTTTAGGTGCTTCAAGAGACAGATGAAGAATTGCGAAACAACTTTTCTGACATAATTGCGAGATTTTACTTAGCTTTTGAAAGTATACACAAATACATAACAGATTTAAATCTGTATGTAGATGAGCTAGGGGATGGAATGTACATTCACCAGTCTGTAGATACTATTATGCTCAATGAAGAAGGAAGACAATTAATGGTATTATTACAGTATAGTTATTTTATATTGCTATTCTTATATAAAATATGGATATATTATTTCTTATTATTTATTAAATTTAAATTAAACGATTGATATCAAATTGACTATTATTTCTGGACCAATTCTATTTTAAATATTTACAACTTATATGAAGTATAGTCTTATAATAAATCCGAAATTTTTTCTTTATTAAATAATTTACTTCCATATAAAAATCATTAAGAAATTTGATAGAACATTACAAATTTTATCATTCAATTGTAATACTTGTATAATAAATTTTGAACTTGAAGTATTTGTTCAAGATAAAGGACAGGCATAATCCTCATATTTATGTTAATAGTGTGAAGCAGTATATTTGTATGGTGTTATGTTACTTTTGGTGGATTATCATTTTGAAGGATGTATAAGAGAAAGGTTACTTGTTTCTTACTATCGATACAATGCTCAACGTTCATCCTCTACAAGAGTAGATGATGTATGTATGTTATTACGATCAACAGGATTTTCCAAAATTTCTAATAAACGACCTGCAAATTATCCTGAAGAATATTTTAAGTAAGTTCTTAAAATCCTGTCATTTTATCATGTTATCTTTTTCTGTTTAATAAAAAATTTATTTTACAGGAGAGTATCACTAAATGATTCCTTAATTGAACATATTATTGGACGTTTACGTTCTGATGAAATATATAATCAAAGTCTTGCTTTCCCACATCCAAAACATCGCAGTACTGCTCTCTCTAATCAAGCATCAATGTTAGTTATAATTTTATCATTTAAACCAGCCATGTTACATACTCACACAGCTATAATGAGAGAAATAGTAGACAGATTTTTCCCTGATAACTGGGTTATCAGTATTTATATGGGAATAGTAATAAATTTATATGATTGGTGGTTACCATACAAAGCAGCAAGAACAGCACTTAATAATACTCTAGAATCATCAAATGTAAAAGTTATAGCACAAAACTATGGTCAAAAAATGAAGGTAACTATATTTTTTATTTTTAACAATAAAGTGTTTCTCAAATGTTTAATTTTAAAATAATAAACTATGTAAAATCTATACAAATTTTTTAGTTTATTTTATTTTTATTTAGTATTAAAATATAATATGTATATGTGTATACATTATTGATTATGTTAAAAATTTATTTTAGAAATTAATATCTGAAACAGAGGAAATGCAATCAGCGGTGACTTTAGATGAGAGTGCAATAGGTTCTTTAGTGAAATTAGTAAGGGAATGTAATGTAACATTACATTGGATACTTTTACATTCTGCAACATCAACTATATCATTAGAAGATTCAAAACGATCGCGTTTGCTTAAACAATTAGTAGTGACCGAAAGCAAATATACCACATCTGATTGTCTACAATTGTTGTTAAGTACTGCTCAAATTGAGCAAGGTGTCAAACAATTATATAAAGACGTACGATTAATATTTCTTATATCACATAATTATATAAAAAATTCAGAAAATGATTTATATTCTTAACTTTATTTTCAATTTTTAGTTATTGTTTGGTAAAGAAACTAAATGGGTTAGAGATAAAGGAACATGTGTTGAACGTGTAACAGATCTTGCCCAAATATTTAGTGGTAATAAATCACTTGATGGTATTGAAAGAAATCAAAATCTCCATACTTGGTTTATGGAGATAAGTAAACATATTAATTCATTAAAACAAGAGGACGGAAGAAAAATAGTGCAATTACTACAGGCATTAGAAGAAGTGCAAGGTGAGCATATAATGGAAGAAATTGTGATTTAATTCTAAATTCAATTGTGATATTGATTCATAATAAAATTTGAAAGTTTAACTTTTTTTTTTAATTTTAATTTCAATAATAATTTCAGAATTTCATCAATTGGAAAACAATTTACATATATCGCAGTATCTAGCTGATACACGAGAAATATTGCATAATATGTTACGTACAGGAAGCATAACAGAAGATACTATGATAAGTTTAAATATAGTAACAGATTGTTGTTATGCATGGAATATAATGGAATCATTCATTGACACAATGCAAGCTAGTATAAAAGAAAGTCCTCCTACTGTAATAAAATTAAAAGCACTTTTTTTGAAAGTAAACTGTTACTTCCTATTTTAAATTAAATTTTATTTGTAATATAACTACCATATACCACATTTATTATACCTAATTCATTTTCAGATGGCTTCAGCTTTAGAAACTCCTTTATTGAGAGTAAATCAAGCACGTAGTGCAGATTTGTCGTCAGTATCACAATACTATAGCAGAGAATTAGAAAAATATGCAAGGCGTGTCCTGCAAATAATACCTGAAACTGTATTTGGTTTACTTGCTGAAATAGTAAATCTTGAAACCAATGCCTTTAAAGAAATTCCTACTAAACTGCCGAAAGACAAATTGAAAGATTATGCCCAATTAGATGATAGATTAAAAGTATATATTTCTAGTATTCTTTTTAATGTAAATGAATTTATAAAATAAAATTTAATCTAAAATTTTTATTTTAGATGGCTAAATTAACATACGCTGTATCAGTATTTACAAAGGGTGTATTATCCTTAAGAAGTGTTCCATTAGGTGTATTAAGAGTCGATTCTCATCGTCTTTTAGAAGATGGTATACGACAAGAACTTGTGAAAAAAGTAACATTAGCTTTAGATAATGGTCTTGTTTTTGAACCAAAATCAAAAGTTAGTTTCTATTTTAGTTTCTTATCGTGAAAATATTTTATTAACAATTGTTATCAGTGATATCATTCCAGGTATCATTGTTACAAAAACTCCATAATTTAACGGCAATAATAGATGGCTACCGCAAATCGTTTCAGTATATTCAAGATTATATAAATATTAATAGCTTAAAAATATGGCATGAAGAAGTATATAAATTCATAAATATTTGAAATATTTAATGCGTTTATATTCGGATAAACTTATGATCATTTTGTATTCACAGATAACATACATTATAAATAATGCAGTAGAAGAAGAATGTTCAGGATCCTCCTGGACCTCCGGAAGATCATGGAGGTACTTTCAAGATGAAAAACATGTTTCAATTTCAGACAATAATTCTGCAACTTTTATTGGTAGACTTGCGCGTGAATTACTTCGAATCACAGATCCTAGGTAAATTTTTCTTTCATAATATTTTGCTACATGTTCTCTATTATTTTGTATTATTTATTTTTTTGCATTATTATTGCTGTTAGTTAATATTTTTTGCATTGGTATTTTTAGAACGACTGTCTATATTGAACATTCCCTTGCCTGGTATGATCTCAAAACACAAACGGAAGTATTAAATTACAAAATTTTTTCAAGAACATTAGAAGCAATCGGTACACCCGGTTTAACTGGTCTTGACAAACTTATTTCATTTTATATCGTTATTGAATTAAGCAATATGGTTCACTACATAGAAAAAAATATACGTAACAAAGTGTGGTCGTCTACAATTGATTATTTTGATGCAATACTAAATTCTGTGGATGGTCTTAAAGGTATTATTATGTAGTAATGAATGTTATCAATATTACATATCAATTAAATATTAGTAATCACATATTTATTTTGTCGAATATATTTGTATTTAGGTAATATGTCAAAATTTCACAGTTCTACTCAAACAAGTAAATTTTGCCCACAATTGCTTGACTATGTATTAAAAGTTGGACATTATCAACTTCTTAAGAAAAAAATAGCATATGAATTAAACACAGCTTGTAAATTTGAAGCAAAGCATATGGAAGCAGCATTGCAAACATTAAACACGTATGTGCAAATATACAGAAAATATTTTTTGTTTATATTAATCTTCTCATCTCTTATATTTTTATGATTTTCAGAGCTGTATTATTTGAAATTAATAAACAGAATAGTAACGAACAATCTGAAACTGAGAAAAATGAATTATTACGCGAGCTTAGTATTAGATTAGATTGGGCGGGCATAAGTAATCCACATAATAATATTTATATTAAATCACCAAATATAAATAACATTGCGCTTATTATGTTTTTACTTACTATATTACAATTACCTAAATTACACTATTGTAAAAACACAGGTAATTTAAATATATGTGTAATTTTAATTTCACACTAATATGTAATAAATATAAATTAATTTTATACAAAATAATTGCAGGTAGTCTTTTAAGTAAAAGACCTCAAGATCCTCTTGATGCTGTAGTTTTCGTTATCGGAGTACAAACTATTTTACGTCAATGTACCTTTTCTGCAATGACGCGTTATGTTAAATATCTTTGTGTATATGTCCTTTCGTGTGTTACTACAGATAGGTATACCGATTTTTTACTTTGAAATATTGAAAAAAAATAATCATTATTATGTGTATTAAAACCATTACTCTTTGCAGTATAAAAGCAGGAAGTGATGGAGACTCCGAAGGATATAATACTTTACATATTCTAGAATTATTTACAAAATATTCTGGTATATCACGATCGCTTATACTTAAAGAGATTCCTATCATAATTATGGATCATTTCCAAGCAAAGACTGCTAAATAAATAATATAATTTTGTGACTAAAAAAATAACTTGCATTATATTCAAGTATAAAAAATATAAATATCGTTCATTTTACATATACATTCAAACATGGATCCGTATTTTGTACGTATATGTATTTCAATATATGTATATATTACAATTATATATATATATATAATTGTATCAGTTCTTGTTAAATGAAAAATAATAAAATTCTATTATTATTATGACGACATATAGTTATTTTTCTAATGAATACATTATTCACAATAATTTAAATACTAACATAATAAATCATTAAAACTCCTTTTGCTTTTTGTTTTTCTCCCTCTTTTTTTATAAAATTTGCTATTATTTTTTATATTATATGTAAACAATTAAGCATATTCAACAAGTTGTTTACCACATTTTACTACAGCTATTCTACGTTAAAAATTATACATTCCTTCATCAAAAATATTTTTATTTTAAGCAATGGTTAAATATTAGTTTTTAATTTCTCTCTTTAATTGAAAAAAACAAAGAAATACAACAATTACGTCAATAGCATTGCTTTTTAAAATTAAAATGATGCGTCAATAGCAATGAAAATGCTAAATGTTACGGTAAATTACAGTAAATTACAGCTGAGGCAAAAAATAAAATATTAAAATAAAGAAATGTGCCAGATTCTTAGTAATACAAATTTAATTATCCTTTTAAATTATGGTCCAAAGTTCGAATAAATTAAATTTTCATATTGAATCCTCATGTAAAAGATATGTATGAATATGAAACTGCAATTGGTCGTTATCTCTGCAGTAAGAATTTAGATACGCAGTGGCGGCTAAACGCGCTATCCGCCGCAAACGGCGGCATCACGGCGCTCCTTGAACCATTTCTTCGATATCCTTAAATTAAATTACATTGAAATAATGTTTTTAAACCCAATATAAACGTTGTAATGATTATGTAATTTTTTAGTGAATTTTAAACTGTATCATATCTCATATTTTGTTAAAAACAATGAAAGAAATGACGCAGAGATATTTGCCGGCAAGAACGGCCGTCATCAGAATCTGAAAACGCCAACGGCCGCTTCATTTCCTCAAGAAAACAATACATTAAATATTTCCTTGGATATCATAGTAGTCCTTAAGACGCTTATAAAATAAAATTATCTTTCTTTTATTATATTTCACATTGTTTTAAACTACATAGATTAGATTTTAAACAAATAAATGAAATAAAATAACGTTATTGATGTAACATGTAGGCGGCTAGGACGCCGTTGACGCCGTCAGCGGCGACTGCAACGGCGATGCTGGTGGTCTCCTACAAAAGAGACTGCGATAAACTGCGAGCGCAGTATTTCTTGCTCATACGTGCAGTTACATGTTCAATTTATATAAAAAATTTAAAGTTGTAATTCTTCAAGATTTTAAATATCGTACTGATGTAAAAGTGCAGCAAAAGTGTTTATTACGTTTTCATTATTATTGAAAACAACGTTGTATATTTGCACTACATCCTTTATAGTTGAAATTTAAATTAAATTTTTTAAATTTAAGAAAGAAACTAAAAATTTGAAACAAAAGTCATTATATATTTATTATAATTAATATTAATATTTTGCACTTATACTACATCTTATGTTGATCATATAAAATATATATATTTTTTTTGTTTTAATAAATATTCTTAAATATTTAGAATTAAGTACCATTTTACTTAAAAATATCATAGATGTTTCAAATCATATTATATATTATATACTTAAAGAAACAAGATATGAAACTGTAAGTATATTTTTTCAATTCCATTTATATTCTTTTATATTGTATTCGTGATTAATATGATCTCGTGGTATGTATCGTGAATATATGTATCTTGAATCTAAGTTCAATTTTACAATTTTTTATAATTTCATAAGAAGTTCATCACAAAATACATAACAAATAATAAGTAAAGACAATATCATATAATTCTTTTATTCTCATATCTGAATATTATTCAAAATATAAATTTTCTACCTAACTGGAAAATGTATAATTTACTATTTCAATAAGCAATATGATGTTGTCTAATATAAAGTATAATCAAAATATGATAAATATATTCTTAATCTTCCTTTGATGAAAATATGGGTAATTGCATTCTATGCTATTAAACTTGTTCAAAATTATTAAATCATAATTACTCAAATGAATACCGTGGTGCATAATGCATAACTTTCGTACTATCTTTGTAATTTTTATAGTAGCATTTCCAATAGGCAAAATTACAGACAAATATATATATATAATCCATATTACAATAAATATAAGACTTGATGCTTATCTTTAACAAACCCGTTGTCTTAGGATATTTAGAAGTGAGCTTATTCTTTAGACATTCTTGTTTTGTTTTATTCCCCAAAAGATATATTATAAATAAGAATTAGATTTTATGTATAACTTTTTTCAAATGTACAAATATAATTAATGAATCCTTTTTTTTTTATGTTAGCAATCATGCGAGCAACTATCATCATTGTTTTGGCTTTAGCCACGGGGATTGTTGTAGCCACATCTAGAAATCGTAATTATTCTCATTTCGTAAAACATCCTGCAAGACCGCGAGTAATTCGAGGCTTTAAACCTGAATACATATCTACGGCATATGGTTTTGGGAAGAGGCAAAGTATTATCGATGTCCCAAAAATTAATAGGCAGGAACGAATTTTATCTACACTTTTACGTTATTTTCCACAGAGGTACATACTCCGTTAAATTATTCCTACGTACATGATGTCTCGAATTTAGACGCTCAAACTGCGAGGACTTAATCTGTACATAAAAAGAAAAAAAGTGTTATATAAAATTCAATACCAAATACTTTGTTATAGAGTTCTTAATAAATATTGTATACATAAAATAATAAGCAAGAAGAAACGTTCGTTACAATACACAGACTGTGTCGTTAAATATATGTCTTTTTTCATATGCTAACAATTTTATATCATTAATTATAATAATACAATAAAAAATAATTTTTAATTTCATCACTTGACATCAGTGAATAATAGAATTAATAACACTATAAAGTCTCTGAGAATTTCGTTGAATTTCAATAAAATTAATTCTTTACGCTAGTTTCCATGTGAAGTTGCTTTTGTTTCAAACTATGTACTTTATCAAGTAAAAATCAAATGATAAAGAAAAATGGGTAATTACCTACTTCATACACACAAGATTTGTTTATAACTCTATAACAAGCCGTTTCCCAACGTTTGTACAACATATTTTTCTTCTTTTTATGTATAAATGAAACTCTTGCAGTTTGGCCATTTAAGTCTGAAACATGTTGCGCATTCAACAATTAATAAGAGAAATACAAATATAATTAATAATAATAAGTTACTTAATTTCTCGATGTAATTAATATAAAATATTTTAATTTCAGAATACCTGTAGAATGGTTACTTCAACAGATGAAGACAAACCCAAATTTTGCTACGAAATTAACACAAGTGTTAATGGATGAACGTACTAATTTCATTTCAATGATGGATCGCTCTAATCCAGAAAGAATAACTTGGCTGTATTAAATCATTCATTGTATGATCAAATAATATATACAATTTCTAGCTATAACCTTTTAGTTTAATAAATCTGCGATGTTCGAGAAATTATTTCATCGTTATTAATATATCATTTTCCTCCAAATAATGAATCAAACAACGATTCTTTGATATACATATTATTTTTACACTATTTTCAAATATCGATCAATAACGATTCAATACGCAATATATTCTTTTAAACGATTCAACTGCAAACGCAGTTTGAAAACTAAAATCTGATTGGTCAAGTTTCGACAACCTATCACGACGCGCGTAGACAAGCAGCGGGGATTTATGATTTAAAGTAAATTGAATTCTCTGCCATATTACACGAAAGTATTGTTATACAGGAAAGGTAGATTTTAATGAAAAACCTATTGTCACAATCGCTACATAATCATACTATCATAATCGCTATGGAACGAAAGATATATATATATAGGGTATGATCATCTATGTTATGGATAGTAAATGGTAGCTACGGAGTGTGACTATCTATTTTACGACTGGTTAATGGTTTACAGCCTAAAAGGGTTTTCGGTTTCTGCGTTTCATGGGCTTTCTTTATTTGTGCATTTGTGCATTGTTCTGCTTTCGAGATCTTGCGACGGTAAATTAATTCGGCTTTGAACATTTGACTTTGGCAGTCGAATCAGTCTGGAAAGGCATAAGACGGGAACAGAAGCGATAACTTGAATACGCAATATCTAAGTGACGCCGGCCACCTTAAGCCTCGGAGGCATACGGACGACGAAGGTAAGAATCTCTCGAGACATACTCAACTGTGTATACATATTTTTTTTCGTATAAGCAATACGCGAAATTCTGTGACATTTGTTATTCGAAATCCTACAGATTGACATGCAGTAATATTTAACGACATTACAACGTTAACCTCAAATATTCATGAATATACTTAAACGAACTGAGAGTTAGTGTACCAACCAATACGTATCAAGATAGAGTTGTAATTTTTTTTTTTTTTTTTTTTTTTTTATAACCTTGGAAGCCTTTGTTTCAATGCGTATTAATGTAAATTTTGCATATGGTACGAAATATTTATAAAGCATTTGCAGTTTCATGCATAATTCTACATTATCGTGTTGTTTTGAGATTTTATTGCGAATCGTCCATATTTTATAAACTAAGAGATGAAGAATGAGTTATTGGTTGTAGTTTAAATTCATTTCAAAGTTTTGTTGCATTGATGTAGAACTAAATTTTCGAATATCATTTTATCTACAAATATATTTATATTATTCACGTATATATTTCACGTTACTTGTAACCAGTTGGTATTAAATTTAATATCAAAATCTATTTTTAGTGCAAAATTGTTTTCATTGTTTTCTTTTTTCTTTTTTTTTTGTTAAATTTCTTAAATTCTACTTATTTAAAAAAACTTGAAAAAACACTTTATCAAAAATATATTTATCAAAGATATATTTGTTTAGGTATGAATTAATGCTGTGTGCAATACTTTGTATGATAACTTGTATGACATGACATTAACTTCTAATTTAAATATTATTACTTCAATCTGTAATATATTAACAATTTACGTACATCATTAGATTGTGATGTTTATTTATAAATATTAAATATTTTTATTTTATAGTATTTATATAAACAATTATTTTCTAGTTAAAAAATAAATATATATAAACATCTTATATTTTTAATAATTAATTTCTTGTTCTTTCTTCATTATCAATAAATTATATTAGTTTTCCTGTTATTAATGACTATTTGCTATGTATTACAATTACATTATTTTTTATACAAATTTTAAATGACACAATGGAAAGATAATTGATTTTAGTTTTATGTAGTCTCACTGATACGTGTACAATACTTTAGTTTCTCTTTTCCTAAAGTTTTCCTTTTCCCTTTGTTCTTTCTTTCTCCATGTCCAAAAGACATTCTTACAGGTTGAAAATACGCTCGTTATAGTTTCTAGTGCAGTACAAAACGGTTTACGGTTTACGGTTTACCGGTCTTTCTTAGTTTGTGTTGTGTTCGAGTTGAAAGTTTAAAGTTTAAAACAAAAAGTTCGGACAAGAAATACTGAAAATTAACAGTTTGCATTATAAATGTGAAAAAAGTTCAGTTTATGTATAAAGTACTAAAGTTGTTAGTAAAACAAAGTTATCAACGTGATATAAAAAGTATGTTCGACGCGGTATGGATTGCACGCATTGTGCCTTCAAGAGCAAATACTGCACAGGCTCTTATCGATACAGGTAAGCCCTGCGATGCTACTGATGCAGATTTTTCAGTGCTACAATTGGTCGGTTCGGCTAAAAAATTCACCTCTCAAGTAAGGGGAATTAAAAATTTGATTAAGCAGTGGTCCCATTTCTCGTCAAATCATTATTATATATGTCGTAAAGGAAAATAACTTTTTTACAGGCTAGAATATTTCATCATGTCAGACTCTGGTTCAGAAAGTTCCTCTTCTGAGGGTTATGATGGAAGGAGAGAGCGTGTTGCATCAGCTGACAATTTGGCATCACCAAACTTCTCACATCATTCATCTATATCTGGACGTAAATCTAGAGCAAGTTCTATTTCTTCAAGAGAAAAGTCACCTGGATCTGTTTTATCAGAAAGGGATTCAAAATCTCCGAGATATACACCAATATCTCCAAAATCTCAAAGATCTGGATTAGCTTCTCCTAGTGAAGTGGGTTCTCCAAGATCAGCTCGTAGTTTATCAAAATCACCACCTGCTTCGCCAAAATCATATCACTCAGAAAACAATTCTTTAGATTCACCAAGAACTGATCGGAGTTTATCTCGTTCTCCTATACAAGATGAGAGATCATCCCCATCTACTCCCCAAGATTCTAAATCTATACATCTTGAAGATACAGAACCTAAACAGTTTGAACTGGAAGTAGATACACAAAGATCTGGAGACAATTCTCTCAAATCATATTCTTATAAAAATAGTGAATCGAGACAGAGTTCACCAAAGTCGCCAAGATCTGGACGTAGTTCACCGAAATCATTATTATCCGCAAGGAGTTCTCCAAAATCTGGTCCAGCATCTCCCATGGATGATCAAGAATCAGAAAAACATTCACCGCCTCAGTCCCCACCTATAAAAGCTTCATTCAATGAATTAGATGGAGAACAAATTTCAGATGGAGACATCGAAGATGAACCTGAATCAATAACTAAATCAAAACCTACTCCGATTACACATGGTGAAGATTTATCAGATGTTTCTGATCTAGAAAGTATAGATGGAGTTGATGGTACTACTGAACATGAATCAGTACTGAAAGAAAATCAACAAAATGAAGAGAAACGTATAAGTAACGATAAAATAGAAAAAGAAGATAAACATGCACCAGTTGGACTAACAGAAGAAAGTGAACAATTAGATTTCGAAGCTGATGGTCAATGGAAAGATGAACGTGATGAAGGTAAATAATTCACGAATTTTTTCCAATTAAAATAAGTATTACTAAAAAAATACTGCTTTTAGGTGAAACAGAAGGACCAGTTATCAAAGAAAACAAAGACAGAGATGATAAAGATGGAAAAGACAAAGATAAAGATAAATTGAAAATAAAAGAAGGTGGTGATACGAATGATAAGGAAGAGGGAGAAGAAGATGGAGAAAAAGTAGAATCTGAATTAGAAGAAGGAGAACTTAGTGATGGTGATGATGTTCGACCCGAAGAAACAGAACCGAGACCTATTTGCCGCTTCTATAACCGAGGTCAATGTACATGGGGAGTTAGCTGTAGATTTTTACATCCAGGTGTAACTGACAAGGGAAATTATACTATGTTTGATATGGTAAGACCAATGGCATATCCACCACATGCAGCTGCTCCGCACGAATTCAGACCGCACATTGATAGGCCAAATATGGTGCGACCATTGCCTGGATATGGAGCACCAGCACATACATCGAAAGTAGAAGATTTACCTACTGAATCTGCGTGGGAACGTGGATTACGACACGCTAAGGAAGTAAGTTTCTATTTGAAACAAACTATGATATTATCTTTTGTATGTAGCTATGTTGATATAATAAACATTCCAAATGTAATTTTTTCTTATTTTCTCTTTTTGTATATTCAGTAATCAAGTATATCTTTTAATATTTACAAAATATATTTAGTTCTTATTTTACTTTCTTGTTTTTGTTTCTATGAGGAAAGTTATAAATGTAAGAAAGATGAAAGATGTGAGAAACTAAAATATGCTTTATACGTTATGATATTTCCCCAAAAAATAATTTTATGTATCTTCTTTTTTACGCAGATGATGCGCAAAGCAAACAAACGCAAAGAATCAGACATGGATTTCGAAGAAAAGAAAATGAACTTAAGTTTAGGACAAGATGAATTAGATAGAGAGGCAGGATATTATGTAAGAGCGGCCAGTCCAGAACCACCTGTTGAAAGATGGCCACCTAGAGAAGCACCTAGGAGGATACCACCACCAAGACTTACACCAGAAAGATACATCGATGATCCTGATACTTACTATGCACCACCAGCAGCTCCACCACCAGAATATTATAGGTAATATTTATAATACTTATTAAAATTATAAATCAAATTGAAAGATACTTGTCATTTTTTAAACAAATATTCAAATACCTTCTTTTTTTTTAAGGAGGGTACATTATAAAGCAGACACTCGAATCACTGCTGAATATAGAGAACGTATCGATTATCACGCAATACCTCGGGGAACACCACATTCTGTTTCTCCACCGCCGCATACCAGGGAAAGAGAAAGAGAAAGAGAACGAGAGCGGGAACGCGATAGAGAACGAGAATATTATGAGAAGTATGAGAAGAAACATAAACGTCCGTCAAGGGAAGTTATAGTGGAACGTATTCCACCGACGAAACCTTGGCGAGAGGAGGAGCCACCACCAGAGGAAAGGAGTAGAGGAGATGAGTGGGCAGATCCTTGGATGCGCCGGAAATCTCCGAGTACAGTACGTCGAAATGCATCGTCTCGACGATCACGAAGGCAATCATATTCCTCGGGTTCTTCGTATACATCAACAAGGTAACCACTCTTATTTTAATTATAGAAATAATATAAAGAATATAATTTTTCTATTACTAAACATCAAATTAAAATTTTTTTTTTAATATTTATAAAAAAAAAAAAACGTACAAACGTACTGTATGCTGTTTTTAGTTCTAGCCGTAGCTCGAGCCGCTCTAGCTACAGTTCTTACGACTCCCTATCCAGGTCCCGTTCACCATCCCCTCCCTCTAGAACTCGTGGTACCGGCAAGGGAAAAGTGGTGGTGACATCGCCACCATCCAATCCTCCAACAGTCGCAGCTGCTGCACCTCAACGAGGTGCTATGTTAATGAACCCACCTGCTCCTTCTCCTCGTCCACCTAAAGGTTCCATTTCCCCTACAACTGGTACGCTTCACCGACGTGCTGGTCTTAACCCACCAGCGCCGAGTCCGCTTTCTTCTCATCAGCGTCATCATGAAAAGGCAAGGGATAAAGCAGCGATAGCAGCTGCCGCAGTGGCTAAAGTTATTAAAAGTCGATCACGATCGAGGTAAAAAAAATATATATATATAAAGTATATTTTATTAATTTTAATAAAATTTAAATTCATGTGTTAATAGAAACAATGATACAATGTATGTATCACTAATGTAAGAAAAAAAAATATGTTTCAAGGTCATCGCACAGTAGTTCTGGTTCTGAAAGCAGCGGTAGCAGTAGTGACTCTAGCGAATCGAGTTATTCCTCTTCTTCCAGTGAAACACGTCGAAGGAAAGGTTCGACCCCGCCAATAACACGAAAAGATTCCAAGGGTATCGATGCCTTAAAGCTTAGTGGTACTAAACAACAGATCAAACTTACATTAAAGCCACCAAACAATACTACGGCAGTAAAAAAAGTTGATCGATCTGCTTTGATGGCTGGGAAGAAAAGAGGTTTAGAATCACCACCGTTGATTGACAGTAAAGCAAGCGTCGCTGCAGCTGCAGCGAAAGCGGCAAAGAAAGCAAGCTCACGACGAGAAGAATTGTTGAAACAACTTAAAGCAGTAGAAGACGCAATTGCACGTAAGAGATCAAAAGTGTAATAATGCAGTATATTTTTATTGTTTTGGACCCTGTATGTACACATATGTAAACACAAATATTTCCTAAGTATATATAATTATTATAAATGCGTGATATGAAAAACAAAGTGGAAAATTCATATCAGAACAAAAAGGCATTTCTAATTTCACAAATTTTTCTAACCATGATGTTGATATTTGATATACTATGATATATCAATTTCTGAATTGTTTTTCAACGTGTAAACCAGCGTACTATGTCAAGCAAATGTAATACTGTATCACTCTAGTTTCTTTGTTATTGGAAGTTTAAAACTATATGTGCTTCACTACACATGCACAGAATGGAAAAAAATGTTTGATCTTGTCTATCATAGGTAAATTTTACATCGTATATTTGATGGAAAAACATGTAAAGAACTTGCCGCAAAATTACCAGAAAGATTAAACTTGCTAAGAAACTATGCGTCGTAACTTCTTTTGAAAAATGGCAAAAAAGATTGACGAAATCAACGATTGATTCACAGAATAGAAATATAAACAAAATTCAAGGTCAATTTTGCGGCAAATTCACTTATAAAACTGTGTAAAATTCACTTATAGTCAAGATCAAAGATTTATTTCCACCTTATACGCATATGCCTGTATGCGAATATACATGTATATGTAAAAATGTCGAATGGACATACTTTGTGGAATGGATATACTTTGTAAGAATTCAATGATCATGATAATTTGTAGACGTAGGATAAGAATAAACTGCAAAATAAGGTCTTAAAACTGCCAAATGCACGTAAATAAAAACAAACGTGTAATTTATTTATGTGTGAGTGAAAAATTCTGTTGAAATATACAATATATTTATTATTATAGCAAACCTACTATTTTTAAATAAATGCAAACAAGTTTGGTGATATGAAACGACAATAAAATGTCGCGCCAGTTTAAATATTCTGTAGCTTCTCTTTTTATTTTCTAACAAACTAAGTTGGTTATTGTAACATTATTAACATTATTAGTTCAGTCAAAACTAAATTAATTCAAACAATATTTTTATTTAAGAGAATATATATTATTAGAAAGTGTGAATATTTTATACAGCTATTTTTACGTTATATATTATAAAATTATAAAAAAAAATTTCATTATAAAATGCGAAATAAATAACATAATTAAAATATGATTTTGCTATACATAAGTAAATATACTAGATAAACTTAGGGATGTAAAAGTTTGTTAAAGAGAATGACGTATTCTTTCATACATGTTCCGTACAATAGGACGATGTAAATTAATTTTCTTCAAAGTAGCGTAAACAGATAACAATAAAATTTGTGAATTCATAATAAAAAAAAAGATATATATGTTATTTTATTACAAACATTTTATTAACAGGACGAACACTTTGTTAACAATAGTTTATTAAGTATAAATTACAAAACAAGATCACAAGATCATGACGTTGTTTATACATGTAGTTGTACTCTAGTTGATTTAAGTTGATTTAACAGTCCATGAAGAAGTAGAAAAATTATTTCGTTTAATATTTTATATACAAATTGGAAAATAAATTGGGATGGATCGCAATACTTACGTAATCGATTTCTACTTTAAAATGAAAATAACAGCTTTCATTCAACAAAACCACATCAGTAACAAATACAATTTATCCAAAGTTGAAAATATGTACATTAAAATGCTATATATACAAGATTGCATATTAGAATATTTAGTAATGCTTTCTCCTATCAGGTAAAATCCAGATTTTATAATTCTTAAACAGCTGTATAATTTAAGACAGGCGAAGCTATTATAGAATTGTTTCAAGTGAATATGAGCTCTCGGAGTACTAAATTTTTACATTTAATGTATATACATGTAAAAAAAAATCGATATAAATGTATCGGGAACATATTGATCAATTCCACTGTCAAATATTATGATAATTTTATAATCTGGAAGTAGTTATCTCAGAATCCGATTGCCTGTTAGCACTGATTGTGTCGACAGTATCCTGACTCGTGCGAATAGGAAGTCCCATAAATCTATTGGTTCCGTTGAGCGTGCTACGTCTCGATCTAACCGAACTATTGTCATGGGTTTTTATCTCATTATACTTGAACAGACCATCACCGGGCGCGGGCAATGAGTTCTTCGCCGACTTAAACCACCATTGATACGTGACGTACCACGTTAAAACGGCGGCTACACCTCCAAGAAATTTCTCTATCATAATATGATAGTAGAGCATCGTGGATATCAACATGGTATCCCATAGTAATTGTTGCATCGTCATTGCAACGAAAAGACCTCTCAGATAAGGCGTGAGCGCTTTATGCGCTTTCTTTAGAAACTCCAGATCGGAGTTGGAGAGATTCCGGAGTGGTCCGGTACTGGGCTCATTCGGGGTAATACGCGAGTGTTCCTCGCGCATAATCAAGTCCTTTATACCCTCCCAGCCAACTAACGAAGAGCCCTCTTCCGCTAGGATCAAGCTCGAGTATATAAGAATGAACGTGTGCCCAGATATATCAAAACCACTCCAAAATTTGCCGGACTGGAGGCATTTCGCTTTCGTCTGCAGCTGCGTGTCCTTTGTGTTCAGGCAACGGCCGTAATTTGTCTCGATATAATTGAATAGTTTAGTCCATAATAACCATGCGATCGTGGCCAAGACCAGTCTGGCAAGATGTTTTAGCAAAATCGACCTACGGCCGCATCCAAGCGTGTGCGCGGTCAACGCGACCCATGGAACTGTTACAGTCAGCAACCATCCCCATCCCCACTTCACGAAGTACTGATTGAGCGCGTTATCCGGACGCGAGAAATACGTTCTCGGCATGGTCATAACATCTGCTATCAACGATACTACGAATATCGCGCCACAGTATATAGCAACCTTGAGCCTCGTATCGAACAGCAGAGACTTTTTGCAGACGTGCAGAAACATCGTTACGAGTATGAGACCTATGGAGCTTGGGGCAGCTGTCGGTCGAGTACCGCCTCTGTCCTCCTGCGTCGAATTCGGGCGAAAATTTAGGCCGCTCGACCTCAAGTTACTTGCCGACGAGCCGAACATCGCAGAGCTACCAGCCGACGTATGCACACCTCTTCGTTTCCCCGTAGCCATCGTGTGCAGCCAGTGTGTGCACGGAGGTTAAGCATACGTTATTGAATGTACTAAGAGTGTACGTTATGTCGTCGCATGGTAAATTAATCGGTCTTTTCACACAATCCGAGGTTAGCTTGCGGTTCGTGCAAGTTCCTTTCACATACAGTTAAAAATTCTTGATAAACTTTGTGCCTGACACGATTCAGCTAGTACAGATTATCAATTACGTGTATAAAACATTCGATACTTAAAATAGTACTACCTACACTGTACGCTTCTGACTACGCTGATTTGCTCTGTCATCCAGTAGTCTTCCCCTTCCCCTGCTAACGTGAAGAATTCGACGTTTGAATAGCTATTTTTCTTTAACACTTTGAGTACCCGCGTGTACCAAATTGCACGCCGAATGAAAGTTTTGCTTTGTACTGTAACTTCTTCGTCATTTTCCTATATTTTTAGTACAAATAAAGTTACTTTCTTTGTTATATAATGTTTATTTATAAAATTTATTGTAACGATAAGTAAAATTCAAGTTCTCGAAAAGCCAAAAATTATATAATTTTACATATCTCTCAAATTCTACGTCGGGTATCATCTTTGGTGCACGCAGCATTTCGGAATTTAGCTCACTTAAAACTGCATCCAACGTGTTAAAGGAGAAAGATAAAATCACTATTCGTTTGAAACGAATCATTTTGTCTTATTTATTTCACGATCAAGGTCAAATAAAATTTATTCAAAACGTTTTTAACTGAATTTACATTCCTTTCTTTTTTTTTTGTAGCAAAAATTTACGTTGTAAATCTTATTTTATTAAGGAAACTATATTGTAGAATAAATATTAAATTAATATCATATTAAAGTTGATACTAGATTAGAACATTTTTTATAAAGGAAATAAAATATTAAACGAATCAGGAAATATAACGTTGTGTTTTGAAGTGATAAATAAACACCAATAGATAACTAGAATGAAATTTTTATTTACTATTCATCATCTGCATTACTACACTAAATAGCATTTATACCTTTTATATGCAATAAGCTTTATTCTTTATAATGAAGAATTCACCCATAATATCGAATAAATTTAGATAAAATACATTGTTATCAAGTAATATTACAAAAGGAACTCTGCTATATCTTTAAAAGTTTTGTTAAACATATGAAACTTTTAATATATTCTCTCTAATAATGTGCAATTATCTTTGCAAACTTTTATACATTTGTTTGTGTTTCTGTATATAACTTCTGCAAGGCACCGTTAAATTCTTTCAAAATATGTGAACATTAATAGTAATTGTTCATTATGAAAATCATTATTTAAAAATTATTTTATTGTAAATTAGGCGCCCGTAAAAATCGTTGTCACATTATTACCAAGTGTTGACTAGCTCTAATAAATTTATGGCCAGATACCATATATCAATATATTAATTAGTATACTTAAATATATTTAACAACATTTCCGTTTCGTTGTTAAAATATTTATTAATTAATTATATTGCAGAATTGAATAATTAATTTGTCTACAAATTTAGCAATCAAATAAACCAAAAGTTAAACACTTGTATGTGGAAGATCCATTACAAGTGAATCTAATTTTACAACCTGTACTTTTGATGTTAGTACCTTTGTTGCTTCTATATCATACGAAGACCAATAAGTTATTAATTCTGGGAAGCCATCTTCGCTAATATAATCAATTTTAATTGAACTGAACCGAGCACGTAAGCTCAAATTTGGCTGACAATCTGCATTTCGACACAATTGAATGATATCAGTTTGATTCGCGTTCCTAACTTGAACATCTGTATAATTCACAAAAACAATTAATACTTTTTCTATTAGTCTTCTTTCTGTAACAATAGATATTTTTTCTATATGTTCAGATGTTGAGTTAATCCATTGCCAAAATTTAATGGCAAATCCGCAAGTATAAGGTTTTCCAGACATAACCAGAAAAGCTGGTTTTGATACAAAAGAATTAGGACTAACATGATCCCAGATTACTATTGGTTGATTTCCATATTTTTGTAATGTTAGATTAACACTAGCTTTACAAAATTCTCCAGGACATAAGCCTTTGTTTTCAATGGATAAGTAGTGATATTGTGTAGGCCTCCAGTTATTCTTTTCACTATTGAATTTTAAGGTTTTGAACATGCTAAATGCCATTGTTGGTTTTATTACCAATTTTTTATATTCTGATAATTTTGTAGCATGTAATAAACCCTGAATAGTCATAGTTTTTATCATACCTATAAAAAAATTTTTATCATATATAAAAAAATAATAAAAATTATATATCATTTTATTTTTCATGCAATATCCATATTAAAATCCAAGTATATAAGTAAAAAAGGTAAAATATTTATTATTATTCCAATACTAATATTTATTATTATTCCAGTTAATTTTTCTTTTTAATATGTCTTTATAATTGAATTAAAAAATCTGTACTTGACTTTGTACTTACTTTTTCTATTATCATCGTAACAAATATAAGATACTGTATTATTAAGGACATGATTATCTATATCAATGGACGAACAATTTCCAGGTGAGTATCGTCCTAAGAGATGTCCAGTTCCACCAGATAGGAGAACAAGATTAGGCATGCTTTTTGGTGGTACTTCTATACTCAAAAAATCTTCTATTTTGTCTGAATCAATATCTGGTAAAATCAGAGGTAGTTTCTCGTATGTATAAATTTTTGAACTCCAATGTATAGTGCCTGCAATAGGTTCAATACTAGCCAAGAGGCCGTGATCTCCAGCAACTATACAATCTGGTTTTCCAGACCGATCAGTATCAACTGAAATACAATCAATTTCGGTAGGTGGCCGTTTTAACGAAACCAACCATAATGGTAAACCACTATTTGCTTGCATTGACATAACTCCTCCTCCTTCTGCTGATATTTGACCCTGATCATTATTTGTATCATTTTCTCTAAATCTTCGTCCACGAACAAGAAATATCAATGTTGATGGATTTCCATGAATAATAGAGATAGGGCCATGTAATTCTAAAAATATTTAATTATAACATTAAATCACACAATATGTATTAATTATACATAACATATATTGACATTTTATAACTTTTTCATAGTTATGATACATAATATCACGGATACTTACTATCACAATTAATATAAATAGAAGCAAACTATTAAATTTGATAGTATGTGATGGTAAAATAGTGAATCAAATTTTATATATATGTATATAACACACTTATACATACATTTAAGTAAACTTACCTATTCCTTGTAAAGTTTTATCCCAAGATATAGGTGATTGTGGTTCATTTACTGAAGGACATACCATTGAGTTATCACATGGTAGAACATAAAGAAATATAACTATTGTTACAACACATAATAATATAGAAGCAACCAAACAAAATCGTCATAAGGGAGACATAGCATGTCTTTTCCACAAATCATTCTGATCATTGCCCTCAATTACCATTATAGGTATATCATCCCTATAATATTTAAGCATGTTTTGTCCATTTTTTGCACGAGTTCCTAAGTTCCTTGTTTCATCCAATGGATAATACACTCCATTTTCATGTATAATAGTTGATTGCTAAAATTTTTATATTCGTTATATATTTCTTAGTTTACATTTTGCATTATTTATATACTCTATGCTAAAATTGTATTTTTGGTGTGCTTGCTTTTTTATAAATAAAATTACATAATTGTTATACAAATATATTAATAAGGATTTTTAAATATACAAATGTTCAAAGACAATATATTCTGTAAACTAAACAGATGAAAAAAATTCGTATAAAAATGATTTATTACAAACTTGTAAAAACTTTTCAGCAAATTTTATAGTTCTTGGTAATATTGATATGTATAATAATAAATTATAATAATTAACAACTAATTAAGATAATATTAAGATAATCATTCATCATAAACCATGAAATAGAGAATTTACTTAAAAGACAAAGATTGTTTTGTAAAAGTGCAATAAATCAATTATATACAAGATATAAACTCATAAAATAAATAAGCTTTCTTCATCTATATTCAATCCGAAAAGTATACTAATCTATTGACCTACAAATGCTTGCATCATTTATTTATGTCTTCAATTCAAAATAAATAAAAGGAAAAGATCAGGTAGCGTGATTCCAACTTACTAGCTGTGTATCATCGGCATGATCTTTAAGAATTTCACTTGTTTGGGCCAGACAATCTTCTTCGTCTTCAGTATCAGTATTGCTTATATTTTGAGGCAGAGGGGTATAACCTTTTCCAGCGTGATGATCAGACATTGTTCTATACAAGACACTGTAAATTCAAATTTAATCAAGTACTTGTATATGTATGAATAAATATACGATATTTTACGTCTGTTATTTCATCATCGTGACACCATTCAGTATAAAGTATTGATAAAGAACGAACATAGCCAGAATCGATAGCATTAAAATTACAGAGTACCAATAGTTAAATGTAAAGTGTTAATGTCCCCGATTCTATTCTCGTACGAGCGTATTAATTACACCATGTAATCTTTCAGATCAACTTTATACAATTTGTGTTGTATTAAGTTTCAAATAAAATTAAATTCTAGACGATTTAACATGTTTCAAAGGTATAATTTTTTATTGCTACATATGTATGTATGGACAAGATAGATATATATGTTTGAATACATTTTGAATATATGCGTATATAGTGTGTATGGAACTTAAACAGCGGGGTCTTGATTTATACGTAAAAAAAAGAAAAAAATATTGTCAGGAAACGTCTCGTTACAGAATTATGAACAAATATTTATCTATGAAATGACGCATTATATCAATAGAGCACACAAAAGGATTTGTGTTTATTTGATCTGTGTACATTCTTTGATAGCCTTAGTTATATTTTAACCTTCTGCCTACTGTGCCGGAGTCTTTTTTGACCCGTGTTGAGAGCTACTCGAATGCAATAACGCACACAGTGATGGGAGCTGCTTGTGTTAGTAGCTGAAACCTGATCGCACCAAACACTAAGTGGCTAACACGTGTCTACCAAAGTTCCGAAGTGACGAAGATTGAAAAGAAAGAAATCAGATTTTGGTAACGCTTTGAGGAGGAAAGACGTGTGCAGCAAATAAAAGCAATTATTATTTTTGTTCTTTTTATTACTTTTTTCCGTTGTTTCTATTTGTTGACAAAATGTTCTCATTGCCAACGAGTAATATTTCTTTGTCTTCTTTCGCTGAATAGACGTTGCACACAGTAAACAATCATCAGACAACGGAAGTGTATCAAATAATGACGCTGAACCCGAAATGTAAGATTCCGAAGTTGAAATGTAAGACAATGTATCAGAAACTGTTGATAATATAGTTCCAGAAAACCAGGAATTTTGACGTAATTGGCAATGTATTGGATCTAGCAAGGATACAGCGATTGTCTCTTGTCAATATATAAATATAAATAAATATAACTTTATTATTCATGCGATTATTATTTGTTTCTATATGCTCCTACATGTTCCTATACGAGTCAGGTGTCTGTCACTGTGTTGGTATAATATTGGTGAAGATCTCGGTCTCTAGTGACCGTCATTCTGTTAGTATAGTATCGGTGAGCTGCTCGAGTGATCCAAATATGATTCAGTGTGAGTCAGAAATGACCCCAGCACAGGACTGCGAGCTTCAGGCTTCTGAGGGTTAAAACCACAAACGCAATGAAACATATTTAGAACTCGTTTAGACATAAAATAGCAATCAAGTGAATCACCATAAATGATTTTCTATAAAAGAATTAGTTTCTCATCTTCTATAATTACAATCATTTCTCTCATAACCCCCGAAGCAAAACAAATTGTAAAGTTTGATATTATTTCTTCTATATTTTGTATAAAATTAAATATATTCTTACTGAATTCAACTGTAATAACTCAATAATTTCAAGATTCGAAACGATGACTTATACTTGCATCAATACGTGTCGTGCAGAGATGAGAAGTTCCCCTAAAAGAATGTGAGTCTGGTTGGTTATTTCCAATCCACTCTTAAATTTAATACCTATTGGCTGAGAGTGTCACGTAAAATCTAGTGGGTCGGTTACTGAGAGAAGAAACTGCTTCCTTGCATGGGACTTTTCATTTTTGTACGTGCATACAGCTACATACAACTGAAAATATACAATTTGCAATTCGTCAGTAGATGGTACTAAAGGTGAAATTTCTGTAGCGACTACTTTCATGTGTAATGTAAGGTTATAAAGGATATAGAAGGTGGAGTGTATTTCGTCTCGGAGTCACCACCAGATTCATCAATAGGGCTGATGCCGGCTCTAACCTCAGACGCTCCGTTTATTAGGAACTTCTAGCTTGGCCCAAGAAACGGCACCCATCCTAGAGGTGTTCCGTAAGTTGCACGCTTAATCTAAAGATCCGTAGCGAAGCGGCATTCACTTACCATTTGTACTATCCGTGTCTTTGGAACTGGTATACTAAGGAAGGGCTGAATGTGCTAACCACTAGAAGCATTAAAATACTAGCGTCGTGTAGCGGTGAAACGATAGAACTAATTTATATTGTTGTCCTTGTCTACCGCGTCTATATGTCTGTCCTTATCGCACGCAAGTGTCCTCTAATGCAGCTAGACAAGGAAAGCAATAGTGTGCGACAAAAATAACCCTCGATCTATTGAAAAAAAAAATTCAACTTTTTACAGACACGTTTTTCTAGAACAAAACACACATAGAATGAAAGCGGGGAGCCTAATTTTAAGGAAGCATATAAAAAAGTTCGCAAATTATTCCTCTTAATTAGGTTTTTCTCTTAATTAATGCGAACTTTCATAATATGGACATGGTGGCGCCATCTAGCGGCAACTCGCTGGTACTAATTAATTATAAAAATACTTATTTCTGCATTTTACGGGTCAAGTGGGGTATAAAAAGAAAGCCCAGAGTCTAATTAGAGTAATACAATCACAAAAGTTCACAATTCATTTCGCTAAATTAGGTTTTTTCGCAAATGAAAGTGTCTCTGTTTTACGGGGTAAGAAACACTAGCGCCGCGTTGTGGCAGACCGGTGAAACTAAACGTTCTATAATCATATAAGGGGAATAATTAATTTTAATTTTTCACGCTATTAATTTGCACTCCACGAGCACATATTTCAAAGATAATGCTATCAGTTGCGTTCGCCAATAAATCTGAATGTAATATTCACTATAGTTCGCGCGAAATTATGCACTCACTACTGGCACTACTACTAACGTAAACGAAATTGAAACATTCTTTATATAAGTAAATTTTACTTAAACAAGACATAAAACGCAAGCCTGGGGTCTCTAACATCGGTGACGCAACCATAAGAGTTCACAAATGATTGTTCTTAATTAATTTCTTCTTGTAATTTGTGGAAAAATGTCACCTGTCATTGTTTAAAAGCAATGGTGGCGCCATCTATTTATAACTTAATGGCACTAAAAACCAGAATTTTTTACTTTTAGTACCACCTAGTTATCAATAGATGGCGCTACATGCCACTTTTCACTACGTCAATGTAACGGTGGCGTTGTGGCAGACCGATGGTTTAGTTCCACCGGTCTGCCACAACGCGGCGCTAGTGTTTCTTACCCTGCAAAATAGAGAAATTTTCATTTGCGAAAAAACCTAATTTAGCAAAATGAATTGTGAACTTTTGTGATTGTATTACTCTAATTAGACTCTTGGCTTTCTTTTCATACCCCACTTGACCCGTAAAATGCAGAAATAAGTATTTTTATAATTAATTAGTGAGTTGCCGCTAGATGGCGCCACCATGTCCATATTATGAAAGTTCGCATTAATTAAGAGAAAAACCTAATTAAGAGGAGTAATTTGCAAACTTTTTTATATCCTTCCTTAGAATTAGGCACCCTGCTTTCATTCTATGTGTGTTTTGTTCTAGGAAAACGTGTCTGTAAAAAGTTGAACTTTTTTTTAATAGATCGAGAGATGTTTTTGTCGCACACTATTGCTTTCCTTGTCTAGCGTCATTTGAGGGCACTAGCGTGCGACAAGGATAGACATATTCGCGCGGTGGACAAGGACAACAATATAAATCAGTTCCAGCACCTATCCTAAGGGTAATCTACACGATGTATGCTTAATACTCTTACTGAATTAGTGTCAGCTAATCATCCAAAGTAGCATCTTGCATCAAAATTCTAAGATTATTCACTAATGAAAAATTATATCTATTTCATGCATATAATATTTGCGTATAATTCTGTAATAAAGCATTTCCCAACAAACTTTATTTTCTTTTTTATGTGTAGATTAAACTCTCGCAGTTTGGAAGCTCGGAACACTCTGTATATGTAAATTTTATTATATTTATTATCCATGAATAATCACAAGAAATAATAAATGTATAGATATTAATATGCAATTGTAGTATTATTTTCAAGAATTCGTAGTACAAACATTAATAAAAAATTATTAAAAGTAGAAATTTTTCTACATAAAACAGATATCGAATTTTATCGTACAAACATTTTAGGGAAAATATGTAAATTATGTGTTTATCATATTAGATTCCGCAACACTTTATTAAAAATATAATTTATAAAATATAATATATATAAAATTTTATAATTTTGTATGGTCACTTATAATCTGGTCAACAGATTCCCAAGTGTGTTTTACATTTTCTAAAAAATACTCTCTTCTGTTCTCCCTTCAATCACGCATCTCTTCTTAAAGAAGGAAGAGGAACTCACACAGGAATGAGTAAGTTCTGTTTATCGTTTAGACTTTCCTTGGTGAGATTAAGAAATGTTAAGGGTCCGTCGATGTTGTACCGTATTTGAGAAATGGTAAAATTTACAACAGGATAATGGAAAATAAGCTGAACTTCAGAAAATAACGTACGACCGATGGACTCTCAAAAATAGCCTTTATAGATCCCTGTCATAGATCTGTCTCTCCGACGATCTGCATAGAATGGGGTCAATCATCTAACAATTATTGAATATAAGATAAATCGATAGATTCATACGACTCATGGGTGTCCTGTATAATCATGCAGTTATGTGTATATCGAATTTAAATCAATCAGATATGTATGTATCGAATTTAATGTATTTGAAAATTAGCTATGTTACTTCGAGATAGTTTATCTGAATAAACTAATGAGATATTTGAACTATTTTATTATTTAACTATTGTATATAATAATAAATATCATGTTTAAAATATACATATATTCTGTTTCTAATTTTTCTATAAATGAAAAGAGATATATATACAATTTTTGCATCTAAAATCTATCATTATGTTATAATGCTTGTTTGTAAAGCAATAATAACTCTGACTTGTATTCTTTATCCAAAGAATGAAATTTACGTTTGTTCTTCTTTAATTTTAATTTTTGTGGCGTAATAAAAATCATCTTTAATTTCTTTCATAACAGTTCCCAACGTATTTCCCAAATAATCACATTAAATGTGACATTAAACAGATAAATAAAAAAAAAATCATTTACTAACAAAAACTTTTCTTTCATAACAGTTCCCAACGTATTTCCCAAATAATCACTTTAAATGTGACATTAAATACGTAAATAAAAAAAATTATTTACTGAACTAACGAAAAATTTATTATTAACCAAAATAGTTTAATGTATTATACTATATACATATAATAATACTGTATATATAATAATATAAAATTGCTATGATTTGAAAATTATAAACAGAACAATTGAATATTGTTGTTTTGATGTGTTTGTAATATCTGTTGAATATTGTATACAATGATGTATTATATCACAGACAAGATGAGCTTATACTATATAAAATAATATACGCTAGAGCAGCTGCTGTGATTTCGAAATTATAAACAGAATAGCTGACATCGTATTATCAGGCAATAATATTTGTTGAATATTATTATCAAAAATATAATACAACTGAAAGTAAACGTCGAAATAAGGTAAGAAATAGCCAATAGTTATTTCTTTTTATTCAAATATTTTATTCAGCGGTTAATTTGAATAAACAACAATACAATTTTAAACGCAAGACAAATTAATAAAGAAAAATTTTAGAGATGGCTATGCAATATTCGTATGACCCGTACCCAATGCATGTGAAGATTCTACAACAACAAACATGGTGTACGTTTGCACAGATGTGGAATTTTATCAAAAACAACGCCTATTCTAAGTTTGATCATCTCACAAAAGAGGAAATAATACATGAGATTAGATTTCTTAAGACAACAATACCAATATTTTCGAGAACACATAGATTTCCTGATAATAATTTGTATGTTCATGTAGATAATATTTTAATTAAAACTGCCTTGGATAAAATAGTCTTGAGTGAGACTCAAGAAGCGTATATTTCGTCATTTTTGCTATTATCTACTTACTTTGTGGCAGATTCCAGTGATAAAGAAAAAATTCTAGTTTACGATCGTGAGAAGTTTGAATCTACTTACAGACTAACTTGGAAGAGACATTAATTTAATATTATTATTATTTAAAATATTAAATACATTTATACTAAATAATGTTTATATATTTATATTAATAATAAATTAAAATAAAAATGAAATAATTTTTGTACTCTTTTATCCCCTCCTTTACAGAAAAAATATGTATATATATTAAAACATTTATATGTTAAGTTTAATTATTGTATTGTAAATGCTTTTGATAAATCAATGTAAATACTAGAGTTAGTAAAGTAAAAGATTAAAAACACGAGATACAAAATAACATTTCCAAGAAGTTTATTTTTTTATACTACTACATAAATATATTATTCATTTAAACTTAAGTCACTTTTAGTTAAGAATCTATAACACATCTGTCATGTCACAATTTTTTTTCATATGTATATATGTATATATATATTTATTTATTTTATTATGCTCTCTATTAAATAAATATACTTGTATTTATTCATTTATCTATTACTGTTTGTTCTTAATTTTTATACACATATAAGTTTTTAACATTCTATTTCCAATATTGAAACGTATAAACATCTATTGATAAAGAAATGTATAAATATTTAATTAATGTTTAATTAAATTGTATAATTTGCTAAAAAGTATATATGAACTATAAAGTATAATGTAAAACATATGTGAACTTTCAATTGGAAATGTAATGTAATCACACAATAATATTTAGTTGTGTATATTAATATTTTTCACATATTTACACAAATGTACGATTTATTTATTTTCATAAACTATTGGCACAATTTAAAGCTATAATATAAAATAATTTGAAATATAACATTTTGTAATACTCAGTTTCTCATTCAATTAAAATTTTTAATTTTTGCAAATGTTATGTTTCTACTTATACACTAACCTTATTAATATAAAATTAATATTTAAAAGATATAGTAAAAAGGTACTAAATTGTGAAGAACATTTACAGTTACATTTCCACTTAATTTTTGTTTATAATAAAATTAAAGATAAGCAGAAATGAACTCTGTTTATCTTTTCTTTTATAAAATTCTATGTATAATTAAAGTAAAATAATATTCAGTGCCATGATATTAAGTAAGTATTGTATATAAAAATAGTTACAAAAATTTGATAATAAAATATTAATAACGTATTTTATTTTATTTAAATTATATTCTTTGAAAATGTTTTGTATTTAATCAATGTTTTGTATCAGCTATAAGACATTTTCATCTGAATACTTATATGACAACATGGCACTGATTCTAATAAAAATATGATTTATCATTAAAAATAGTTAACATTAGTTAACTGCTTTCAATTATAAACAGATAAATACATATTATATAACTGGTAACTAATTAACGAAATATTTTATAAGACAATTAATGTTGTCTGCTTAATTAAAGTTATTGACGTTCTAAATAAAATTTACAAATGATATTTATTATCTTAAAATATATGCATAAAATAAACTTTATGAAAGATACTCAGATACTTTAATACTACAATTGTTAAATGCACAATAAGGATTTAAAAATATATAAGTATATCGAGATCTGATTGATTTAAGTATGTGTATGTAATCTTGAGTAAATGTTTACATAAAATTTGTTTAGTAATAAATTAATTATTACGATATAATTTATGAAAGAAAACATTTAAAAAATATTTAATGGTCGTTTTAAATATTTATAAGAAAATGGAAGCTTGTGTTTTATAACACACAATATTCTTTGGTTTAATTATTATAAAAGAAATAAGTAGTCAAATTTTTATTATCATCACAGTAGAATAAATTTTTGGTAGAAAATGGACTATTTATGCGGAATGCAAAAGAACTACAAATATTGCATGTTTCTTAATCTCTAATTATAAAATAAATTCTTTCAATATATAATCTAATTTAGGATATCTTGTGACTAATATTGTTAATGCTGTTTATATGACATATGCATTATGATTAATATTGTTAATGCCATTTGCACAAACATACATTACACAATAGCCAAATAAATGTTATTTCTAACATTTTTTGCAAGTTTAAATAATTCTATTGATTATTAATAATTACCATTAATACTAGAACATCAATAGACATTCAATAAACCTCTGTTTTGTAAGGAATCTTTTAAAGTTTGAAACAATTGTAACTGCTGTTCTGGTTTTAAGCTATAAACCTGCACATAAAATAATTTCAAATGTACAACAAATATTTAGAACAAACTACATATTATATATAATGTTATACTATACATATATATTGTTAATATAATAAATAAATTAAATTATATTTTTATTTATAAAAATAATATATATTTGTGTTAATGAGAAATTTTTATTTTGTATATATAATTTTACGATTTAATTTTTAATTACGCTTATATTCAATTGAAATATTAAAAAAAAAATACTATTAAATAAACCTATATAATAATATTAATTAAACCTGTATAATAATATAATTTTCTTAATAATTGGAATCTTATATTCAAAATAATAAAATAATAAAAGTGATCGAAAATTTAATATTTACCTGCTGCAGAAGTTTTTGAGGTGAAGAAGTTTGAATAAATGAAGATATATAAACATTTACAAATGTTGCCATTAAATACTGACAGTCAAATCTATCCATTATTCCTCCATGACCAGGAATAACATCTCCAAAGTCCTGTGGTGACATATGAAATGAAGTTATTATATTTGTTGTTACAAAAAATAAATAAATAAAAGTAACTTAGTAAATTACCTTAATTTTGAATGCTCTTTTAAAACCACTAGCAAAGAAACCTCCAAATGGTCCAATTACGGAACTAAATACTGACATTGATAATGAATGAAGTAAAAATGGATAGAGAGTTATGGTGGACTTCCCACTAAACTATAAAAAGAATTATATTATTAATTTCATATACAAAAATTGTTATTTTACTCTAGGAATATATTACCATCTTCCATACAATTTGCAAACTATTAGGTAAAGTATATTCTTGAAGTTGGAACAAAGGAGATGGTTCACAATCCATAGTCATTTGTCCTAAAATTTCACTATATTCTATGGGACAAACAAAGTAACGATACTGACACATGAAGTAAGATATCTGAAATATATTTTATAAAATTTATATGTTTAAAATATTTAATAATACATAATATTCAATTTAAAATTTCAAATATAAATTTACCAGTAAACTAAGCAAGACTGTTGAAATACCACCACCTATAAAGCCTTCCCAAGTCTTTTTTGGTGATAATTTAATCAAAGGTGTCTTACCAAAGAAGAAACCAAACATGTATGCCATTACATCATTTATTACTATCATACTGACTGGAACAATGAACCTGTGCCAAATTATTATATATTAATATATATAAAATAATTACTAGACATAAAGAAGATATTATCTTATGCTGACTTACCATATCAAGCCTTCAAAAATATTTTTAATTATAAGATAACTTTGTGTAACAACAATAAGTAGAGCAACATGAGTCCAAGCGAATAAAGAAAATTGTTTCATATAATACTTTTTTACAAGTGACAATACAAACCATACAAAACCAACGATATATAGACAAAATGAAATGAAACGATGATAGGTAACAAGTACGCGTAAGTATTCCTGTAAATAACAAAAATATTGTTAATTTTTAATTTAAATATAGATATATTAATTTTAAATTATTACTATTAAATTATTCGTTTATAATGTACATAAAATGACATTAGTATAATACATAATTAATTTAAAATTTAAATTTATATGGGAAACCTTACAAAAGAGAACTGGAAACCATATATAAAGTATATAAAGATAATGCTTCAGGAAGCTTTATTTATTGATTTTATGTCAACGCTAGATGTATCCATAAAAATTCAAATTAAATTTAACTATACATTGATAAAGATATGTTATACTTACTGTACGGTTAATTACTACAGCAAAATAGTCCATTAAATTTTCTCCATAAAAGAAATAATTAGAAGTAATTAAAAAATACCATGATAAAGATCTGAACCATGGTAAACCATGAATTCTGTAAACTGCATACCCAATGTTAATGATTTCTTGGAAACATTTTACTTGTACAATTAATGTCTGAAAAACAATGGAAAAGAGATACCTCATAAAATAAACACAAGAAAATTAGTCTTTCTAGAAAAGAAATATATATTTATGGAACTAGTATCTTAAACTTACTGTAGCCATCAATGCTAACGGTCCAATATAAATAATACCACAAAATCCAGCAATCATAAACAAGGTAAAAATACTTCTGATCACCCAATTTTTCCAGCTACAAAAAAACCTCGCTTTTAAAATTCGGATGTTATGTGTTAATATTGTATATTAATATTTCAAACTTGTATGTTACTATTTAAGACATATATTGGATAAATTATTATATCAAAAAAATTTTACCGATCGGATAAGCCAGAAAGTGCTGAATCCAAAATATGAGGAGTATGATCTGTTCCTTGTGGTATAGCTTTAGCCAATTCCTCAACTTCCTTTGCATCATCTTCAGATTCCACATCTTCTTTCTGTAAGACACATAATTCAAATCATTTGTTAATAATTATTGAGAAATATAATATTATAATAGGAAACATTGGAAAACATCTACAATATCATTCTTCATTAAAATTAAGAATGCTATAATTTTAAAATTACTTTCATAACTATACTTAAATCATTCTTAAATAATCAGCCATTCCAAATTTCTAAATAATCTTTCAATTAATAGAAAGCATATTAAAAATTGTTTCTCAAAAAGCCATAGTTTCTACCATTAGATAATAAAAACAACCATATAAAAAAAGAACATTTAATTTAATAAAATGTGTTATGTGATTCATATACAATGTATATGAAGAACTATGTATTAATCCAATATCACTTATAAAAGATTAATAGTTACACAACAAGAAATTCTATATAAAATGAATGTTCTCACATACTTATGATACATGGAATTATTTTTACTATTTCCTGATTTGCAGATCATAAATTAAAGAAATTAAAATGTCATGATTTATTTTCATTAAATATGAGACTTGTGTACATATGTTTCATGTACTTTTTATGTATTCTTTCTTTCATTGGAATGTGCTACTATCATTAGCATAGAAAGAGCTTCTAACTCTTATTTATTAATAGATTAATCTAAACATGATGCAATATAAAAAGAAAAAAGAAGTTCAATAAATGGTTATATAGGATGCACGCTGAAATGTACCAATACATAGTAGCTGTCATAGTCATCATTCAATTTTGTTTAATCTATATATACTATGAAAAGGAAAGGTCAATTCGCTATCAATGAAGCTTAACAATCGACGATATTAATCGATTGAACATTGAAAAAATATTGCCTATTAAAATAAAAAACTTTAAAAACTAAACTTTCATATATGTATATTATGTATACAAATATATATATACACATTGTATGTATATATTTACCTGATCATCGCTAACATCCCGCGTTTCGACCGTATCGCCGATTCTTCTTTTGCGAATTTCCGACATCTTTCTTTTTTCCACACACTTAAGGATTCGTTATTTTTGTGTGGGTGCAAAAAAGTCAAAATAAAAAACAGCTCTGTAACCACTGATTCGTGCAATGTAATTGCATATTTACATGTTTAAATATTTAATTGTTAGGAGCGGATGTGACAAGCAAACGCCTATCACATTTGCGCAAATCAAACTGACAGGTTAGCGCAGGGCACGATCATCGTCGGCGCTCGGCTCTGTCTTCGGGTCTCCTCGGCAAATCAATAATAAAAAAAGTAAATAAAACCTGACACTTCGCTCGGAATATCCGTCCGAAGAGCTATGTTCGATCAAGCTGCGTCGCGCCAAAGATAAACACACTATTTCGTAAATGAAAGTTCATCGATTAAAAGTCTAAATTACAAATTAAGCAAATCGTAACGATTGTTAGCCTCAACAATAATTTAGGTATCGCTACCTAATGAAATGCAACAATGTTCAAAGCGTGTTTGTCTGCCATTGTACGAGCGACTACTTTTGAATGCTTTAATAATTAATTACAGAGTGATCACATTCGTCATTCGCGCAAATACAACTTGTGTATTTTTCGTTAAGAAAAAAATGTCTCTAACGATAGGTTAAATGGTACCACACTATTACGCGAAATACCAACCTCAAAGCATGAAATGTACAACGTGATGTGTTTGCATTTTGTTACAATGTGAAATTTTGTTGTATAAATTTTTGTTGAATCGAGAAATAAAAAGAAATATCATCAAGAAGGAACACCGTCGTTAAAGTTAATTAAGATATCAATCAGGACGATTGAGTATTGTCATTGGTGTCATATAATTTAAGTCATAAAGATCATCAACAATGACATTGCCTGGAATTGGAGTGTTCGGTACAGGGAGCATTGTTAGAATAATCATTCCCTTCTTAAGAGAGAAAGGCTTCAGAATTGAAGCTATATGGGGACGCACACTGGCAGAAGTGTCAGAGGTTGCAACTGATCTTGAGATACCGTTTCATACCAGTCGAATCGACGACGTACTCCTTAGAAAGGATGTTGATTTGATATTCATCATGTGCTCTCCGAGTTTGCACGCGCAGATTGCAGTGAAAGCATTAGGAATAGGAAAACACGTTGTGTGCGACAAACCGGCTGGTCTAAGTCAAAGTGAAGCCCTAAAGATGGTACGTGCTTCTCAGTATTATCCTTCCTTGATCAGCATTGTTAATCATAGTTTGAGATTTTTGCCAGCATTCGTTCATATGAAGAAAGCCTTGGAGGAAGGGTACTTGAACGGTCCCGTAAATGTAATAGAAGTTAGAGTACACATGGGCAGTTTACTGCATAATGGTTAGAATATTATCTTGCGTATGAAATTGTTAAATGTTGAACATTCAATTGTATAATCTTGTCTTTCATTGTAGGATATGATTGGTTGTGTGATGACACGATGGGAGGAGGAATTTTGGCACTAGTTGGAAGTCATGTGATCGATTTGATCTTTCACTTAATTGGCCAACGTGCCTCGAGAGTACATGCCGTGGTGCGAACTTTCATGCAAACTACGAAACATATAAACGGAATTAGGCATGTCACATCACCAGATTTTTGCAGTTTTCAAATGGAGTTAAGCGGCGGCACGTTAGTGACAGCAACATTGAGTAACCACTTACAGGGACAACTATCTCAGGAAGTATTGATATGTGGAGGTGGTAATCATCTTCTGGCACGTGGTGGAGATTTACACGGTTGTCGTAATGGGCAAGAAGAGATGTTGTATCACGATACAGACGATTTGCAAGATATAACATTCCCGATCGCTGACTCTATACCAAGACCATATATCAAAGGATTAAGGAAAATGATTGCTGCACTAAGAGAAGCTTTTCAATCTGTTGAAGATAAGAAAGGTTGGATAAAGGAACCGGTATTCTCTGCATCGTCATTCGAGGATGGTTTATATGTACAAGCAGTTATTGACGCGTTGCGACAGAGTAACAAACGACGAGAATGGGTAAAAGTTAATATCCTGACAGAAGAACCAGATCCAAATCCTTTGTTAAGTGCAGCTGTTAGAGCTACAGCTATATCGATATAGAAATGGACATTCGAAAATTCCGAAATTAAGTGAAAATTTTGTTATTGCATTGACGAAAAACAGTATAGTAACGAACAAAATCATATTTAATATTTTATAAATGTATAGTAATTATTTACAAGGCAGCTCAAAACAATTTGACACAAATAATTGAACTATGAACATCGTTTAGTACAAAAACAGTGTAAATATGTGCATGTGTATGTACAATATGTACAATTTTGGAAAAGTTATAATATTATTTATATACTTCTGTAGAGGCGTCTAACTTATGAATAATATTTATCAAAAAGTAGATCGTAACAATATTTATTTATACATTAATTAAACTATTTATATTTGTCTAATTAAGCAATATAGAGTAATAAATTATATTGTAAATAACAATTTTTTATTTTTAATAATTTATTATATGTTATTGCTTATTTTATATTTCACACAATGCGATACTTTGTGAGCAATTAAATTGTGAATATGATATATGCAGTTTGTAATAAAATAACGATTTTTAAAAATTTAAAGCATTAATGTTATTTTTTGAAAAATTCAGAAGCAGAATACGAAAGTTTATAAAAGCTGTACATTATATGAAGTATACATTGCAAATGTACGGGATGCTCATAAGTTCGAAAATTTTAAAATGTATATTAACAAACGCAACTTTTAAACAATTGTATATACGTACAATTTCATGTCTATAAAATAGTTATATATGTTTATTTCTGAACTTGATAAAAAAAACAGCTGATTAATTTTTTCCTGTATAATGAAATGTAAATTTAAGCTTGTGGTCAAATTCAGCTTGTTTTCTTTCATTGTTTGCAATTTTATTTTTTCATATTACCTAAAATGAATACTCTATGATACGTTCAATGTTATAAAATTATGTATGTACTAATTCTAATAATCTTAAAAGTTCAAATATAAATTTAAGCTTACATAAAATCTTATACAATTTCATAGATTAATTATTTATTATGTAAATTGATTTAACTTGTTATGTATAGAATTTGCATATTATTTGTATTTGACAAATTGTAATTAAGAAGATGAGCAATATATACCAGTTAGTACAATTAATAGCATGTATTCACGTAAACTGGATAATTTAAATTAATTTTCCATCTCAAAATTTGTAGAACTATAATTAATTCTGAAATTGCCAAGAAATATTTTTGAATTTTCCACGAAATATTTGAAAAATAATCAACTTATGTTTTATTTATTCTTTGCTTATTAAATTTGTTACTTTTTTTATCAGAATTGAAGTTTATAAATTACAGTAAAATTTATGGATACTCTTTGTCTAAATATACATTCTATTTTTGTAAGTCACATGTACATTTTTGCGTGTTACTTGATTCACATAGTACGTGAATAAAACGTGTAATTGAACCTCGTTTAATGATCGAAATATTTGTTTGTTCGAAGCACAGTAATCCTAGGAAAAAACGCAAAGGTAAATGACAATTCTTTTTTTTAAATTATGTAATTAGTATTTACTTGAAAGAATAAATTTGTTTTCCTACATTTTTATAGGTTGTTACGAAATACGTTTGCTATGGAAACAAACTTATTCTTTAAAGACAATTATTTATTATAAATATGTCCTCATTTTAAAGTAATATGAGCTTATGAAGATAAACGTAATTTAATAATAATAAAAATTTTACAAATTTTACAACAATCTAGTCAAATACTTTTTTCATTCATGCTGTCTTTATGCTCAGTTGCATTAATTTTCGTAATAATTTATAATATTTTAGTTTATTGGAATTTTATATATATATATACATATGTTATAAGAAAATTATTCCTATAAAGTATTATTCCTATTGTATTGTATTTATGCTTCATTCAAAAAATTTAAGTGTTTATATGTTCATTGTGCTACATGTAGTATAAATAATAACAATCATAAACATATGCTGTTATAAATAATTATAACAATAATTATGTTACAATTATAACAATATTTATACTCGAATAATTGTCATCAATAACTAGTGTAATATTTAATGCTGATATTGATGGTATTTACATTATAATTTCAACACTATAATGCTTTATATTTCATTCACATTTGTTTTAAATATCCATGTTTTTAATAAAGTGAATGGATAAAGTAATAAAGTGAACGTATGAAATACCCATAAAAAACAATGAATATTGGAATAAACATGGTAATTAGAAATTTTTTATAGGGTATCGTATTATCAAATGATTACACATTGGTATTTGCGTACATTAGTCAAGCAATACATTCATACTCAATATTGTTTCTATAAAAAAATGACTTCTTTGCTGGTTCCTCCGGAATCAATACGAGGAATGACATGTTTAGATCGTACTGCATTCACAGTCACAGTGGAATTACCATTTTTAAAAATTTGTGGTACAACGCTGTCAAAAACAATACCTGTTATAAAGAAATATCTTTTTAAGAAAAGAAATTTCAAATCAGTTCAGAGAGAAAATGATGAAACTGTTATATATTTGAATCCAATGTTAATAAAAACATTTGAGGATTTTACAGAAAATGAAAAAGAACAATTACTGGAAATGTACGAGGATTTTGGAACAACAAAACTAATTTTGAAATATGATAACTGGGCATCTTACGAGATATTAAGAGCCATTTTACCTAAAGAAATTGATGTCCCAACTTCATATAGCATAATTGGCCATATCCTGCATTTAAATCTGCGTGATATGCACTTACCATATAAAACTATTATTGGCCAAGTTTATCTTGATACAATTCCAAATATTCGAACAGTTTTGAACAAAATAAATATGATCGATACAACATTCAGAAACTTTACTATGGAAATCCTTGCAGGTGATGAAAATACTATCACTACTGTAAAGGAGAATGGTTATACATATGAGTTGGATTTCTCTAAAGTTTATTGGAATCCCAGATTAAGTACAGAACATGAAACTGTTGTAATGTATATGAAATCTAATGATGTTTTATATGATGTATTTGCTGGAATTGGACCATTTGCCATTCCTGCTGCTCGTAAAGGAATTAAAGTATTTGCAAATGACCTAAATCCAGAGTCTTATAAATGGCTACAAAAAAATGTCGTCATTAATAAAGTTCAAAAGAATATTCGATGTTTTAATATGGATGGCAGAGACTTTTTGAAAACCATTTTTAAAGCTGATATTTTAAATAGGCGAGCTGCTAACAAAGCTGGCATGGAACATATAGTAATGAATTTACCAGCGCTTGCTGTTGAATTCCTAGATGTATTTTTTGATTTTTTTGATAAAAATGAGATCAAACAAATGTGTTGTCAACCGCCAACTATTCACTTATATTGTTTTGTAAAAACAAATAAAGGAGAAGATGCTTGCAAGCTGGGACAATTACTGATAGAACAGAAACTAGGTTGCAAATTAAGTTCTGATTCTTTAATTGAATTACATTTTGTCAGAAATGTTTCTTTGAACAAAGATATGATACGTGTATCATTTTTATTAACTGAAAATATATTAAAAGACGAGGAGCCAGCAATGAAGAGATTAAAAACAGAAAATACTGTTGATGCACTAAGTGATAATATTACAGAGAATAATGGGGAAGAACAAAGGACTCCAAAAGAAACAAACGAGCAAAAATGTGTTTAAAGTAGCAACAGTTCGTAGTGTTAAGCTGAAAGCAAAAGCACAAAAAGTGTTAACCAATTTAAAAAAAGTAAGTGAATTCTTAGAGTATATTTAAACATAAATAATGAATGCAGATACATATATGTATATGTATGTGTATATGTATTTGCATCATAGACAGATATATTTTATTATTTAGATTTCCATGATTTATATATATGTATATGTATATGATATAAAAATATAAAAATATAAACAAATATATAAAATATGCAATTTCTTATATAAGTTTTCTTTATTTTAATAGCTGCATTTGAAAGAAAATAAAACAGCTAAAGGAAATAAAACATTGCAAATTAATCAACAGCTTCAAGAATTGCAAAAGGAAATACATCAGTCCAAATCAAAAATGAAAGTAGTTAATACAAAACAAGGAAAGAAGAAGAAAGCACAGACTACAGCACCAGTACAAAATGATGCAACAACTTCTTTGGTAGAGAAAATGCAAATTTGATGAATGTACTTAATTTAGTATTCAAAATGTACATAATATATTGTATTTTGTTAATCAAAATCTTTAATAATATTCATTCATTTTGTACATTGTGAAAATATTGTTACATACATTATGTAAGCTTTCATTAAGTAATTTTATATTAAATAAAGATATTTAAAAGTACAAATCTAATGGGCTAATAACTTATTTCTTATCACCTAATTTTTATCTTATTTATCTTCCTATAAATGTGTATAGGAGAATTACAGTGTACTAAAACTTTATTTGTTTAATGATAATATAGCTTATTATAGCACTATATTAAATGAAGAATTTTTGAAATCTAGCAGATACTCTTGACAGTTATTTATATGAATCTATTTGGTGTGCACAGGAAACTATTCATGATGGAGACTGTCTGTACTGCTGGTTTGATTATAATAGGAGATGAAATTTTACGTGGCCAAGTTATAGATACAAATACATCATATCTGGCAAAGAGATTGCGAGCTTCTGGCATTAAACTTCGAAAAATAACAGTGATTCCTGATATTGTGTGTATTATTTTATTAGTATTTTAGTTATAGTTAGTTATTCATTATATCTAATCATTGCTTTAAAAATGTCAAGGAATTATATATATATATTTCGTTTACTTTATTTCTAATTGTAATAAAATATTAGGCAACATACGTGTTTATATTCTTATTGAAATCTAAATTCATCTCACTACGTGTAATGTAGCCTTTTGTGTTAGGTAGATGAAATCGCAAAGACCGTACTTGAGGCATCTAAAGAATATTCTGTTGTATTTACATCTGGTGGTGTTGGGCCTACACACGACGATGTAACATACGAAGCTGTTGCCAAAGGTCTAGGTTTACAGCTTGAACAACACGAAGAATTAGTTGATATTTGTGTAAATCTTTTTCCCAACAATAAAGAAGCTTTGCGTCTTAGTATTGTACCAAAACCCTGTGAGCTTATTCCTGTTTATTCACCAAGTAAGTAAATCTTGTTTAATACAGAAAAATTCCTATATTGTCATAATCAAAAGACTAATGAATGGAAAATTAACCAAAAACAAGCTTTCGAAATTACTGCAAATATCAAAAAATTATATTAGTCATATATTAATAATTAATTTATTTATGGACAAAGTTTGAGCAATAAAATTAACTATATGAAATAATTTCTAGAAAAATTTGCTATTGTAAAAGCAAAGAACGTGTACATATTACCAGGCTCTCCAAAATATTTTGAACTTGCTGTTGATATGATCATACCTCAATTAAAAGGAAATACACCTTTGCATTTCGAAGAAATAGATGTTAATTTAAATGAATTATCATTAGTTAGAATTTTGAATGAACATGCAGAATATTGGAAAGACAGAGTTAATATTGGTAGTTATCCACAAATAACACCCGAATGCTTTACGAGAGTTACGTTGGAAGGGAAGAAAGAAGATGTTCTGGAAGCAAAAGGCAAACTTCTATATTCATTGCCAATTCAAAAAATTCGGAATCTAAAAAATGGATTTAGCTATTATCACGTGAAACCTGTTCTTGAAGATACTGAAAATGAAGTGCATATAAAATATACCATGGATGTTTTGCAACAATGTTATAAAACGTAAGTATACTGAACTAAAATTGTGATACAAGTAACTATACGTAAGATAAATCTAATATATTTTTATCTCGTAAATGTGCATCTCAAAGATATAAACCAGAAGAGATTTTTATAAGTTTTAATGGAGGGAAGGATTGCACAGTGGTTTTACATCTAACTGCCTGCATCGCGAAGTTACAAAATATTTCCTCATTATTATGTTTATATGTGACGGCGGAACCATTTCCAGAAGTACGTTTAAATTAAAAATTATTAAATATATTCTTGACTCTTATATGTATTAAGTGTAAGATCATATTATTCTACAATACATGAGATTCAAATTTAAATTCTAGTAGAAGCAAATTTTTAATTTATTTTCTTTTTTTCCAATTGTTTAATGTAGCATCAACGGCGGATTTATGTAACAAATCATTCTTTATATATAAGTATATTACATTTCTCTTTTTATATATTTTATTAAATTATACGTTGGAAGCAAATTTTTTGTTCTTAAACAATAAATTGTTTTATATCATTGTAGTATCATAAATTTGTAGAACATATTTTAATTGATAATAATTTTAAACGGTTTTTAAATATTTTAAGGTGGATTCGTTTGTAGAAAGGGCGGCTCAGTACTATGGTTTAAAGCTAATAAAAAAGAAATGTCCTATGCGGCAGGCGTTATGTTCATTATTGAATGAGAAAGCGAATTTAAAAGCAAGTCTCATGGGAATGAGAAAAGGTGATCCTGGTGCGGAATATCTAGAAGCTTTCACACCAACTGATCCAAGTTGGCCGAATTTAATTCGTGTGAATCCTATCTTAAATTGGTCGTACGACCAAGTATGGAAATTTTTGTTAAAACATAATGTACCGTATTGTCCGTTATATGATGAAGGATATACGAGTTTAGGGACGAAGTCAACAACAGTACCAAATCCACGATTGAAAGATCCTAATAATTCATCGTTATATCGGCCAGCATATACTTTAACTGATGAGTCTGCAGAAAGACAAGGCAGAGTATAATTATTATTAAAAGAAAAAAAAAAAGAGAAACATAGTAAAAAATCTTACAATATTTTTGCATACTTTATGCTAATGCTTGAAGACTCATTGCAACTTACTGTAAAAAAGACAAAAGATATTTTACATCTTTCATCTAATATGAGATATTTTAATCTACTAGAATCTTTTTATCATATATTTTTAGAAACATACAATTTCTAAATTAAGTATTTCTAATTGTAATCTTTTAATTGTAATATAGCAAGTGTTCTTACGAAAGTATTAGAATGTAATTAAATTGATCATTTAATTACGATCATGATGGTGCAATTATTGTGTATTATCGGTGAAAATGTATTAGTACGTAAGAAAGTAAACAATAAAGCAAAAGCTTGATTTTAAATTACGAGAGAACTGATCTTATTATTTCTGAACGAAATTTTCATCCAGAGCCAGACAGAAGAAAATGTTTCATCCGAGTTTTGTTGAAATCTGTTTGCGTTGAAATACCATTTCAGTGGAGATCGACGAAGAAGGAACTGACGGAACAAAGTCAAGTTCAAAGGAGCATCCACCTTGATAAAATCGAAATCTTGATTGACGATTAGCGTGACTAGCTTCTATGACGTCGACACACGTTCCTGCTGACCCAGAGCAACTGGGGGATGATCCCCGGCTGATCCTCGTACGAAGCCAGCAAAGCTAACAGATTAGGGTTTCGTTGATCCAAGGGGGTAGAAGGAATGGTATAAAACTGCTGCCTGATCAGCCGTATCAAGGAGAGGGGCTGGCAGACGGTGTGACCGACATGTCCAACGACACTATTCATTGGGAGGCAAGATACCTACCAGCAGGGCCACCACGTTTGCTGGGATGGAATGTTCCTGCCGAAGAATTAGTCCATATACCGGAACATTGGCTGGTCTATCCCGAGCCGAACCCCTCCCTTCATTATTTATTAGCCCTGTTGTACATTCTTTTTACTTTCCTCGCTTTACTTGGGAATGGTTTGGTGATATGGATCTTTTGCGCGTAAGTTATTTCTTTTCTTTCTTTCAAACTTTTACTTTCTTTACAGTGTTTCTTATCACTGTACGTAGTCTTATCTTTCTCTTGTTTTAGGAGAAAATTACGCCGAATGCAATTTTTAATATATTTTTTTTTCTTTTTTAAGTGTTATTCATTTTTTTTTAATTCTGATATCTTTTCCTCATTTTCTCCATTCAAGTGCCAAATCACTGAGGACCCCCTCGAACATGTTCGTTGTGAATCTGGCGGTTTGTGACTTCTTCATGATGATCAAGACACCTATCTTTATATATAATTCCTTTAACACCGGTTTTGCACTGGGGAATTTAGGATGTCAAATATTCGCGGTCATCGGTTCCCTAACTGGAATTGCGGCCGGAATGACGAATGCAGCTATAGCATACGACAGATATAGGTATACAATCTCATTTACTTTTAAAAGGAAAATTTAACTAGTAAACTAGTTTGATATTATACATTAAACTGATGCAAGAAGAAAAGTTATTTAATTAGAAATTGATAGTGGAACCATTATCTGTAAATTTGTGAAAATTCATGCACATAAGTAAAAACTGAAACCCAGGTGGTTTTAAATTGTTCTACCTACTAAAATTGTCAAATAGATAATTAATTATTATAATTGCATATTTACTTGATTTCTTATCTACTGAAAAATAAATGTCACACCACATATTATACTTTAGAAGTTTGCATGTTATGTACATTCTATGAATTTTTGCACTGTCAAATTTCTCATAAATATGCAAAAGTCCACAGTCTAATTACTAAATAGTATTTTCATAAGAATCTTATTTCTCTATGATTGCTGTCAAATATTGGAATTATAAAATAAATGTAGCATAATTTGAAAAAGACAATCTAGTAGATTCTATGAACTACTGTGACGAGTTTCCACGTTTCATTCTAGTACAATTGCAAGGCCTCTGGATGGCAAGTTGTCGCGCGGACAAGTTATCCTGTTCATCGTCTTAATCTGGACGTACACCATACCATGGGCGTTGATGCCTGTAATGGGAGTGTGGGGACGTTTTGTACCGGAAGGCTTTCTCACCAGCTGCAGCTTTGATTATTTGACCGACTCGAACGAAATACGAATTTTCGTCGCCACCATCTTCACCTTCTCCTATTGCATCCCAATGACGTTTATAATCTATTACTATAGCCAGATCGTTAGCCACGTCGTGAATCACGAGAAGGCGCTCCGGGAACAGGCGAAGAAGATGAACGTTGACAGTTTACGGAGTAACGCGAACACAAATGCTCAAAGCGCTGAGATTCGTATAGCGAAGGTATTTAAAACAGCATCATCACAACATCTATTAAATACATTCCTACTCTATCTAAATATTAACATTACATTTTTGAGCAATTTTTCTTTTCCTCTTTCTTGGTTTTTTTCAACAATTTCAATTAATTAAATATGATCACTATAACATACTCCATCAAAATAATGTTTCCATGTTTCTGTAACGAAAGGTGAGGGCGATAAAGTTTGAATGTTATATGATCATGTTGCGTAATTGGTTCGTAATATAATCAATATTATTGACGGGTAAACTTTACAGACATAAAACAGTGCTCACTTTTTGTTGCCTCTTGACCTAGATATCGAGTATGACGTATTATAGAAATATAAGAAATATGGTTAATAACATTAATAATATAAAATATAAAACAATATTTAAAAAGCGGTAGTCAAGAAAGGATATACATTGTTTTATTTCGTGAATTAATCTACAATTATCATGCGTCGTTAATTTATGAAAGAATTCTTATGGGAAAATCTGTATGTTTGAATGGAAATAGCGATTGTAATCGTTTTGAGAAGATGTAACAGTCGTTTGATAACACGTTTGTTTTGTAATTAACTTATACCAGAATTACATTTAACTTACACTTGCCTGATATTTGTCATCGTTTAATTTGTGCGTTTGTTCGAAGGCTGCCATTACGATTTGTTTCCTATACATCTTCTCGTGGACTCCTTATGGTGTGATGGCAATGATTGGTGCGTTTGGCAATAGAGGGCTTCTGACACCTGGTGTTACGATGATACCTGCATGTACGTGTAAAGCTGTTGCTTGCTTGGACCCCTATGTATATGCTATAAGTCATCCAAAATACAGGTAAGTTGGTTTAACAAATTTGGGAAAAGGCTGTGCAGCTGCTAAATATTTCAAACATATTAATTAATTTCAATTTTCTTAAAATGAAACATGATACAACAGATAGAGTAATATAATAAATTGCCTAATAAAGAAAGCCCCCAAATGTTTTAAGCATATTAGTTGACCATAACTCTTTACAATCTACTTTTGTGTTGTAACTTTATAAACTTAAATTTTGCACTAATAGAATCAATTGCTACATTTTAGCGAATTCTCCTATTTACAACATTTTTATGTTTTCTATATATTTTACATTGAACATAGATGTTATGTTATATATTTGTATTGTATTTATATTGATAAATATTGTTTCATATTGAACATCATGCTATATTCATCGTCATTTAAATAGGTTGGAACTGCAGAAACGACTACCGTGGCTGGAATTACAAGAAAAGCCGATATCCGATTCGCAAAGCACTACAACTGAAACAGTAAATGCACCACCGGCCTCGAGCTAAATTTCCATCCGAACTGTTACTCTTTGGCAACAAAAGATAGCAATACACATATTTGGCTCTCGTTCGACACTTTGTTTGTTAAAGACTCGCGGACCTTGTATAGCGAAAGTAATAAAGCAATTTCCTGGCAAACGTACTTCCATACTTTTCCTCAATGTAATTTGCATATATGATGTACATACGTATTATATATGATATAGAAAAAAAATATATATATGCATATACACATATATTTTCGAAAAAAAAAAAAAAAAAAAAAATAAAGAAAATAAGCCGAGATAGTTTAAATCAATGTGTATATATATATGAGAGGAATGTTTCCTGTTACAATGAGAATTTTCATGTTGGCGTTGGGTACATGATTAATAATAAAAAAATATTCCCATTAAGGAACAAAAACTGGTAAATTACAACTTTATTCACTTTGTTACATACTACTCGCCTTACGGTTACGACGCTAGGCCTTAGAGATTCGAAAATAAAAGAATATACACGACCGATCGACTGATTCTGGTAACTCAGCTCGTCGACATCAGGTCGATATTATAATAACAAAGAACCTTTTATATAACTGCGTAATTGCGTAATTGAGAATTGACTGTGTGTATGTGTGTATGTATGTGTGCTGTAGTGTTCTTAGTTGTTTCATTGATCGACTTATCTTGAGGCGTAGACGAGATACTGTTGTTAATTCAGGAAATCGGTTCCAAATTTCTGTATTATACGCTCGTAAAATGTATATTAGTCGAATCTACGATTTGTCGATTATTCGATAAAAAAGTGGATAAAAAGTTATTTTGCATTGTCGTACAACGTTCTTGTATCAGTTGCGAGAGCGTTACGCCTCGGTCGTCAGACTTGTTCCATTTAAATTAAGCTCAACGTGAAGTACCAACCCCGAAAAACTGTGAAATTGAAATTTAAAGGGAGAAACAAAAAAAAAAAAAAGAGTATCTGTCTTTTCCCACTTCCGTGCGTTAAATTTACGAACTGCGCAACTATTCAAGCCTCTTTAACACTACTTTCTTGCATTCTTCTCTGGTCAACTCGTTTCGATCCCCGCGTTACGTCTACGGTGTGGTGGCCTCCCTCCTTTCTTTGTACTATGTCGATGCTAATTTCTCTAAATTACAATTACAACGATAAATGATAAATCACTGTTCTGTACAACTTTTTCGCTAGGAACTTTCTACTCTCGACTATGTTAATTCACAGAAGACATCGATATACTCCAGAAACTCCAAGCGGTTACAAGGTATCGAGATCCAACTTTGAATAATAGGTGAAACTGGGGGAAACAAGTCTGCTAACTTTCACTGAGAGAAACGAGAAATTCCCTAATACACCGAATATACGATGACCAATCCCGTAAATGATAATGTTACATCAGCGGTTATAACGTAGACCGGTTGTGTACATATTATCGTGTGATAAAAGTTATACCTTAGATAAAAATTACGATCGAAACAGTTTAGACCTATCTGTCAACGAAGACGAGAATTTCGCGTTAAAAAATGTGTAAAATGCTAGATTAGCATTCGGTTTTCAAACGGTTGTCCCAAGCACGTTCAATATGTCACACATATTTGAAAACAATTACAAATACATCGTATTAAAAAAATAGTTGAGGCGTGAACTCCGCACCATTAAGCATAACAAAGATCTCTCCCCATAGTAGTGTCTGTACGGGGAGTGTTTAACCATCTTATTAAACCGCAACTGTACAATTATTTTCTTTCCCTACGATTTACGATAACAATGAAATGGAAATGCCATTATAGAGATATGTATTTTCACTGACGGTTTGTCTAAAAACGTCGGAGAGAACGTCCTTGATTGTTCGATTAAATACGGGAGGAGATTTCTCGCTTGTTTCGTTTCTCTCGATTTAAAACGAAACGGAAAACGATCGAAAGAAGAAGAAAAAAGAAACGATCACCGTTTCAGAGCGAAAAAGAGGCGATCAAATTTTTTTTTTTTTTTTTTTTTGAGCGTTATACGATGTTACATCGTCTTTGTTCTCATTTTTTTTTTTTTTTTTTTTTTTGGTGAGGACAATCGATCGAATACGATTCCGCGCTTGATAATGACGGTGTAAAAGTTTTTCGGGGGGGAAAAACCGTAATCGTTACCGCGGCTAGACATCGGTACCTGGATATAACACAGACGATACTTGCGCTCTGGCTATTCTCTACATGAGCATGTTAACACGTTTCGTTACTTTTTTTCTTCTTTTTATTTAACATCTATAACATACGCGAAGTACACTTTTTTTTTCCTTCTCTCAAACTCTTGAATAAATGACCGAACCTGAACTCATGGTCGTGCACGTAAGCGCTTCTGGTTCCACTGCGATAATTGCATTATATAAAGTACATATGTTTTATATGGAAAACGTGGTCAGGTAGACAAAACTCTTCGGAAGTGAAGTTCCGTGTCGTTTAAGCGAAAAGGTAAATCGAGAAGTTTAACGTATCCGCAGGACATTCTAGTAACTTTGTGTTACATATGGTTTTTCAATTATATTATTATAATTGTATTGTTATTGAAACTAACATTGAATAAAGAAAAGATCTTGCTACACTATCCAGTAGAAATGAGAATTAAATGTTTTGTCAGCTTAATTTCATTTAGCTAAGTGAAATTGCCATTTTAAAATGTACAATTAATTAATATTAATAAGGCTCTGATTACACTCATTGAAGAACAAGCTTCCTTTTATTTTATCGGATCAATAAATAATTTAGTTCAGTTTGAATGAGGCTGCTGAGTAATATTATTTAGGATACAAGTTTCTTTACTTAAAATAGCATTACTGTTTGCGATTTTGGATTACACGTTACTATTAGAAATTAAGACATTCATAGAAGGAAAATTTGACATCATTTTCTATCAATAATTAGTGACAATTAATTGACATGGAACAAAAATTTTATATATTACACACTATAAATAAAATTTAAGAACTACGTGCTACATCATGAAATTTAAAAACAAATTCATATTTATGAATTATTCCAGAATAATTGTTTGGAAGATATCACTCAGCAAAATTAATAGAACATCCTGCAGGTATTCTTAACTAATATATACATATATATACATATGAATATAATATGCCAGACATATTATATTATCACAAAGTACTCAAAATATAAACAAGAACAACAGACTTACGTGGAAAAGAAAATCGGAACTTCAAAATGGGCAGTTATCATCGAGTTTTTTTTTTTTTTTGACGATCTACGTTCCCACGCTTTTCCAAGTGCAGCGTGTTTTGATTTCGAACGAGAGGCATCTATCACATTTTTGTGCCCCCTATTATGATATACGTATTATTATCTAATTGTACGTAAAATACTCAGCAGACGAACGAACACTTGTGTCATTTCGAGCAACACTGAGAGACTTTTAGCGGAGCTTTAACCGGGAAACGACGAATCACTCGATTACGATTATTTGCAGATCGGTTGCGTGTTTCTTATTGCTACGCCATATGAATGCATATTACTGTTCACGGCGACACGCAAAGCTGCCCTAATTATTAGGCGAAGGGAGGAAATAACTGGATCGTGTGACTCTATTTAGATTTACAATATATCTTATTAAATTCTTGTTTTTCTTTTTCTTCTTTTTTTTTTCTCAGCGAACAAGGAAAAGCATATTGCCTAAAGATCTGTTTATTTGCTATCGTTATTACTATTAACGTTATTATTACTATTATCATTAGAATTTATCATCATTGTTCATATACTTCTCATTCTCATCCGTTCCCCTCCCAATTTTTGATTATCATTCTTTTTGTTGCTTTCCTTTCACTTCTTGTGTAGTATAAATTTAGATTTTTCTTTTCGCCTTTGATATTCTATTTTATTCCTTTTCTCGTTATTCTTTGCAATTCTGAACCTTTTTTTTTTTTTTGTCTTTTTCCTTTTTCTCGAAAATATGTACTATCTTCCCCGTGTTGGTCTCTAAAATTTTAATATTATCGAACGTGTATCACTCTCTCTTAGAAATTATCACGCATTTCGCGGAACTTATTTACACGACAGGCCGGGTCGAAACATCGTCGTCGAAATGTGGACGCACGGCCCTGCGAACATTGTTGCGCACAGTGTGGTTAATGGCATTTCTACTAGCGAGACATTGACGCGATGCGATCGCCGAGTGATTCGATCTCGGTGTATATCTAACTTAGCCTACGTATATGCGACACAGATGGAGGATGCTACTCGAAGGGGAAATACGCTACGACGAGAAACGATGCTCTTGAGGAAGACAATTCGTGTCGGTGCCCCCTTTGCTGTGGCCGCCCGTTTTGGCCTTTCGTTTTTCCTCCATGCTCAATTTCTTCGCCTTGTGTCCACGCAACGAACATATCAACATCGCCTGGCTTTCTTTCGACGTCTCCTCCACCCTCGCCCTCGATCTCTTTCGCTCCTCCTTGTTCTTGTTCTCCGTCATTGCCTCGTCTTGCGCGTGCTTCTCCTCTGGAAATTTAGTTTCGAGTTTATAAAAAGATACTGGAAAAATGAAAATAATTGAAATTAGGTGTTAACATTTTACATTTCAGAAATGGCGTGACTTTAACTAGCAAATTAATTCAAATCCATAAAGTTTCAAAACCAAGTTCCTCTCTTTGTTTTAAATGTTTGAAATTTTACAGATGTACTTGGGTTCACATATTTATATTTAGACAAACATATAACATATGTAAATGATATTGAATATTAGAAATAAAACCTCAGTGTTTTGATTATTTGATTATCAAATAAAATAATGTTTTGGTTTATTTTGCGCTTTGTATCTGTTTCAAGAAGTAGTATCTTAAGTAATTTCTAATTGTACTGTGACAAACTTCTGTTGGAATTATTTGTCATTTCATTTCGATCAAATTTTTTCCACATAACATGTGCCTAAGCTTAATAATATTACTTTGAATATTTGATAATCATTATGAATCTTTGATTAAGCTAGAAGCTTTAAGAGGTACAGAACATTCGGGTTATTAATTAAATAGAAAAGATAGTCATTTGTTTTGGAACTTCTTAAGGAGTGCATATATGTTGAAATTGTTTCAAAAATTCTTTTAGATTAAACGAACCTGACAAAGTTAACACTAGCATTTAAACATTACTGTGTACATTTCTTTATCTTCCATAGGACAAATTATATTATATGTTACATAAAACTGAAATTATCGATATCTCTCTCCTTTAAATTAATAATTTTTCAACGAACATAGCTTAAGACTTTAAAGAACTTTTAAGGATTTAAGAACTTAAAGAATTCTTTTAACTGCATTAAAAAACACGATTCCATTTAATAAAATCAAACTTGATCTTTGATGTTCTTCACGCATCTGCTCGTATATAAAAACTCGATAACGTTAAAAATTATTCATCTTTCACTGCAACAGTTCTCGCCGCGAGCAACATCAGATGAGAAGGCACACGTTGAAAGCAAGTGCCCGGCTTTACACTGTCCCTTTGAGGGCTAGTGTAAAATTCGCAACAGACAGTCTCTCCCCTTTAATTTATCAGTTATTAGCTGTCTGAATGGCGTGCCAGCGAGCTGCAAAAAGGCTTCAACAAGTACCTTCGAGGACCTCGTCGAATATCGATTTGCTCGTCTTCGAAGCACAGTTCTTTTCCTCGCTTTGATCCGCCTCGTTCTCCCTCTCGATGTTGTTGTTCGTGCGGAAGATCGACTCGAGAACCTGCCTGGAGAGCAACGGCGAGACAGGCCGCTTCAATCTCGTCCCGTTCACGTTGGAGAACACGTCGCACGTGCTGGTCTCATTGTCGCACATGCTTACGGTGGACGCGTTATCGGTGATGAGCTTCTCGGTGTCCGAATCACCGGCGTTGCTGTAGTAATTGTTACCGCTCTCAGATTTTTTCAGTATCGACTTGGAGACCCGGTGCCTGTCTATGAACGGCACGCCCTCGCTGTCTATCGAGTCGGCGGACAGGGAGAGCTTGCTCTCGGCGTTCGTTCCTGAAATTTGCCTTCGATGACCTGCATATACATATAGTTAGTATTGCGCTGACCTAGAATATAATGGAGATCGATGAAGAAGGGTGAAACGAACAATCTTTGAATCCATGAAGTGAACATAATATGTACAATGAATCACAAAAGTATTCCAGCATTTACAATTGAAAATTTCGCACGTACATATTGTGGAGCATTATGTAAAACATTTCAAAGTTTCGTTAACATTGACAATAAGATGATTATATTGGTATCAATCTGAAATTGTATACAAAAGTTACAACATATTTATTACAAACATATATTTAATGAAGAATTAGTAGACTGTATGAATGATCATCTAAAGTATATAATATTAATTATATATTCTACTCTTTACATATAATATTAATATATGTAATGGATTAAATACTTTTGTGAAATATACACTTGCATTAAATATCTTGTAATTTTTATAGACAATTTTAGATTTCCTTGAGACTTGATAATCATGATAGTCGGTTATCATAACAGTATTAATGAAATTTTTAAATATTTTCTGTAACACACATATTATTTTGTTAACGTACAAAATTGATAAAATGTTCCTACAAGCATTCGTACACTTTCATGGGCAACTGTATATATGTATGTATACCATCACAGTTCACAGTATTTATAAAAATTCTGAATAAAAAACTGTAAGTAAACTATATATGAAAAAAAACTGTAGATATGTATGTATACCATCACAGTTCACAGTATTTATAAAAATTGTGAATAAAAGTAACACAATGTTTATAAAAATTGAAGGAAATTTGAATTAAAATCTGAAAGTATTTGAGAATTATTATTTCATTCAACACGCTCAATTATAAAGGACACATATAGTTAAGAGCATAACTGAATCAGTAATCACAGGCTTTGTATAAATTTTTCCTTACTGAAATGATAGAAACACTTTGACATAATTAAAGCTAATACAAACAATATTGCAAGTTTTCTTTTTTTTTTAGTCATCCGCAATAAGAAACATTCATTGATTCAGTTTTGCACAATCTGTCTCGCAATCAAATCTTTCAATTTTAACACAGATCTATTAATATTCACTCTATGATCTTACATTGCAGATGTTGTTTTTTATGATCTATTCTGTTCTGTGATTACATTTGTCAATTATAAAGTTTCAAATTTTCTTGAACTTTCCTGGAACGATAACAAGCTCATAGTAATGAGATAATGAGAGACAGGGCAATAGGCTTTGCCACTGACCTGTGTAATGCCTGGGCCCAATGGCAGAACCGAACAAGTGATGATTTATAATTCTCGTAGCCGACGCCAGGCTGCTGTTGGTCGTAGTGAACGGCTTGCCTCCTCGCAGCCCCCCGTAGTAATTGTTCTCCGTGGTCTCCTCTTTCGTGATGCTACGTGCCACAATGCTTTCTTGGTCGCTGATAAATTGCGCGCGAGGTCTTACGCTCTGCAATCAGCCGCGCCGTATAACTAATATGCGACATTACTTACTTGACTAGTTTGTTCGTTAATATACACACGCACACACATACACACATACACATAAAAAACGTCCATTTTTTTCCTTTATCAACCAACTCGTCGAAAAAGAATCGACGAAGAAGATTCTGTGATGGAGGATTGAGAAAAAGATGCGAGCACCGTTATGTACGTGTGTGAAAAGAATAAGTGAGTTCTTCGATCGTTGAATCGAGAAATTAAGAAGCATCCAAAATCAGACGGACAGTGTCACGACGGTAATAAAATTTCCATTGTTTTATCTTTTGGGAAGTTTGTGGAGACTTGGGAGAACGTCACAAAACGATTAAACAGAACGTCGATGTTACAAACATTATTAAATACGGTTTTCAGTCCACTAGGATTCTAATATTGCTAACAGTATCACAAAGTAAAAATCCTTCTCTCTTTCGCACGTTTTATTATTATTATTACTATTATTGAATCGTTACCTTTTTCTTATTAACTTAGACAACTCGTTAGTGAGAAGCCACGATGAGGTAAAGAATTGATACATGATAAATACCAGGTTTGGGCATATATTATTTAAGTAATATATTTCAAAAATGATGCACTGAATAATGTATTTTATTTAGCTAGAATGTTACTTGAAATAACAAAATGCATCAGATCCTTTGAATATGAAAGTAATTGTATTTCGTTATTTAATTATTAAATAAAATAATCGTTCGTATTTGTTTTAATTTTGTTTTAACAAATTAAATCGAATAAAAGATTATTTACAAACGATTGAACCTGTGTATATAAAATGAAAATGATTCGTTATTTCTCAAACTATTGTCTTTTATTTTTGTACCCAACGAAGCATACCCAAGCCTGGCGAGTATATATTATACATACGTGCATGTGATGTGCCTAATCTTAATTACAAAAATCAACAACACTATATACAGTTCCCTTGATCTCCTTGAGTTCCTTCGAGATTTATAACACTTATTCGTCTAAATATTTAACAATTCCGCCGTTTGTGATACCATTCCGACATTTCAAGCTTGTCTGGCTGGTTATGTGTGTAGTTTAAGGGAAACCACGCATGTAATCCACGACAAACTGTTAATAAACAATGCAGAGAGGTGCGTTAAATGGATGCACGAGACAAGGTGCAAGCAGGTTAATTGTCGAAGCGTTTTAAGGTGATTTGTGTGGCAAAATAATACCGAGGATGGTTCTTCGACTGAAAATGTACTCTCCAACTGCAGCCTTTCTTTTTTTTTTTTTTTTTTTTGATCGTGATAAACTACGCCTCTGGGTAATCTGCCAGGCAATAATTTCTCTCCCTCTGTTTTTTTTTCTCTTTCTCTCTGTATTCTGTCTGTTTTCTTTTTTTTTTCTCTTTTTATTTTCGGCACGTGCTACTATCGTGCAGTATCGTGTGTATTTTGTGCTGGCCCCTCTGACACAAAGTAGCAGCGGGGCACATTCGGTAATGTACGATCGCCCTCGGCTAGCGGTTCAACTGTGCTCCGTTTGCAATCTTGACGGTTCGTGAAACTGAAAAAAGCAGTGATGATACGCTGTCAGAGCTCGTGCAGTAAACACAGCCATCTTAATTATCGGCGGGCATCACGGTGAGCGTACGGGTAGGGATGTGAGGATGACGTTTCGAAAAGAAGAGTATCGTTTCCGACTAATTGCACGGGTAAAGGGAGATACATACACAGCGATAAGCTTTCCAGAAAGGAGGGGAGAGTCTGTTACATTAGAGGCTAACGATAGCAGGAAACGTGTTTAATTATTTCTTCCAAGAATAATGATACTGAATCGTTGCGTTAAAAGTACTGTAAAGATATAGGGTACTTTCTTATATTATAGGATGTTACTGTGAAAATATTGTTACTGTTTCTTATATTATTTCAACTGTGAGAATATTGTTGTTGATACAGTATTGAAATATAATGATATCGTTATTACTATTCTAATCTTTCTTTAAATACATTTTATGGTACATGGAGTTTTGCTTTTGAATGATGAATAATTTATGTTTGATGAAGTAAGATTTACAGAAATTTAATACGTCTGATGTGCATTATATCTGTCAATAAGAAAATTACTTTTTTAAAAATTTAAATGAAACTTTTTACAAAAGGTGAAAGTAAATCAATCATTTACCTGTGGAGGAAATTATGATTATCAGAAGTGGTAATTAACTTTCTAATTCAAATTCTATATTCAAGTAGGAGGAAATAATTAAACACGTCAATTGTGCTGGCATAACTAAACTGACGTAGCCGTGCAACTAAATGAAGAAAAGGGTGTGAAATAAAAAAGAAAAAATTTTAAATCAACAGCAGACAAAATTATACAGATGATTTACAGCAGGTGTAAATTTATATCATCTTTTCTATCTCAAGTGAAATATGTTTTCTACGTTTCAATCTTTTTTTCTTTTTCTAATGGTAATAATTTAAGAGAGACGAATGATGTGTGTATGCACTTAATTATGTATGCAATTAAAAATACGCTGTGTTTAGATAGTTCAGCGGTTTTCACTGATCTTATAATTGTTAGCCAAAATTGATTGCGTATGGATTGTGTGAAATTGATATTGTATGGATGGTAGCAAAAAATCTACCAAATTTTTTGAAAGCTATCTCATGCTCTATTTCTGTGTAATTGTCTCGCAAATATAATACTCTGTATTTTTGATTATACAGAGTGTCTCGAATTTAAGTGTATAAAGGAAATGATAAACTGAGGAAAAGTGTCCTTTGGAGATTTGCTCGTTTTTGCTTCATTTGGAAAGACACAAAATGGTTTCCCATTTATTTATTTATACCTATTGATATTATCATCTATTTTTTTTTTATTATCCGTATTATCATCTTATAATCTATTATCATCTATATTGTCTATTTAATGAAAATACTGACTCTGATTGTAGTTATTGTTCTGATGGTATTTGGTGCACTTCTATGATTTGGTTTCGCAGTTAATTGGGAGCGAATCAACTTACTGAATTAGCGAGAAAACTAAAAATTCTTTTGTTTCTTATTTTACGATTTTCTTTGAAATCTCTTAAGGATCTTTTTTTCCCTAATTTATCGATCCTGAAGTTTTGACAATTAAATTCGGAACACCGTGTATAGCTTTGTGACTACGCGTATAGCAATCACGAAACTAAGTACGTGTACATACATCTATAGAGAGAAATTCTGTATTCTAAACAGTGGTCAAAGAAAAAACTATGAAACATAAGAAACTGTAAAAAAAACTTCTGAAAAAGGATAGAAAAACAATGAAATCGGAATATTTCGTGCTACCTATCACGTGATTCAAAGTTATTAAAAAAAAAAAAAGAAAAAGAAAAAAAACGCTACGATTAGAACTATACTAACAGAAATCATGCTGTTTCAAAACAGATGTCTGTAAGTGTTCGTATCGAAAATCATTTTTATTACCGTACCGAAAAACCTTACACCCGTCTCATCAGTCGAACATAGAATTTGATGACGCACACAGTGACAGAGAAAGTGAACATTAAACGCAATATTCATCATGCACAATTGGTCAGAGCTAATTAAATTACGCTTTTGTGAACGTACAAATTTCGGGAAACTTCAATGATTCTTGGGAATCAAGAAACTTCTTTACAAAGACTTCAAGAATTTTTCTTCTTGAAGAACACTTTCTTAAAATCAGAAATTTTCGAGGAATATTTTTCTTAAATTCTTCTTGCAAGATTTCTTAACACTTTCACAATTAATGATCTAATTCTACATCTCTGTAAAACTTAAAAAGGTATTCTACTTTAGAAGTTTCGAGAATTAAATTTTTTAGCTTCTTTACCGAATTAAGGACATGGTTTAAGTTTATAATAGGAGAAATCAGTAGAGTTTTTAGAATTTTTGCACAAGTTAGAAATTATATAGGTATATAAGAATTATATAATTAATAATATAATAACATAATAATAAAATTTTGTATATATATAATATATTCATATTCTATATTTTATATTCTAGAAGTTTTATAGAATTATATATAGAATAATGTAGAATATGTATTCTATATTAATATATTCTAGAAGTTTCAGAAATCCAAACTTCCAGTTTTTAAATTTGAAACCATAAAAATGTGATCTGAAAACTTCAGGAAGAAATTAATGTCTTAGGATTAACACATATTTAAGAATAAAGGAAATTTATTCTATATCAGGTGATCACTAGACTGCCAATGAACTCTCAGCTCTTGAATTCAATCGGTTTATTTGCATAACCTTTAGAATGAAAATCTCAATTGTTTTATAGGGACCTTTTATATGGAGCACTTGCAATTCTCTTCAAAATTGCATTGGATATGAAATTTTAGTTTGTGATTCTAAATTTATACGTGCAAGTATAAATCTTCTCTAGATTTGGGCTTATGAATACAAAGATGAATTTACATAAACATCTGCGATTTAGTAGCTATTAGAAACAAAAGAATCTCAGAAAAGAGGTCCAATTTATTAATCAGATTTACATATAAAATGTGACATTCCTTTGTTTATTTTTCAAAATAAATGATCACCAAAAGACTTTCTAAGTTCCAAAATTTAAATAAGCTGCGCTGACGCGTGTAAAATTTAAATTTTTTATTAATTTATTAATTATATTTACATCCTTAATAATTATGAAAAATAGTTATGAAAATATATTTGTTCAGATTAGAATATCTTTTTAATCTTATTACTTGTAATATTATGACACATTTTGTTAATGCAATTTTATCAATGTTCAGATAAATTGAATTTTCTAAATTTTGATATGTGAGAGGGAAATAGTTACAATACTAACATATAAAAATAATGAAAATTAAACGAAGAATACGATTATTGTGCGTGTAATTGTAATTGTGAGAATGACTTAATAATTATCCAGAATAATTACACTGTAAGTCGTTTATGTGTGTGAGTTTATAATGTATCTTAATGCATATTTTAATATATGAATTTATGTATTCTAGCAAGTTTATAATTTATTACATTAAATTAAACTATCCCACTAAATCACAATCATGTTAATTTATTGAACACATTTTAAATAATTATTGACTCACTCTGGTATTACAATTAGAATATATATATGAAAGTGTTAAGAATCTCTTTAAAATCTCCTTACAGTTAAAGCAGTTTCACGCCTTTCCATCGATAAACAACGTTATTTGATAGACACGCGTGCAAAGGTGAACGACTGGAAGGGGATCGAAGAAAAGGAACAACAAACGAAGAGCATACCTGCTGGATGCGAATTTTTCTATGCTTGGGCACTGTGTCGTTTAGAGTAACTTTGCCACTCTCGTTAAAGGGGCGAACGTCTTTCAACGATTCAACGCTCGGTGATACATCAGTGACATTACGTCCGACTTCACCGGAAGCGGACTTTTTCACTCTGTTCCCGCACTTCTCCGCAGCTTCCAGAGGATTCACGTAGAGATTACTGTCTGCTTCTTCGGTCAGATCACCCTGTGAAATAGTTCAATTGTTTGAAGATTTTAGATACACGTATTGTCGTTTAGATACACTGTGACAATATTTAAAAATTAGTATCTTAAAATATTTACAATGTATTAATTTAACAAAAAATTATAATATTTTAAAATTAAATCATAAGACGTACAAATTGGTATTTTGAAATATTTATAAATCATTAAAAAGGAAAAAAATAACATAAATTAATACTTTAAAACATTTAAAAATCTGTTAAGTTATCACAAAAAGTATCAAAGTATTAATTCAATAAAAAAATATAAATTGATGCTTCAAAATTAAATTATGTTCATTTATCAAAAGAAATACAAATTGGTATCTCATTTTGTTGTTTTTTGTGTGTTTTTAAATGTACAAATGTGTATTCAAAAATTTGCAAACTGAATTTTATTGATTAAATCATTATTGATTTAAATAATGCTTGTCAAATATAAAAAGCGCAATAAAATGGTCGTAGAAGATATTGGTAAATATTTGAACATGCCGATAAATGTATTCTTATCGAATAAATTAAAAATGATACAAAGAAATAAATGATATAACAATTTGTAATGTTGTTTCTTATATGTTGGTTAAGTATACCTACAATACATTCACAGATCAATCTTTTTAAACTGAATTTTAATTGCGTATTTATATTGCCATTCCACTGTCAAAAGCTCATTTACATACTTCTAGGAAACTAGCAGTTTTTCTTTAGATTATACAAAGTGTTTCCAAAATAGTGATACAATCAGCCAAGCTGTGATTCTACATATATGCAAAACTAATGAGGAAATTTAAAAAATTTTAAATAAACTGTTATAAAGAGGTGAGATTAACATCTGAAAATTTCCTCTTATTTTTTCGATTTTATATTATAATTTATAAACTATAAGAGATAGAAAGAAAGTTTTAAGACAAAAGTTACTTTTTGAAGTAGAGTTAAATATCATTCTTTCTTATCAATTTTTTGTATGTAGAGACACATTCTTACCAGTTATGTCACAATTTTGGAAATACTTTGTGTACATCTTATCAGGGAAATCCTAAACTATTCTTGCTCTCATTCGAAGCTTAAATTCTATCTTTCAAACTTCCTCTAAATTATTTACAATTTTTTTCATTCGAAAGTCCTAACATCTATCGATAAAAAAAAAATTCTAGGTCGGAAGTTTCAGCATTATCCTGCATTACAGTAAAAACTAGTTCGTTCGACAAATTCCTTGAATTAAATGATAGCGTTGTACCTTATTGTTATCCGCCGAATGACCAGCAGAAGAAACCTATGGTAATTAGTATTCGTTCTCGCCGAGTAAATCAGTCAGTGACGCAAAAAACATGCGTAAAATATTAGAGTGCTGTATGATAGAATACAGAGCGATGAAAAAATTATGTCTGGAATTTTAATGGCGTATAATTCTTGTTAAGAGGAATAATGAATACCTAACACTTAACATAAATTCCAAAATTAATTCTTTTGTAAAATTTAGAATGAAAGATTTTGATGATTTTCTAATTATTTCTGAACTTTGCAGCAATGATAAGAAGATAAATCTTTTACATTTTGTAACACGGCGAAAAGATTTGTAGAAAGTTACCGAAGAAAAATTTTATTTTATCTACACTTATTCCTTCGATACAAGATTATAAAAATAATAAATAATTTATTTATAGCAATTGTTAGTTCTTAGATTTTAGACTGAACTAACCTCTTGCGCTAATAACTGCTTTACGGACCATAACGAGTGACCAAACCGTACACAATAATTCGTCTTCTTTTTGAATTTATCGATATATCATTGGACAGAAATTACTAAGAAGTAATAAATTTATTATTTATTTTGCCTGGGTTATATATTAATATACTTAAAACTGAGAAAATATTGCAATTTTTGGCCAAATATTCTCGACGTGCGTGACACGTCATTCAAGCGTAAGAGGTTAATAGAGGGTTATAGCGCTAATTTACAAATTGAATTGTATCCTGCAAACCGTGGAAAAATCTTTTACCTTGGCAGAGAATTAATTTATCTACAAACCCTTAAAATCTTGAGTCCTTTTTTTATCACTCCATATAAGTATCATCAGCAAAACAATAACGCTGCACTTTCATTGTAAGTTACAGATTCAAGCAGATTCATCTAACAAGTATTACACGTAAAAAGATACAAGAAAAGCGGCAAAGAAAAAAAAAGAAAAAAAAAATCAAAGTGCCTATTTGATCAACATCATATTACGTACAGTAATACGAACGAAGAACAAATAAAAAAAGAGAGAAGACAACGGATAAATAACAGACCACAGATACACATTTCAGAAGATTGAATTCACAGAATTCAATTTGGCAGAATCCGCAGTCTATCGACTCCATGCTATACCTGCGAATGAGACGGATGCGTTTGACAGCTGGCATACGTATCGGAGCTGTCTACGCTTCCTTGCTCGTTGTACGCTTTCCCATAGCCAGTGGCGTCCACCGGTTGTGCCGGCGACACCTTCGTTTCCGTGGCGAAGATCGGCTGATGAGCGACCGGCTCGATCGACATAGTTCCAGAACGCATCGACCTCATCTCTTGGCAGATGGGATTGCGAAAGTCGCTGGTTGCCAGTGGCATTATATCTTCTGCGTCTCTGAAGTCTTTGTACTCCTAGAAAAACGACCGCGAAGTGAAGAGTCACGGTTTGTCAAAGGGGGATCGACGCGAACTGAAGCGCCACCTTCAACATCTCCCGTGTGATCCTAAAATGATCCTTTACGCATTAAACGGTGCATCTTTCGTCGATGAGAATTAGTCACGTGAATATGTACATACATATGCATTGAAAAACTAGCTTTGCGATCGTTGATTTAATTCCATTTTACTATTGTCATGTGCTTTCGTATCATTAAACACGAGAGCGAGTCAATTAATCTACGTGAACCAAAATGGACGTTACATTTGAACAGGTATTTCACTCAATGTGATCTTTGTAATTCTTGTGTGTATAAATAATATAGTAATATTGTGTATATACTAATATTATATATAAATGATATTCTAAAGGTGAGGAAGATACGTGAGGAAGAACCAAATAGTCTTTCGTGTCTGACGGAATTTGAGACAACATGGGTTGAGAGATTAGTTTAAAGAAACAACTGAACATAAATCAATCCCCGTTTATAAGAGTGCGATTATCCGCTATAAATGTTTGAATAAAAATATAATAGGGCTCAGATTGAATACGTTTTCTGACAATATATTACATATTAATGATAATTACAGGTTATATATTAATAACAATTACAGAGTTATTGACTCAACTATAAAAGTTACTGAATATGGAGAGAATTATTTTATCGACACGTTATTCAGTAACCTTTTCAAGATTCAGAAATTCTGTTCTGTTGGAAATAGAAATATGAAATTCAAAATGTGAAAACTACAGTAAACGATAGAAACTAACGATGATAAATTGCAAAGATACGTATAGTTTAATTTTTATGTTAAAAGATGATTTGATTTAATTCGAATATAACAACGAGTGAAATGAAATTGTTCTATGCAACGACGAAAGCTGCGCTCGTTTAATCGAAACAAAAAGTACATACTTTCTTCGAATGCTGTATCTCTATACACATATACATATACATATTCTAAGAGTAGAGGAAAAAAAAAAGGAAGAAAACTTAAACATATATCGTGTGTTGACTAAGTAATCAAGATATCTATATTACGTGACCATTCTACTTCCCCAGTGTATACATATACTCGCCTGATGCGATCCAGAATTTGGTATTTGCACGATCGTTAAGTAGATTAGAGGAAGACAGTATATATACAAGTATATATACATGTGGTCCTGTAATAAAGTGCGAAAACTTAAGAAAAACAACGATTGCTCTATTAGTCTGTATTATTCCCAAAAGCTTTGCCAGAACTGACCTACCAGGGATGCAACAAGTCGCATAGTTATTGTATAGTACATTCAGAGGATCATTGCAAAAATCGGTATAATATGCTGTTTTATCGTGCTTTGTTAGTCTGAGTATATAGTTCTGTTTCTAAAAGACAGCATGCTGAAAAGATGAAAAGTGAGACAAGCATGTATTGTGCTGAAACCGTTACACGATATCTGATCGATTGTACATAGCTTTCTTCTCTTATTCGATGGATGCAGATGCAACGAGAAAGAATACCGAGTACTTCAGTTTCTTTTTCAATATTGTGTAACCCATTTTCCAACAATAAAAGAAGAAACGTATTAATATATGTGTATATACTCCCTCGTTCAGAAAAATTAGGACAAATCTTATTGTTAGGCATTTCTATAATAAAAATAGTACAGTAAATGTAAATTATAAAATATTTACAATATAAAAGTATAAATTATATGCACAATATGTAACATACAATATAAATTATTGTATACAATAAATATAAAACATAGTTTTTACAATAAAGACTATATATATATATATATATATATATACTGTATTACAAAATATGTATACATGATAATCCTAAGTATTGAATATCAAAAATAAAAGTATATATATTGAGTATTTTAGTTTTTCAATTGTATACAAGTTGTGGATATTGGCAACAATAAAAAGAAAAGTACATTGCATTAAAGATATAAATACAGATGTTTGTGCAATTTTATACTTTTATAAAGATAATTGAAAAATACTCTGTACGTCTTCGATTCTTTTCTTTTGTTTTTTTCAGTTCTAAAATTTTTGTACCCTTCAACCTGAGATCGTGTAATATGGTTCGAACGATCCACGATACAGATCGTTGTTCGTAGAAAGCGTACATTCCATATTTCAAATTTTCCGTCTCAGGAGGATCTGCTCGAATCTATTGCAATTCAATTGAAAATTGAAGTGATCAAAAAAAAGAAAGAAATGGAAAGACACGATCAATTTGAAGTGGAAACTGTACGCTCTGGAAATTGGAAAGTGACGATTGTATACGTGTAACAGTATCATTTATCGACGAAATTCGAGCATTGCCTTTTATTTGGCCACCAGGCTCGCGCGACAATGATCTCGCTGGAAATTCATCCAGCGTCGAAGTTAATTAAATCGTGGCTATTACGAAGACTCGTAATATGATTTTCTGTCGCGCAAACTTCGGTTGTTCAAATAAAACTTGGTCGTCGAGATTCAACAGTGTCCAAGTGACGAAGTGTACATAGCAGCTGCAGAATCGCATCCGTCATTCTCACCGGCTGTTGCCGTTTTCTCTCCCGTATATGAAATTATTTTCCTTTGTTGATACAATGTCGAAACTCATTTTTTAAGTGACACACGCAGTCGTTTGGAACATTGACTGATTGTTCGATTGATGCATGACTCCAACGCGCAGTAGCAAAAGCTTTGTATTCTAGATAGACAATTATTTTAGCATAATTTACTAAATTGTTAGATTCTTGCTAGATCACTGAATTACTAGCTTTTTATTTTATAGAGATATAATTAAAAAATCAGAAAAATATTACAGATCTAACATAGTTATTTTATCACAATACCATGAATATTTTCTCCGTTGAATTACTGTTCATAAATTCATTTTATTTATTCGATCGATTGTTGGTCAATAAAAAAAAATCAATCCAAATTTTCTAGAAGAATTTAATTAAATAACAAAAATAATGTCCTAGAAAACAATCAGTCAATTATATACAATAAGAATACTATGTATGTATATACTCGATCATTGTACTTCATTCTGTATGTCACTTAAAAAAAAAAGCAAGAAAAAGAAAAACATTGTTAACAACATCGTGCAATTCTCTGTAAGATATCGCAACCAATAATAATTTGTTACACGAAAGTGCAACTCATTGACAAACACGATTCTACGTGGCGTTCACTAATTAATCTGGTCGTATGTGCCATTTTATTCAATCATGCCACGATACGATAATGAAATGAATGAAAGTCTATTGTGTGTGCGTGTCTCTTGCTATGTGCAGCCAGTAGGAGCTAATGAAAAGAATTCGTAAGTCAATCAATGTCGTCGGCTTGAGACATTCAGTCGTCGTGTAAGACAAAACGTCACCGAGAAATAATGTCCTGCTTCCAGGTGAATTTGTACTTTGAGTAAAAATGTAGTGGAAACGAAACAGAAAACTCGTTTGGTTCAGCAAAATGCCTGTTGATCTCTGTTGTAAATTTTTATAAAACAATTTCTTTTTATTAATCAATACTTCATTAAGAATTAAAATGGCGTTAATTTCAGTTACTAATTTCGTAGTTGACTCACTGTTATTGAACTCTATTGAATTTACGTTGTGAATGTGAAGAGGAGTTCCAAGAATTTGCTCAATATTTTATTCGTTATTATTAGTTCTATCTATTCTATTTTGCGATTAATGTTTTCAGATTGTAGGAATTTTTCTTGCCACCTCGACTTGCGTGATGAATTTTTTTCTGACAATGCATCTGTTATTTCAGTATGATTCTAGAGATGAAAATAAAAATTATCAATTTATTCTGGTATTTAAGAATTCCATATTTTATTAATTGTCTAAATTTTCGAACACAGTAGCTCTGTAAAGTATGACCTAGTTTTTCCATGTTTGCAGAAAAGATTTGTCAAAAAAAAAAAAAAAACAAGACATGTATCACAGAATTAAATTACTTTATTTATCATGTAATTAAATATGATCTCTTAATATACGACGTAATATATAAGAGATTACGTTTAATTTCATGATAAATTTCAGAGATACGCCAGCAAAGGTACAAAGCAGCAAATGAAGACTATGAGAATGTGTTTTTACCTGAAACGTTTAAAAAAACGAATACAACTCCACAGAGCTATTTATGCTAAGAAATTCAAGTAATTTTGCAGTTAAAAAAATAAAGAATGCTTGAACTGTTAATTTTTATTCTATTTCTATTAAAATTAAAGAAATTTAATTTCACCAAGCTCTTTCAATCCAATCAAAAAAATTAATTGCATTATCCAGAAATTTTTAACTTCTTATTAATTCGAATGCTGCATATACTTCAATCTAAATGATGAGAACGTAAATCCCGATATGAATACAACAGTGGGAAAATAATTTTTATACACGTTGCATATCGTCTTGTTAATTTTTGCTTGCGATAAAACGCATAAGTAATAGGGGATAATGTTGAACTATTGTGCGCGAATTATCGTTACGGAAGTGAAATACGTTCCAATTGGAACACGATGTTTCATGTCTAGACATTTGTCCGAATCGTTAACAGCTTGCAAGCAAATTGCTTGAACACGAGTAAGTTCTCTTTCGTTTTAGCCTACTCGAGTGATTGCCAGCGTGATTCATACACGGATTCTAGCGTGCAAACTTGACGTTCGTTTCAAACTTGAAAGCAGGAAATTATCCATCAGATGGAGAGAGAAAGAGAGAAAGAGACGGAAAGAAAATATATAGATCGATTTAAGTAAATATGTATATGTAGTAGGCATGTGCGAATAATTCGGATGCAATTTCACATGTTTCGTCAAATTATCCAAACTAATAAAGAGGAATTCATACAAATGATACGTATGTTGCGAAAAAATGAAATTAATTAGTTAATAGATAGAGTATATCATTGGAAAAAAGAAAAGAAACAACATGGTGATTTTTGAATGGCCATTGAATATTTGAGTATAAGTAATTTTATAAAGTCATAATAAAATTTTATTAGTAATAAAACAATTCAATAATATGATTAATAATATATGATATTAATAATATTAATAATATATGATATTTTATTAATAATAAGATTTTATAAAAGACAGTAATGCAAAATTATCAATAATATCTAATAAATTTTAATATATATGTGTGTGTGTGTGTTAGAAATTAATTAAAATTTAATATTATATAAAATATAATTATTGTTAGCAAGTATTTGCAAAGATGATTTGCTATTGATAAATGGCCTATTAAATTTTTTTTAAAAAAATAGTATTTCAATGTTTTCATAGTTTTGTATTATACAGTAATAAATAAACAGATACTTAATAAATAAGACTTAACAGATTGACAGATAAATAAATACTTAAATGAAAAATTGAATAACTGAATACTTGAAACATTACTGAAAAGTCAAATACTTAAATGCCTAAATGATAAATGAAAAATTACTGAAAAATCAAATATCATTGTCTTTAACAGAGGAAATGTGAAATTGCTACCTTTACTAGGCATGCCATGTTGTTCACTTGGACAAACTTGCTCGCGCACAGGGTAAACTATAATATTCTATTTAAGATTCAGGTGAAAGAGGTTAGTGTACAGCCAGAGCCGAAGGCATCGTGTTTCATTCGGTGGCGTGTGTTCTCGCCCTCCCGAACGTGCATCACGACGACGATGCCCGTGCCTTGACCTACAAAATTGCGAGTTCACACGCAAGTCAAATTAATGGACGAGCTAGTTGCGTTCAAAGCATTGAATGAACTGGTGTCGTGTCAATGGAAAAGTTGTGCTCCGTTGAAGAAGGTGAGAAAGGGTTGGAAGGTGGGGGAGGCAGTGCATACACCCAGTGGACTATACATATGGACAAACCGTGCATCGGCTGTAGTACAGAGTAATAGCAGACAGAATAAAATAGAAGCCAGGGGACAAACGAGTAATACAATCTCGCGCGATTAAGTTCTATATCGATCGGACATCGCTGGCCAAGGCAGAGAAGCAACAAGAAGAGATATACACGTAACATGATACAGATTCAAAGACGAGATTCAAAAAGGAGAGAAAAAAAAAAAGAAAAAAAAAATAGAAGATAATACGAAGTGTAAATGAAAGAAAGTTAGTCCCCTTGGTCCCAATTCTCTCGACAGCCCATTGGTGTATGTAGTGCCGCCTAAAGGAAGAACGTTAGTGATCGTAAATACCTTCGTAGTACAAAAGCAACACTCGAATTCGCTAGGTATTTCATCATTTTTCTCGAATTTTCTGCTGTCTTTTTTCTCTTCATCCTACAATGTCACACACACAATTTCCTATTTTACTATCCGGTAACAGACTCGGCTCGCCCTGTTCGGTCGCGATCGAATCATTTCGTTTATAATGAATATTCAGCTCGACTCGAAGGAGATAATTTTTAGATGTTTTTTTTTTTTATCTAGAGACATAAGGATTGTATTGTAAAAAATTAATAAAAAAACCAAATATTTCACTAACTTTGCATAAATATAATGTATATTTTAGTGAAGATAGATTAAACAATTTTAATGAATATCTGTTTTCGTACGAAATAATTCAATTCACGTCTCGAACGAGCGAACATGTAATTAATCCTTTGAAGCACGCATTCAAGAAAAAAAAAAAAGAAAAAAAAGAAACATTCTGTGTGATATTAGTTACCTTGTTTCTAAATTGAACAATTGTATCACGAATAAAAGTTTTCGCAAGGAGCGTCGGCACATCATTGGATACAGTCGCTGACGCGAATATAATCTTCGTTCCTCGTTACAAGCGAGAGATTCCTCAATTTTGTTTTTTTAATGTGATGGAGCACCCTTCGACAACGATGCTTCAAAGGCTTAAACGAGAACACGAAACGAGGCAACGTATGATCACGTGGAGCCAGAGAGAGAGAGAGAGAGAGAGAGAGAGAGAGAGAGAGAGAGAGAGAGAGAGAGAGAATTTCTCATATCGAAAGGTGAAAAGGAAAATATGACACGAGTATCAATCTGTTTAAAGAAAGAATGTTTTGTGATGCATGAGATCAATTCATAAATCGTAGCATATATACATCTTTTTTTCTTTTTTTATAATTAGTAACAAGTTGAATTTGAATAAAACGACAGTGTGACTTTTAAAAGATAATATAATAATTTTAACTTTTTTCAATTTAATCTTATACCTCTAAAACAGTCTTTTTTCTGCATATCATCATGTTTGTGGATTTTTATGTAAATTCATTTTTTTGTGAATACAATTAAACGAGATTTGTACCGCAAGTATTTTGAATACTTTATATATTTTTGTATATCATATGGATTCTGTATGTTACTTCGCACAAATGGATAAAAATCACACAATCTAATCTTGATATTAATGTTAAATATCCTATTAGCTGAAGGTAATTTAAATAAGATCCTAACATTTACTTCTAAATAAATTTACTCGTCGTTTCATTTGAAATAACAACTTAACTTTCTTATTTGTAATTTTCATTTCAAATAAAATCTAATCCTGCTGAAATACCGATTATTGTTCAATTTGTCCAACCTAATCTAAATTGATAATCTTAGATAATAAAGGATATATAGAAAAAAATATTATATTCCTTATAATATTATTATATACTATTTATAACAATCTATATTTATACCTATCTTGCAAACAATAACATCTTCTTTCTCCATAAAGAAATAAATATCAAATTACAAAGGAAATTGAAGTAAAAGCAAAGAATTTTTATTATATCTATTTCTTTATACTGTATCAGAACATGCAACACTACTCAACCTAATTTAAATTTCCCTCGTCATAAATTTAGATTTATAAAAGATTAATTAATTATATTGATAATACCTTTTTTTTCGAGTGATCTTTAACATATACTACTATTTATGAACAGATCAACATGTGTTCAATGGTACACAATGTGTGAGTGAAATGTTACGTTGAGGTTATGCATACCGAGTGACAGTGAAACGCATCGTAGTGAAAAAAAGAAATTAACATCGTGTATGTGTGTGTGGACGGACGTCACAATTGCTTTTCGTTACTTACGCGAAGTCAACTGATCGTAATTGTACTTCAAAAATAAATCGTTCCTCGAACTTGCCGTCCTGACACATCGTACGTGTCATTTACGAAAATGAAGAGCGACTTCTAACACTTTCAGATTCACTTCAATACAGGTTCGATTGTGCGTCTTGTTAATCGTTAGACAGACAGCTGAAAGGGCTGACGTCAAATCAATGAACTTCGTTCGTTATCTAAAATAACATAAAAGTAAGAAAACATCGATACTTAACAATTTAATGATATTTCAACTTAATACCTTGAACTGAAATGGAAGAAGAAATTTCGAGAAACCTCGAAGTCGATCGTAATCGATACTGATTGATGTAATCGAAGTTTATCTCGAACAGCAATATAAGACGTCCTCCACTTTTGTATTTTAAAAATTTCTATGAAATCCACATTGTTTCTTTTTTTTTAATAATTTTAATAAAAAAAAAGATTCGTTCCTTTCCTCGAAGTCAGTCCAAAATTAATCAACCGCGAAGCAAACGAATTATATATTGTGGACCGACTTCGAGGTTTCGAGACTCGATAAACAAACAATCGATCGAATTACAACCCTTTGAAGTCAGCTTTGAAATTAATTTTATTCAATTACAAGAAATTTTTTCTCTTCTGTTTTTTTCCTTCTTTTTATTGAATATAAGAATGGACGTCGAATTGTATCGTATTACAATTAAATACGAGCTGAAAGGTCGTATACATGACAATAGAAATTACAACTGCCCGGTAAATTGAATCGATTTCTCTACGCTCGATCATCTCGTTCTTACAGCCGGCATATTGTTAATATATGTATACGTTATTATTAACTGTATGTACAGGCAGTGTTTCAAAGAACCGATTTTCATTAACATCGAATCGTAAATGGTATATAGCTACCAAAATTTTCATATTACTCGTTACTATAACAAGAGTTCGCTAATATTCACTAACCTCTCAAGTAATTGTAAATGTCAATCTTAGTTTTTTCTAGATCACCTGTCAGACGTTAAATTGACCGTCAAATACAATTTTCCTGCGTGTAGTACTGTAGATTAACGACAGTAATTAGTATACAAGCTATAGGTTATAGTTTATATACAGAGAATTGCGATAAAATTTCACCTGTTCTGTCTGGCTCTGTAACAAGTAAGTAAATAGTACCTAATGAATTCCATGGATCAATAAATGGTAAATGTATATTGTTTTTAAGATATTTAGCGCCTCGTGAAACGCGTTCACCGATCGGGGATATAATAATTACGTATCTATCGACGTACACAATTATCAACGAGAGAATTATTGAATTCCATTTCGGTTAATCGACACTAAACGAGAACACCGGTGTTTGAGAGCTAAATCAATGCTAAAATGCGTGTGATGCAACATTGATGCTATTTAAAACAAATCCAGCTAGAGAACGTTCCCCTTTGACGTGTGTCTCCTCTATAACGTTACGTTTATGCATATGCATTACAATTTGAGGTTAATTTCATCCAATAGATGGCAATAACAGAGCCGAAGCAAGATGGCCGCAGATGAAAATGTATGCATACAACGTGCATGAAAACTAAACTTCCAGGTGTATCATGTTTCTAGTCGGATAATAAAGTACACGTCTATAATCATATAAAGTAACCGTATATGTTAGGGCAACAAGCAACCGAGCAACAAAGCAGTCTAATCAGGATATAATATACTCTAAGAGTTACAGTTCGCAATGTTTGAATGCACCACATTGATTTGCAGTGTGGTTACAATTACTACTGCCAAAGGAGAAAGGAATCAATAAACTTTCCCAGATCAACTGAAACGAACGAAAAAGAGGAAGAGAATGTAAGAGAACCAACGTTAGATACAACTTATATAATTCAATAACGGCCAAAGAGTCTTTTTAATTTGCAAGATCTTGTTTGAAGCGAGAAAAAAAAGATAAACAAGGAGGGATAAGCGCGCTATTCATGGAAAAAGGCACGAACAATGAAGAATAAGAGTGAAAATATAGTGAACAGGTTTAAATCGCGGTGTAGCTGACTACTCAGACTGAAACAAATGTGACATCACTAATCAGTTTGTTATGTTCATTGATACTCCGACTTACGTTCATTGATAATCTGCCTGTCAGTTAAATAGTCAGCTAACAATAAGATGGGATCGAGTTCTTCTCTGGGTAGATTCGAATCTTTTAAAAAGGCATTCGCTATAAGTTTTGATAATTCATGTGCATCATATTGCTCAATACCGACGCGCTTGTACAAAATGAAAACGTTGCAAATGTACTGGTTGAAAAACTTTTACTTGTAAGTATATACGGTTTAAAAACCATGAAACAAAATTTAGACAAAATATCATAGATGGAATAATAACGTTAAAATCTTTTAATAATATTAGACAGAAGACGTCGTACCGATTCGTAAGTATATATTGGATTTGTGGACATCCCTCCCATCCTTCTCACCCAATATGAAACCTGTTCACCATGTTTTTATCCTGCGGATATCAAGCGGCATGACACGATGAAGAATAAAAACAAAACAAACGGAAGGACGATCGGCGTGAGTAAAAGATAGTAAGAACGTATCTCTGAAAGAGTGCGACTCGTAAAAGCGTTTTCGCGCTTTTTCTCGGATCGAGCACGGCAAGGTCCGACGTCCAAGTACCGCGGCCTCTCACACCCCTAGATTATCGTCCATCATCACGCATTTATTTTCTTTCTTTCTCGTCTCTCGCACTTCGTCGTTTTCGTTCTGTCGTTGCGTTTCTCGTGGTTGCCAGTCGCTACGGAAACTTGCAGAGTTTCTGTCTTGTCGGACGTTGCCAGGAGAAATGAAAGACAAGTAAGATCTTTCTTCAAAATTTCATTCGCGTGCATTATATCTTTCGATTAATTCTTTCTTTTTTTTCTTTTTTTTAATTCACGTATTTACTTTTCGTCTTATCTCTGTTCTTGTTTCTTATCTCTAGGTATAGTCTTACAGTTGTTATCTCTAGTTCATTCGAAGAGGATCGAAGACCCGGTCAGAGAGAAAGGACAGTTTCGTGGATTTTGCTCGATTGTTTACCGAGTGAGCGACCGATACACATGTGCAGCGAAAGAGAACGAGATTCGGCAAAGTCCGACAGGTAGCAGATAATTCGTGTGTTTGTGACGAAACGTTTCGGCGGCTTTGTTCAACGATGGTGGTTCAATGCGCGCTGTCGGACATTGCCTGTAACATATCGACACGAAATCCGT